CCATTTATGACTTAATTTCAATTATACGAATTTGGCCAAAAATATTTGTTGACACTTTGCAGGCAATTAAAATGGCAACACGTGCAACCTGCCAACACCAGCATCAAATATTTCTGTTGCTGGGAAATGGTTCAAGAGTTAAAGTTCGATGGCCTAGCTTAATAATGATTTGAGAAAAACAAAACAGCTAAAAATGCTAAAATGCTAATTTTGACTTTGTATAAACATAACCATTCCTTCTACGGAAAAATTATAAATAAATTCACAAAAAGAAACTTTATCAGTATTGATCTTGATCTAATGATCAGAAAGAATAGCAGGATTAAAAATTCCAATATTATTGTAAAAACGAATATGTTCTAATGGTGGTGAATGTTATAATTCAATAGTATAGTTCCACAATACGAATAAACCACGCCGTAATGATTGAAAATCAAATAAACTATGGCACAACCTTTTAAAATTAAAAAAAAAATGCTAAAATGTATTATTCCATGTTAAAAAAAATTGTTATTTATTATTACATTGACCTCCAACAATATAGTAAATAAATGATTGGAAACATAGTCATTGTATGAGGTTCAATGTCCTACAATTAATCTATTTAATTCAAAAAGTATAGCAGCATTAAGGTTTCAATATTTTTGTAACAACTTAGATATATATTCCAGTAAATGTTAAATTTGTTAAAAATCTAATAAATTAACTTATCCTACGCTCCGCTGTAACACTTGAAGCTCAAATTATAAATTCAAAAATTATCAAAATTATTTGTCGATGATGTACACATTTTTTTTATTTTGACTATTTTAGAGACCTTCAACAAGATTATTAAAAAAACAGTTTTAACATAGTCATCGAGTGGGGATCAAAGACATAAAATGTATCTTTTACGTAAAGTCTTAAATAATACGTTCAAATGGGTCAATTATTAAGTATTTATAGCTTTAATTACATATGTATATCTTACTACTATCTTGAGACTTTATGAAGCAAAATCGTAACCATACATAAAACCGAATGACTTAGGACACAAACATTTCAAAAAGAAATCTTTTTTAAATACATTTCTGTTTTGTTCGATATTGTATAAAATTGATATTTATAGAAACGCCCAACATTTTTAAAAACTGATCTTCCACTATATGAAACTCAACTTCATAAATTATGTATTAGAATCTATACTATAGATTCTATAGCATGGCTAATAACCATAATTAACTGGATATATCAAGTACTATGCCACAGCCACTTGACATACATTTATTGCTGTTCTTGTGCCCAATCTGTCGGGTGCCGCACCTTGCGGAATATCTTGGATCCCAGAGCAAGGTGCCAAGCTGGCAAGACTGGCGGGCAGGTCGAACAACGCCCCAAGAAGCCCTCGACCCGAGAGCCGGTGGCATCGATTTTAGAAAGTTCGCCGAGCATTAAAACGGTAAAGCCGCTGCCGCAGACGAAGCCTTTTCCTTTTGGCCACCGCGACAGGAGCGGAAAAGCAAAATTCAAGCCCGAAATCCAAAGCCTATATATAACTCGATGGCTGCAGAGGCAACCGCATAAATTTCATTGCAGACATTTGGCCTTTTATTAATTGTTTGACGGCGCCCGTGCCCATGAAGCGGGACATCACCCCTCCCACCCACCTGCCGCCTTCCGTCAACCGCCTCACCTGGAAAGAACTCAAGCGGCAGCACCAGCAGCATCGGGAGCAGCAACTGCATTTTCCTCTCTCAGGCCGCGCTCTGGGCGTGATGAGAAATTTAATATTGGCAAACGGATAAAACCGCCAGATAATTATACATTTTGAGTGGCCAAAGCTGCAGTCGGAGTCCGAGGAGACTTTGTGCAGGCAGCAGTTTTGGCTTCAGACTCGGATCGGGCTCAGCAGTTCATGCGCCTCATGATAGTATAAGATTTCATTTCATTAAAGTGCATCACGACGGACGCCGGACGATGGACGGCAGGCGGAATCAATGAGCAGCGGCTGCATAGTTTCCCCTGGCCCTCCCAGCGCAGATCCGCCTCCTCGTGCCCACTATCGCCAATCCAATCCCATTCCCTGCTAGGCAGCTACCAGGTAAATGCACTTGGCAAAATATATTGCAAGAATTTAATCCTTCAGGGCAAATATCAGCATAAATCATAATGCTTCGGTATAAATATTTTCAACCATGGCTTTCCTCATATTATTTTTTACAGTGCACGTACCTTGCTTACTTTTCTTCTTATTGGCAGATTACGACGGCGGGGTGGCCGGTACAAACCTGGGCAACTTATAATCAAATCCGATCAAAAATTTCATTATTGCTCCACAGCAGCAGCAGCAGCAGCCGCAACCTCAGTCGTCGCAGCAGCAGCAACAACAACAAGAAAAACCATAACTGTTTTACAGGTAATTTCGTTGTTGTTGTTATGATTGTTGCTGGCTGCACTTAATTTTCGCATGCGCACTGGAAACCAAGCCGGGCTCAGCTCTTGATCGCGATTTCTTGATCTTCCGTCTTCCCATCCCAAGCCACCCAGTTCCTACCCCTGCCCCAACACCATCTTCCTCCCAAAACCCCCTGAGGGGGCTAACTTTTCGCTCCCGTTCGTGTACAGACGCCATTTTGTAAAGCCGGAGTTCTCAGAGCGATAGCCACCAGTGGAGGTCAGTTGGGTGCGCAGGAATAGAAAGAAGCCAGAGCTTTGATTTGAAATGGCAATCTGTGGCCTATCGCCGCCGTTGCTCCGGCAGCACATAAATTGGGACGTGATTATGAAATAATTGCAATTCTGTACTTTGGACTTGTGCAATTGGCCAAAAGGTAAAATCAAAGGTAAAGGAACAGAGAAAAAAATATTTTAGAACACATATTAAATAAATACCAAGTTTGAAGCAGACTACTTAAACACCTTATAAAAATAACACTAATCTTTCTATAGAATTTGAGACATTTATGAATTAATACATATATGTGACTATACGTGAGACTATAATTTTTCCTTGTGTCAACGCAATCGGTGGACTCTCCTAGCTTGGATTCCGCACCTTGGGGAGCAAAAAGAACCACCTCAAACGAGAGCAGGTGACAGGCGACCGATGGGTTGCATCTAGCTGTGCTTTGAGGAAGCTTAGAAACCTCAGAATCAACAGCCATAAGTCTAAGCCGCCACGAAACTGCCGCCAGACAAATCAAACGAATTCGCTGTGGGACACCCAGCAGCCATTAAATTAACGCATAAGAAAACCGCTTTCATTCATTAAAAGTGCGGTTCCTCAATCAATTTTTATGCCTTATCTCAGGAAACGACAGAATCAAATAATCCATTAAAAATCATTTTTCTCACTACTTGAATTAAAAATTCCGAACTGGGTTAACTCTATAAAGGTTCTTCTTACCATAATTATTCATCTAAATAGCACTATCTTTCCGTAAAACTATAACTTAATCTTATCTTAGCGTTTGTTTGGCCATAGCTTCATGGCCTTATTATTCATGACCTTATGACTAATCTAATTTAATCTAAATGAGTTTATAGTTTCTCTGATAAATCATGAGATTCAGAAAAATTTTGCCCAAAATTTCTCACCTTTCAATAGACCCTTCGATTTCCATTACTTAATGGCTTTCAAGGAAATACACGCTTGTCCCTCTACTTGAAGACCCACTGCTCTTCTGACAAATCCCTCTTGTCGACATTACACCTGACTGGGATGCTACTCCCCCAAGTCATTTGCACATAGTATCCCCTTGGGGCCAAAGGAACTGCCAGCGGCCAGGCTGGACGAGCACCGCCGCCAACATATGCAAATTAAATATAATTTCAACACTCGTATTTTTGTTGACTCTGCTGCCGACGACGGCTCCTCCGCCTTTTTGTCCATAATTTACATGAGGTTAACACGCAAGCGAACAGCAGACAACAACAAAGAACCGGCCTTGATTATCAAAGCCAAATCGAATGCACGCACATGCGAAGGATAAAAAAAAGCCAGGAGGAGGTAGCCAGGCGACGGCGACAGGAAGAGGAGTAAGGGATTCGGGGCAAGGGCAGGGACAGGGAATGGGGGATGGGGTATCCACCGAAAAGGAAGTCAAGTTTGAAAAGGCTGAAAGAAATTCTATTACAATGTTGAAATATTGCCAAATCATGGCTTTGAGGTAAATAAATTTCCACGCCGCCACTCGCCATGACCGCTGAACCTGGGGATGCGGGATGCAGCTGAGGCTGGAGAATGGATAGTGGCATGGCACTGAAAAAAATGGCTTTGGAAAGTTAAGACTTAAAAAAATGGAAGAAAAGTGCAAAAAATGGAAATATTTTCAAGATACAAGAAATTCTTACCCTCTATGAGGATGTATTAAATAAATATAATTTTTACGCATTTAAAGCAAATTAAGAATTTGAATAAAATAATTTACATGTAATACATCCTTAAATTTTCCAGCACTGATTCTCATTTCCTTATTATTTCCTTTCCTTATTTCCATTTCCTTTTGTTCTTATTAAATATTAGTTTTTTGAGAAAAGATAGTTGTTTTGATTCACAAATTTCAAAATAAGGTCTTCCACGTTTGCTAAAGCTTAAAAATTAAATTCAAATGCACTTTTAAGACTAAGAGTCTCAAAACAGTCAAAAAAAATTTTTCAGTGCATTGGAGGACCAGGAGCGGGCATGGAAGCTAAAGTCCCTGGCCGTGTATAAATAAGTAACCTGATCCCAGCAACACGCTGCCTGACAGCGGGCCCCAAAAACGGCACACAGCTTCGACTTGGACGGGATGGAAATGGATGGAAATGGATGGAAAGGAATGGGACGGGATGGGCTGAGATGGGAAGCGATGGGATCCCATCGCATCTCCTCATCGGTATCACATCGGATCGGATTGGAGAAAAGCGGAACCCGTTTAGAGCTTCTGCTGCAGAAGCAGCCTTGCGGCGTTTTGATTTATAACCGATTTATGCACTTGGCTCGGTCAATGTGGGAGCCTTCCCCTTCATCTTGACTGGAATTCATGAGCGGACAGCTGGCTTCGGTTTATTACATATTACAAATAACACATATCGGTACGGTGAGCCTCGACAGGCGTGGAAATTTTGGTTCACTATTATGCGCTAGGCGCATTCACAATGTTCAACTTGGAAAGCATTCGAATACGTGTTAGCTAATACGAGTTAGTAAGGCAACTCTGCGGGTGCGGATACGGATGCGAGTCCGCAGTTGGATTTATCTAATCGTCTTTTTGTTTATCACGGCTGTCGCTTTTCTGGGTGAATCAACAAACAGTATTTGGAGCTAGGCACTGGTGGCACACTTTGGAGCCTTGTTGGCGAAGAACCACATCAGACCTAGAAGGCAACTTGGCGGACTGTTGTTCACAGCTCCCTTTTGTATCATGCGTTGTGCCTCGTCCAGGGATAGGTCCACCACCTCTATGATCTCGTCCTCGACACCGCCGCCACTTGTGACTCTATCCGCGTCTGTCACTTCACAGTAGTACAGGGCCTGCTTGGCGCCCGAGGAGCCAACACCAGATCTATAATAGAATCGATGTGGGGTTTATTAAATTTTACAAGAAAATCAAATATAAGTTATAGATATAAGAAAGAATAGTGTTTTTTTAATACATTTAATAGAATGTTGATTATTTTAGTTCCTGATATACTTAAATCAATTATAATAATACCAAAAAGATGGTAAATGTCATCATTTTAATTTAAAAACCAGTGGAAATCATTTAAATATTCAGTAAAAAGTCATATAAAGTTTTTCCGACACTATTTTTTGCACCTCCACCGTACCCACTCACCGGTAGACCATGACCTCTTCGATGCGTTCCACTGGCACATCGTAGCCGCACTCCTCCACCACCTCCTCGCGGGCAATCTCAATCCAGCTCTTTGACTTATCCACGATTCCGGCACAAAGTTCCAAGGTCACCCCAATGGAGGGCGGGAATGCCTTCAGGTCCACATTATCGAAATTTCCCTGAGCACTGGTAATTACTCCGTGGTAGACGGCAGGCCGGAACTGACGCACCAACACTAACTTCTGGCGTGTGGTATTGTACAAGATTATGGCGACGCTATCGTGTACCTTGAGCAGATCCCAGTTCTTCTCCACCCCATTCTGGACGTAGTAGAGGCGGAAGGGCTTCACGTAGGGCGAATCCTCGGGCAGGGGACCCAGCCAGACCTTGGACACATTCTCCATGCTGCGACTTCTCTGTGGGGCAGTGGCATTAAAATCAGCTGATTGCGAAAGCTTCCCCCGGCGATTTGGAGCAAAACATATGGTTATGTCGTTTAAGGGGGAGACCTCAAGCTTTTCTGACATTTCATGTCACTTTGCAACTGGTAACACTAAAATAAATATACGTTTTAAATTTGTTGATATTTTATTTAAAAAAAAAAATTTGTTTAACTTATTACATTTCTGATTCTAATCAATAATTTCATAGACAAACTAAAATTTTAAAAAGGTTTACAAAATTATTTATAATTATATGCCGGAGCTTTGTAGAGGAAGAACCACAAGAGCCCAACTAAAAATGTGGGTCCACCATTGGTCACGGCTCCTGTTTGGACCATTTTTGATGCCTCCTTTAATGACATTTCTACCACCTGAATGACTTCGTGGTCTACTCCGCCACCCTCAGAAACCTTTTGTTCATCGCACACCTCGCAGTAAAACATGGACAGTCCTCCGCTAGATGTCCCAATGCCCGATCTATAGTTGAAAATATGCTGCATGGAATCCGCGTTCACCTCGTAGCCACACTCCTCTAGGACTTCCTCTCTGGCGATTTCCTCCAGGCTCTTGTCCTTATCCACAGCCCCGCCACAGAGTTCCAACGTGATTCCTATTTCGGGGGGGAACTTTTCCAGATCCGCGTCTCCTTCCGGCACGGTTTGCTTGCCGGTCGAATAAATTCCTTGATAGACGGCACCCCTGAACTGGCGCACAAAAATGAACTTCTTACGGGTTATGTTAAATATTATCACAATGACTCCATCTAAGGTCTTAATGAGATCCGTGTATTTTTCCTTTTGATTTTCAATGTAGTTCAATCGCATAGGTTTGACCCATGGGGATTCTTTAGGCATAGGCTCGAACCAAATTCGCTCAATGCAGCTTAGCGAGTCTACTTTTTTTTGGTGAACCGAAGCATTGAATCTGGGCAATAAGAACTTCACACATCCTGACTTATTAAAAGACGTTTGTCGACGGTCAAAAACATTGTTATCGATAGTTAAGTCAGTATTATTAGGAAATGTAGTATTTTAAGTTGTCGGAATTACGGGCCTACTAATAGCGGTAGTGTGAATGCCGCCAAAAAGTGCCATTCATTGTTTTGTTGATTGTAGGAGGGCACACTGCGGTAAGAAGAAGGATTAATATTTGAATTGTAGAATAATTTATGAATTTACAGAATAAAACGTTCCGTTAGCCACAGCCAAGGCCTTTGAAGTACCCCTTTCTTCGGACCTACGCGTGTGGGGAGCCGTTTAAGGCAACTCCACATGACACAAAACAACAGCTTTTATTCGCAGTCCTAGGGAGACTGCAAGGGCAACTTGCGCTGGAGGACGGCTCGACGACCAGCTAGAGAGTTGCAAGGAGCGCACGGAGCGCAGTTCCCGTACCAGCAGAGGAGTCGCAGCCAGCGACATAGACGGCGCAGCCAGCGCCAAACCACTGAGTACGGACGGAGTCGCAGCCAGCGACACGGAGACGCAGCCAGCGTCAGTTCTGGGGACGCAGCCGGCGTCAGTTTAGGAGACGCAGCCAGCGTCAGGATAGGAAGCGCAAGGAGCGCCAAGCACCAGCGGGCAGGAGGCGCAAGGAGCGCCAAGCATCAGCGGCAGCAGCCAGACGGCACAGGTCCGCCATCTTTGGAGCGCTAGGGCAGCGCCATTTTGGAGCGCTAGGGCAGCGCCATATTTGAACACTTGGAGATGCAGCACTCCCCCAGGAGGAGTTCCCGGCTGAACGGAGGGGAAGCCACCCCTACAACGCGAGCGGATCAGCAGCCAGCGAGTAGTGCAGCAGAAAATCGGCCGCGGGTGAACATAACCACGGCGGCGGCCATTTCTCGCCCAGCCACTACAGCGACTACAGTAGCGTCCCAACCAAGGAGCACTGTAACAGCAGCTGCGAGTTCAGAGCCGGAGGTGAGCCAGCCACTCACGGCGTACCTATTGGAGAGGATTACGGCGTTGGAGAACGAGCTGAAGAAGGTCAAAGCCATGGACGCAGCAAGCACCGCCAATTGCGCGCCAATCGCAGTTGGCCCAAGCGCAATTGGCGCCAACAGTGGAGCGTCGGAGCGGCCGCCATCGTGGAGCGGACCGCCATTAACCGCCACATCGAACGGTGAGGCACCAACTAACGGGGTCGGGCCGGACCCATATAGCAGTTTCGGTGCGACCAGTGGGACCTACACGCTGCCGCCTTCTTGGAGTGGACCACCGTTGCTAACGAGTAGCAACCCACTGTGTGCTACAAGTGCTGCGCAAACAGCGCATGGATTCGCGCTACCGGGCGGGAGCATCCACAACGTAGCAACTGCATCACCATTTGTTGGATCCTACGCCTGGATGACGCCGAATGGAACCCAAGCTATTGGACCAAGGAGGCTCCCGGACTTGCCTATATTTGGAGGGCAGCCCGAGGATTGGCCCATTTTTAATTGTGCGTTTGTGGAGACGACCCAAGCGTACAACTGCACAGACCTGGAAAACAACCAGAGGCTGTTGAAGGCGCTGAAGGATGAGGCGCGCGAGACTGTGAAGTCGCTGCTAATTCACCCCGCGAATGTCAGAGCCGTGATGGAGCAGCTGCGCTTTAGGTTTGGCCGACCGGAGCAGCTAATACGCAGCCAGCTGAACAGCGTGCGAGAGGTGCAGCCGATTTCGGAGCAGCAACTGGAGAGGATCGTCCCCTTCGCAACCAGAGTGAGTAACCTCACGGCCTTCTTGCAGTCGGCGAAGGCGGAGCAACATCTGGGAAACCCCACACTCATGGAGGAGCTTGTGGCAAAGCTTCCCACCAGCAAACGAGTGGATTGGGCCAGGCACGCTGCATCGATCCAACCCTTTCCCACTGTAGCGCACTTCAGCGCGTGGCTACAGGAGTACGCAAACATCGTGTGTACGATTTTGGACGTCGATGGAAAGGAGCCGAGGCGTCGAGTTCTACACGCGAGCGTCGACCAGAACGGATACGAGCAGCGGGATGACCGGCATGGAGGTTGTCCAATTTGTGGAGGTCAACATGCTACGACGAGCTGCAGCGAATTTATTGGAGCTTCGCCACCGGGCAGATGGAGCATGGTGAAGAGGCATCGGCTCTGCTTCACATGCTTACGGAGTGGGCATGCGGCCAGATCCTGCGATGTGCATGGCGAGTGCCAGATCAACGGATGCCGCAGATTGCATCACCGTCTGCTACATGAAGAGGACGAAGGGCGAAGACGGCCGGAGCAGCGAGGTGGTTTCAGGCGCCACAACGGAGGGAACCAGATGTCACCAGTTTCCAGACGCAGCCCGGACAGGAGGTCTTCGCCACGAGGTGGTTACAGGGACCACGAGAGGACCCAGGAGTCGGCTGTCCGCAGAAACAGCCTGGAAAGAAGGGCCCCGCAGCCAGCGGAGGCGCCCATGCAGAGAAACTTAAGTATTGACGTCGAAGGAGGCAGACTTTTGTTCCGTATACTGCCAGTAACGCTGTACGGAGCTGGTCGCCAGGTGGACACATACGCGCTATTAGATGAAGGATCCTCCGTCACGATGATCGACGACGAGCTACGGAGGGATCTGGGAGTGCAAGGCGAACGTCGACAACTGAACATCCAATGGTTTGGAGGAAGAGCCAGCAGGGAGCCTACCAACGTGGTGAGTCTGGAGATCAGTGGAGCTGGGAAGCCCACTCGTCACCCGTTGAGGAACGTGTACGCCGTTTCGAGCCTGAGTCTGCCGATGCAGACGTTATGTCGACGAGATGTCCAGGGCGTTCATAAGGATTCGCGACTGCCGATGAAGCCCTACAGCAACGTGGTGCCGAAGTTGCTCATCGGACTGGACCATGGACATTTGGGATTGCCACTTAGGACGAGACGGTTTGCCAGAGAGGGACCGTTCGCGGCCGCAACCGAGCTTGGATGGGTTGTGTTTGGGCCAGTAAGTGGACAATCAACTACGCCGTCACCGAGGTCCTGCCTTCTAGCCGTGTCAGTGGAGGACACGATGGAAAAGATGGTGGAGGACTACGTCGAGATGGAAGGCTTTGGTGTGAAGCTCGCGCAACCGGTCGCAGCCAGCGACGACGCGCGGGCCCAAAGGATCCTCGACGACACCACGGTGAAAGTGGGGCGTCGCGACCAGACGGGTTTGCTCTGGAAGGATGACCACGCTGTGCTGCCACGGAGCTACGAGATGGCACACAGACGGCTGATCGACGTCGAGAAGTTGAAGCGCCACGGGCCGTTGGCGCTAGGATACGATCGGATCATCAAGGACGTGTCCAAAGGATATGCGAGGAAATTGCAGCCGGATGAGGTCGCGGTGAAGAGCGACAAGCTATGGAATTTGCCACAATTCGGTGTCGAAACCCCGAACAAGCCCGGTGAGGTCCGGCTTGTGTTTCATGCTGCAGCCAAGGTTGGAGATCGACGTTCCCAACGATTCCTTTGGAGAGGTGGTAACGACGATCGAGACCCGGATGTGTACGAGGTGAGCAAGAACTTCGTGGGAGCCGACAAGGAGGCCAGACGATTTGGAGACGCGTTCGAGACGGAGAGGATACAGAGGCGGAGTATGGGAGCAGATGGTGCATTGCGTCAAGCGAGTGCTGCGCCATACCCTGGAAGAAGTCGCGCCGAGGGACCATGTGGAGTCCCACCATGGAGTACCTGCCTACGCTTGTGCGCCGCGAGAAGTGGTGCCAGGGAACGGAGCCCATCCGCCAGGGCGATATGGTCTTCGTCTGCGATCCTGCCTTGCCCAGACGAGAGTGGCGCAAGGGCATCGTGGAGGAGGTCTACAGCGGAGCCGATGGAGATGGATGGAGCTAATGGACTATCTTGGACAATGTTGCGGCCCGTCTCTAAACTTGGAGTTTGGATTTGAGTGAAGCGGGTCTTCACGGGGTCGGGGATGTCGACGGTCAAAAACATTGTTATCGATAGTTAAGTCAGTATTATTAGGAAATGTAGTATTTTAAGTTGTCGGAATTACGGGCCTACTAATAGCGGTAGTGTGAATGCCGCCAAAAAGTGCCATTCATTGTTTTGTTGATTGTAGGAGGGCACACTGCGGTAAGAAGAAGGATTAATATTTGAATTGTAGAATAATTTATGAATTTACAGAATAAAACGTTCCGTTAGCCACAGCCAAGGCCTTTGAAGTACCCCTTTCTTCGGACCTACGCGTGTGGGGAGCCGTTTAAGGCAACTCCACATGACACAAAACAACAGACGTTCTCCAGCTTTGAATAATTTGGAAGAGCCTGCGAGGATACATTTGATTTTGAATTTAATTTGAATTGTTATACCCTTGCAGAGGGTATTATAATTTTGTCCAAAAGTGTGCAACGCAGTGAAGGAGACATCTCCGACCCTATAAAGTATATATATTCTTGATCAGGATCACCTCCTGAGTTGATATGAGCATGTCCGTCTGTCCGTCTGTCCGTCTGTCCGTCTGTCCGTCTGTCCGTCTGTCTGTCCGTCTGTCTGTCTGTCCGTTTCTACGCGAACTAGTCTCTCAGTTTTGAAGCTATCGTCTTGAAACTTTGCACACACCCTTCTTTCCTTTGCACGCAGTATATAAGTCGGAACGACCGGGATCGGCCGACTATATCCTATAGCTGCCATATAACTGATTGATCGGAAATGGTATAACTTTGGTGTTTTTAGAGTTAGAGAGTTCAAATTTGACACGAGAGCTATTTTTGGCAAACCATTACGACATGCCAAATTTCATAGGGATCGGCCGACTATATCCTATAGCTGCCATATAACTGAACGATCGGAAATCACCCAACTTTCGTGTTTTTGAAGATAGAAAGCTGAAACTTAGTACAGATTCTATTTTTGGTCAGTTGATCCAACCTACCAAATTTCATTAGGATCGGTCGACTATATCCTATAGCTGCCATATATCTGAACGATCGGAAATGGTACTTGGTAGAAATATCAACTTTCGTATATTTGAAGGTAGAAGCTTGGGACTTTCTTTTAGATTTTTTATTGTAATTAATTGGTTTTATTATGACGTAATCATAAGGATCCGCCAACTATATCCGATGTTTGTGATATATATCCGGTTTTAGCTGCAAGGGTATATTAACTTCGGTTCCGCCCGAAGTTAGCTTTCTTTTCTTGTTTTTAATTTGACATTTAAACACGATTTGATTTAACACGAGAATATCAAATTGGTTTTTAGTTTAGCATTACGTTTAAAAAATCATTATTTTCATGTTGAAACAATTCAAAAATATATAAACCAATATATTCCAAAAACATTGAAAACCAATATTGACTAAATATTCCCATTGCAGTATTTTCTCTTTTTGGTATTTTGTATAGCTGTAGCAAGGTTGTCTGGTCACATTGTTTCCACTGCAAAATTTCGGGACGGAAGTCGGTGCGTAGCTTATTTTCTTTCCAGTTAGATAATAGTCTAAATCTCCCATAACATCCACTTTAAGCTGGAAACGAACGAGTAAGCCGCACCGGAAAGTAACCAAGAAAGCCATGATGATCCGATCCCGCCTCACACAGGCGGCCCAGGCCGCTCAGCGTGCGTTCTCCACCAGCCCGAAAGCGATGGCCGCCAAGCAGATGACCGTGCGGGATGCCCTCAACAGCGCCCTGGACGAGGAGCTGGCCCGCGACGACCGTGTCTTCTTACTCGGCGAGGAGGTCGCCCAATACGACGGCGCCTACAAGGTAAGAAAAAAGGCTTTTCTCCGACCCGTCCTCTGATTACGTAAACATCAGCAGGCGACGGTGGCGGCAGCGGCAGTGACAGTTGCGATGACAGCTGATGCACATGGATAGGGATCGGGAGAGGTGCGGGGCTAGTGGGTGGTATATGCGTGGCTATATGTAACTACTGATAATGGATTGTGGGGAATACGAATCTGAATGCGTGATCGAAATTGGCAAGGTCACGCACGAAGTGTATGATTGTCTGCTGATAATGGCCAGCCCATAAAATCACGATTTGTTTACGCCTACAAATTAAAGAAACCGGCCTTCTAAGCACAAGTCACTAAGACACTGTACTAATTTCAATATATATTACAATGTATTATTTAAATATTAGCATTGATTAAAACCTACAAGTATTAATTGCTTTTCCCCTCAACTTTTCAGGTGTCTCGTGGCTTGTGGAAAAAGTACGGCGACAAGCGTATCATCGACACGCCAATCACAGAAATGGGCTTCGCTGGAATCGCCACTGGAGCTGCCATGGCTGGACTTCGTCCTGTTTGCGAGTTCATGACCTTCAACTTTGCCATGCAGGCTATTGATCACGTGAGTTGCCAGAACCTCCTCCTCAAGAACATTCCACCGAAACTAGCAGTAGGCTAACTACTCATATTATCTCATTGCCAAAAAGTGAAAATGAACACGCAAAATCCAATCCAAACGCCCCAACTACTCCACTCAGCTAGCTAATAGACCAATTCAAGCTCTGTACAAGATCGGGCCGCGGCGCTTAATGGGATAATATGGGTGGTGCAGCTCCTGCCCTTTCTGTCGTAGAGTTGACCCCACTAATATCCTTCACCAACCCATGTTATCCGATTATGTGCAGGCACAGTTACGCGAACTTGCAAAGCCGCCAGTTGGCGATCAACAGCTGCCTCTCAGTCGAATAATCGAAAGTCCGCGCTCCACCTGGATCACAGAGATCAACGATATACTGAACAGAAACCGAGTGGGCGAGGTGATTGCCCCGCCTCTAGACAAAAGTAAACCTGACAAAATGGAAGCAGCCCGCCTGATAGTCATCCGGCGGCGCAAGATGAAGAAGCACAAGCTAAAGAAGCTGCGCCGCAAGATGAAGTTCGAGTGGGCCAAGGTGCGCCAGCGTCGCGAAATGCGCAAGGAAAAGGCTTTCCAGGCCAAGCTTATGGCCCAAATCAAGCAGGCGGAAGCTTTCAGTGCAGAGCAACATGTGGCCGAGATCCTAAGGCAGGCGAATGAGACGCCTCTGCCTCGCTTCTGGAAGGGACGACGCCTGCCCGCATTTATTATTAAGCAGAAACTAGGCATTAAGTGAAGAGAGCAATAAAATGTATTAACTGACTTGTATACACTTGAATTGGTACATCGGCAGTAGCAGGGCACGGAAACACATCTCGAATATTCATTTTTTTATTTTTTATAATTTAATTAGATCATCAACTCGGCCGCCAAGACCTTCTACATGTCGGCTGGTGCCGTCAACGTGCCCATTGTGTTCCGTGGTCCCAATGGCGCTGCTTCCGGAGTGGCTGCCCAGCACTCCCAGTGCTTTGCCGCCTGGTACGCCCACTGCCCGGGCTTGAAAGTGATCTCACCCTACGACACTGAAGATGCTCGTGGTCTGCTAAAGGCCGCCATTCGGGATCCTGATCCGGTGGTGTTCCTGGAGAACGAGCTGATGTACGGCACGGCATTCCCTGTTGACGACACCATAACCGACAAGAACTTTGTTATACCCATCGGCAAGGCAAAGATTATGCGTCCTGGCAAGGACATCACCATTGTGGCGCATTCCAAGGCTGTTGAGACATCGCTGCTCGCTGCCGCTGAGCTCGCCAAGAAGGGTATGTAGTCTATAGGAACATATTATGTAGTCACAGAGCTGATATAATTTTTGTTATTCACTAGGCATCGAGGCGGAGGTCATTAACCTACGCTCCATTCGGCCCTTGGACACCGCGACTATTTTTGCCTCCGTCAAAAAGACCCACCACCTGATCACCGTGGAGAACGGCTGGCCTCAGCACGGTATGGGATTCTTGAATAATTAAAGAAATTCTGATTTAATTTCTTATCGCTTTCAGGTGTTGGAGCTGAGATTTGCGCCCGCATCATGGAGGATCAGACCTTCTTCGAACTTGACGCCCCCGTGTGGCGCTGCGCCGGTGTAGATGTGCCCATGCCGTATGCCAAGACTCTTGAGGCTCATGCGCTGCCCCGTGTTCCCGATCTGGTCGATGCAGCACTGAAGGTGCTGGGAGGAAAGGCTGGAAAGGCGGCTGCAGCTGCTAAGTAGAGATTATCGTCTTGCACCCCGAGTTATCTAAATTTACAGTCCTTATCGAAACGCTGCCTCTGGTCTAACCGAGCTGCCACCCAAATTAGCGCACCGAATCCGAAAACGGGAAACAGAATGGTTTGGAAATTCAAAAGCACCTAGGGTTATTTTTTATTTTCGAACGATCTAGTTGAATTATTTGATTATGGAAATCTCTTCTGAAAATAAAAGGAAATTACAAACGATATTTTCTTAAATATTTGTTTTAAATTTTGTGAACAAATTTTAAAAACTTTGCTGAGTTAGGGATCCTATGATTGCGTAGTTTTTTATAAACCCGTATCCTGTATTGCTTTCATGATAAACTGAAAAATATATTTTTTATTATTATTCCTTTATTAATTTGAAATTTAATCGAGTGTTACTATTATCATTCCACAATAGTTTCAAAATTGCGCGCCCTTTTATTTTTGGTAGCCCTGCAACCATTCATGACTTTCCAACACTACCTCAGCACCTGTACGTTTCCCAGTACTGAATCCATTTGCGTATCAAGAGAAAAAGAAATCTGCGAAACAATAACAATTAAATGCAAGTCGTGCAACACACAATGCTCTGTAGCGACTGTAATGGCAAGTAGCTCCACCTCCAGCTCCGATGAAAGCTGCAAGGCGCCCGACAACTTCCGCATTTCGAGTGCCTCCACAAACGGAGAGGACGATGATCCCAGCGAAGTAGCAGGATATAAAGCAACAACAAGGGGAAAACCACATACGGATGTTACTGTTAAAAGAAAAGAAGGATGCACCAAAGATGCAGCAGCTCCAGCAGCGGCTGCCGTTGGCTTGCGGTGCCCACTCTGTCACAGTTGCAGTGCCAGTCGATTCCAGTGTCGCAATTGCGTCAGAAACGGAAACATTACTCACAGCCAGGCGGAGAGGCCAGAAAGGTTTGCGCGCTGTTTGGGTGCCTTATCAAAATCACATGCTATCTGATCAATCTTTTTCTATTTTCCAGTTTGACGGAAAAGCAGCAGCGCTACATCAACCTCCAGGCTGGCCTAAAGAATTTCAGCAGCCGATATGAGCGTCTAATTGATCAGCATCGTTCCCACGAGGATCGCCTCATGGCCATTAAAGCAAAGAGGAAGCAGCTGGAGCTTCTTCAGCAGCTCGTTGGAAGTACGAGCCAAAGACTTAGGACCCTGGGCGAGCGACGAGACGAACTGCGCTGGGCCAACGCCGAGAAACGGAAGAACCTGCCCAAGTATCCAGACAAAGTTAAAATGCTGGAGGATTACGTACTAGATAGGGTGGAGACTATAGACAAGCTGAGGAACACGCACCAGGGCCTTCTTGACAGCATCAAGCAAGAAGCTCGACGAGGCATCCAGCAGCTGGTGTCCTACGTCTTCCCCATATCAGAGGTGGTCCTCAAGGAAGAACAGCAGCGAAAAGCTAGCGTGGAGCGCAGTGAGGAGGCGGAAACCATTGCAGCTTTGGCGGACGCAAAAAACACTTCGTACATTCGCGGCAAATGGGTGTTCCATGGCAGCGGAATCAGCGAGGTTCAGTACAGAATTGTGGGGCCCTCCCTGCCCGCAAACGGCGATTATACAGCCTACCTGGACTGGTTGGCGGAAAATAAAGACGATGTACCCAAGTCAACGGCGAATGAGATTACACCCAGTAAAATCGAAGCCTACCGAATCGTCGGTGCTCTTACCTACACCGCGCAGCTGACGCAGCTACTTAGCTTCTACCTGAACGTCCGCCTGCCGTACAAGATCGCATACGGCGACTTCTGCCGCAAGGTATTGAACGAGGAGCAGTTCCGGCGCAAGATCTCGCGCCTGAATTCGAATATCATGTATCTGGCCTACACACAGCAGGTAAAGCTGCGCGCTCTCAACGAGCAACACACGCTGGAGAACCTCCTGGCCATCCTCGATCTGGAGCGAAGCGATCTGGGCAGGTTCGGCTACCTGGATGTGACCAATGCGCCACTCATGAAATCGGTGGACTCTCTATTGATCGGCATTGAGACGGCCACGGAATCGGAGTCGGAAGGTGCGTATCCCGTCCTCACAAAATCATCAAATTCTCACTTCTCCTTTGTTCCAGACGAAAATTCTCTGCGAATGGACTGGGAGGCTGTGCCCAGCCATACCCAGCAGCCGGAGCTAGCAGAACCGAATTTAATGCCCGCGTCTGGACAGCAATCCACCATTGCTTTCGTTCGCATGGCAGCCACCTCGGTACTGCGATGGATTAAGTGAGAAACTGAAGTCCCCTTTCAGGACTCGTCCTCCGGCGATATCATCAGGCACGTGTGTTATTTTTTACAAACTAGGCTAAGTTATCGTTTCTGTGACAGCGTGCTGGTTTTAGCGTTTAGCGTTATCTTTTTGGTTTACAGAACTAATTTGTATCATTAATACATACATATATACATATATGCTGCGTGTGAAAGAAAGTCGCTTGTTTTCCTTTATTACATAACTTAATTTCCTTTATTTAATAAAAATGGTTCTCTATAAATATCTATAAATTTGCTTGTTTAATGCTTGCAAAATACAAGGACTTACTAGTTAAACGACTCAATTTCTAAACACATAAACGCAATCAGTGAATATAGGTTTTGAGAGCGGAGGCGAGATCAAGCGCATCTCCGCAGGTGACGGATGAAACCTGCCGCCTTTAGAATCCTAGATTAAATAAACTTTGTGGGCAGTTGAGTGGGCGGGGGAGCAGCTCCAGTCGCAACCTCATCGCTGGTTGCCTTTGGCAGGCTGGCTGGCTTTACAAATACTTGTGGCAGTGAGTTAGGTGGTCCCCCACCTAGTTGGGGACCCGCTCCGTTGGCCAGCAGGTCATACCGGGGGGCGACGCTCAGCGAGGAGAGCACTAGGGCGGCGGCCATTGCCTGGTCGTGATTGTAAAAGGCCGTCACGGCAGCCGGAGATGGTGGCTGCGGTGCGGCCGAAACTGTTTGTCATTGACGCGGGGAGGTCCCTGCTCCCGCACCTGTGCCTGTGCCGGGAGATCCAAGTCCGCCAGCTCCTCTCATGCTGTTCGGTGAGGACCATTTGATCTTTTTCTCCAGCACCTTCAAATCAGACATGGCTTTCATAATTTGGGTGCTGGTGGCGAGATCGTAAACGTTCCCCATGGGTGCGCTATTGTTATTATTAAAGATGTAAGTATTTTTATTTAAACCCAAAGCTCCATTCATTTGCCCTCCACCCCCAAAAGACTTGGCCCTGTTTTGGGTCTTGTTTTTCGTTTTGGGCAGGACACTCTGTTTGGGTTTGGAGGCAGGAAAAACGCCCACGATCTCCACGCCATCGGATTCGCTACTGCTGTCTCGGACCTGGACCATATGGGCGCTGGAGGATGTGGAGGTGATGACACTGGTGGTGGCGGCCAGTTGCTTGGACGTATGCAGTATGTCGCTGGAGCACTGATAGTCATCCAAATTTATCACATGCGGTGCTGGACGCGCTGCCACGATTACCTTAGCCTTGGCTTGGGGCTCAACAGGAAAATGGCCCGGACTCCCACTGGCCCCAAGGGTGGCTGCCGTAAGTAGATTGTAGATGCTACTGCCGCCCAGGGGATGATCGATCTTTCGATTGGGCGAGGCTAGATCCAGCACCGCACTGGCAGCCGCCAACGTGGCTGCCTGAGCCGAGGTGCTCGGCATGGAGAGCAACGATTCCAGAGTGGACAGGTGGTTATTGTTGTTGTTATTATTATTGATAATGACTGGCGCGGTGACAGCCGCCGTGGCAGCCGGCGTCAGCTGGCATTGTGGTTGTGTGTTCGGCTGCATGTTTGGACCCTGCTTTATAATCTTCTTTTTCGGCGGTTTACTGCTTTGCGGAGGCTGATCCTTGAGCTTGCGTTTTAGGCTGGTGGAGGAGGCACTTGTGACTGAATCCGTATCAGAGTTGCCCCGCGACCGAGGCTCTTCTATTGGCATTAGGTGATTGCTGGACTGTGGCACTTGATCAGCAGCTGCAGCGGCGGGTTTGGAGACGGCGGGCCCTGTTTTCGCCTTTTCCTTTAACTTTCGGCTGGCGTTCTTCTGGCGCAAGATCTCGCGCTGCAGCTCGTCGTAACGCATCCAGCCTTGTGGCCACAAGTTGACCACCTTATCTTTGAGATAATCGTTGATGAAGTTCTCCAGCGAGTCCTTCCGTTTGGCTAGAACGGTGTACGAAGTCCAGCGGGCTTGGTAGACATCGTACAGAAGCAGCCGCAGCTCGCTAGTCCACTGGAACTTCTTGCGTGGCATCTTGGGAGGCAACTCCGAGTGGTCGTCCGTCGCTCTGAAAAGCAAAACAATAACCATTTACCATTTTTGAAAAATCCTTGAAGTGAAGATCCTTACGCTTGTTCTGCAAAGCTGCGCAACTCCATCTCGTAGTTAGCTATCGCCTTTGGCATAACCACGGCGACAGCTCTCCGCAGCTTCTCCACGGCATTGTTTGACTTGCTCTTGGCCTCCTTGGCCTTCACCGCCTTCCCCTTGCGCAGGATATAGTATTTGGGCAGCTGCAACTGGTACTCGATGTGCGAGAAGACCATGTTTCGCTCGTTTTGATCCGTGCATTGAACCGTCTCGTATACCCTTTGTAGGAAGAAAACACGCTGTTTAGGTACACAATGAAGTTGCGGGAGAGGAAACTTACTTGAGAAATAGGGGCGTAAGTGTAGCATCCAAGCTGAACTTTTTACCGCTCCAGTCTCGACTTCTAACCGCTTCCTTGAAGTTATTTATGGCCGCTAAGATGTCGCCATCCAATGAGGCGGGCAACACCGTGTCGGCAGTTCGAAGATCTGGAATGGAAGTACGTTTAGGAACCAATCCTGGTTAGTGCTCTATTATATAACTCACTTTCATTTCCCTCTTTGCGCTGTTTAGAGGCAAGCCTTTCTCCAGTCCCCTGGTCTACTGCAGAGTCTGAATCGCTACTGTCACTGCTGGAGTCAACATCCGTGGAGATGCACTTGAGCTCTCCATTGACTCCTCCCTTGACGGCGGCTGTGCCGCTCTGTGATTTAAGGTAGCTATCCCGCTTGGCCTTTAGCATATCCTTCACCGTAGTAGTCTTCACCGACTTCTTTAAAGCCTGGGCCTGGGCCATCGGCTGGGATTGTGTCTGGGGTTGACGCTCCTCTGTGTCCGTGTTCTCCACGCCACTCGGCCTTGGGGAACTGGACGAGGAGGAGGTGATGACTATCGGCTTCTTTAGTGTTTTCTTGGCCGAACCACTCGAACTGTGGCTTGACTTGGGTTTGGACGTCACGATAACCTTCGACTTCTTGGCCTGATTGTCTTTGTACTTGCTGGAGGACTTGATCGTGGAAGCAGAGTCGTCGTCCTCCAGGCTTTCGCTGTCGGAGTCGTCCTCTTCGGAATCGGTCTCGTCATCCTCCTCGTCCTCTTCTTCGGAACCGCTCTCGTCTTCGTCGTCCTCCTCGTCGTTCTCATCATCGTTTCGATCTTCATCTCCGGATGAAGACGACGAACTCTCGGAACTGGACGAGACTAGCCGCTTGCGCGATCGCTCCGGCATTTTGATGATGGCGTCCGTTCGCGTGGTATAGGACTTCTTGGTTAGGTTCTTGAACTCCAAAGCGCCGCAGTTTAGGTAAAAGCCGCCCATCAGTGTCTCGGCTTCTTCGGGTATCATCTCGTCGTACTAGAAACAGAGCAAGAATTAATTCCAATTCGTGTAAAAATTTTAAAAATTTAACTTACAGCTTCCGTGTTGTCAATAAAGGAATCCGACTCATCGTAGCCCATGCCGATATCCCGGTAATCGTCCTTTTTGCTCTTGCCCCTGCCCGTGGCATAGGCGTTCCCGTACTTGGCTTCCAGCTCCTTGACGATCCGCGCAACATCGTCGTCATTGTCTGCAAAGGGGTCGTTGGGGGCTCCATTCGGCACGGAAGTTACCTGCTTCAGTTTCTTGGCCTTTTTCTAAATGGAAGATGAAGTTTTTGGTAAAAACTAGACTAGCCTGTTAAGAGGACTCACTTTCTCCAAATATAGCAGCTTTGAATAGTTGAATTCAGGATACTTGTCCGCATCGGTCTCAAAGAGCTCTAGCTTGAGTCGAATGCTCTTGACTGTCTTGGATGCCTTTTGACTGGTGGACGTGCCAGGCAGCTCCGGCTGTGGCTCCAGGAAACTGCTTCCAAAGCGCGAAAACACCCCATCGCTCTGCGCTATCGAGGTTAGGGATATGCGCCTTGGCTCCTTCGACATGTCGCCCAGGACAGGAATCGGCGATGGAGAGAAAAAACTTCCCGCCCTTTTGCGAGCGCCGCGTGTTTGTTCCGCTTCTCTGTATTATTTTTATTTATTGTTCCCCAAAACAACAACAGACGGCAGCACTGGTATTCCTTGTGCGGCTCCGAGCCTACAACGACTTCTCCTCCTCCCACTCCACCACCAGCTCCACCGCCTGCTGAAAGTGTCACTTTTCTGCACGTACACCAGACCAACCACTAATCGTGGCAATAGTTTCACTTTTACTGAGTTGCAGTAGGCCGAAAAACAATGTTTATCAACATAAACAATTGGCAGAGCGGGTCTGCTGCTCTCTATTCGTCGCCGCCCGCCTGCACTCGCGTCGCGAATCTTTGTCACCGTCTGCCTTTTCTGCAGCTGCAGGCACAGCAGCAGCGGTGGCAGTTTCGCAAATCGGGGAGTTGAAAGGAAAAAAAATTTTTTGGGGGGCTCAATTGAAGTGCTGCCGGCACAAAAACAACACACTTTAAGGCGGCAAAACACCGGGGACTACACACACTAGCCGACTGCGATCGACTGGGACACATTAAACGGCGATCAGTCCGCTTTTCGCACAGCCGCCAACGGTTTGGCTGCCTAATTTGTTTCTTATTAAAATCCCGTGGCCCGTCCTCAACGCTACATTCTCAATGCTCTCCGCTCTCCACCGCTTGCCGCTCAGCCCCGCGCCGCTTTTTCGCCACGTTTTGCAGCACTGACATTCACAAATAACAGTCGTTTGTTCTCACTCGCCGCTGCAGCTTTGCTGCACGCTTTTGACCAACCATCACCGTCTGAATTGGGTCCTTCGATATTTATAAAATATCACTTCTTTCTTCTATATAGACAATGAGGTTGATTAAATTAAATAGGTTATAAAGCCCGGTAAATACTTTTGATAACATTCCATGTTATATATTATTATATATTTTACATTATATTTCTTGAGCTTCACTTAACTTGAAAACGCTGTTGTTACATTTGTTAGCTGTGTAAAATAATTTACTCGATGTATACCTTATTAGAATAAATGCTTTTAAGCTTCGAAATTAAATCCCAATTTATATCATACGATTTTAGAATAATTTTTTTAAGAACACCAAAACAGCTAAAGTTTGCTTGAAATAATTGCACTGGCATGGTTGTGCATCCCTGGTTTGTTTTGAACTAAAACGCATTGTTAACAAGCACTGGCCCAACAGCTGTTTCGAGAGAGGAGAGCGGCGGTTGAGCTGGTTTGTAATTTCTGTTTCACTACAATAGCGAGAGTGGCGCTATTTACTTCGCTAAGAAACCTATCAGCAAATAACACTCATGCAGCCACGAATTATCAATCAGGCATAGGCGTAAATTTAGTAAAACTTCGATTATCCGGCCTCCGATTAACCGATATGGTGGAATAATACGGTCGGATATGGTCGGATTACATATATTCTATACCTGCGTAAACTTTCGCCCTTTGACTGTCAATAATGATCAGTTCGCCCGCCAGAATCAATGGAAGAACATTGCAATGTCACAAAGAAGGGTTGAACGATCTTTAATTAGCCTTTAAGAATAGAAGCTTTAATTAGCCTTTTTAAATTTGTTGAAATATTTGTTGTAATGGGTACTCTTCTTTTATGAAAATGTTATTGTATTTTTGCCTTCAATGTTAAATCTTGAAACTATGGATCACTTTCACGGCTAATGGGTCGTTTTTTAAAAACTTGTATGTACCTTTCCATTAGACGTATTACTAAAATACTAGTAAATGTTTCAGTTTATTTTTTAAAAAGAATCTTTGAGGAACTGAACTTTGTAGAAAGTACGAAGCAATTAATTTTGTGATTCTTTGGATTTTGAATAATATCTCATCCATTCTTTAATCTTTGTAATAAATTGCTCATGTTCATGATACATTTCTTCAACAATATACTCTTGCAGAAGGTATTGTAATTTTGTTTAAAGTTGGGCCATAAAGGGAAGGAGACATCTCCGACCCTATAGATAAAATATATACATATATTGATGATCTGGATCACCTCCTTTGTTGAAAAAACACGTTAGGCCGGATTATATCCGATATCCTACCTTATGTGTAACTGATCGATCGGAAATGCCATAACTTAAATAGGTGTGGGGACTTTAGTGGGTCATTTATTGGTTCTAAATTGTACCTACCAAACTTCAATGGGATCGGCCGTCTATACTTTCTTGCTGCCATATGTGTATGTAGTACATACACACATACATACAAACATAACTTAAACACAAAAAATAACACAACTTTGATGTTTTTGAAGATATAAGCTTAGAGCATTTTATCAAAGTTGTCTCATAAGAAATTTTTTTTTATAATGAAGGTCTCATATATCTGCGATATATATCTGATCTTAACTGCATAAGTATTTCAACTTTGGATTCATCAAATATTAGCCATCCTTCCTTTTTTTATATAGAATATTGTAAAAACACATTTCTCGTTAATTTAGATTTTTAAATAAAATATCTAGGAAATTTTTGTAGTCACTTAAGGCGAGTGACGCAAATATGGTCTATGTAACTAGGGCCACGATTTCAAAAAAATCCCATTAGTTCATTGCGATAAGAAGACAATTCAAAGAAGTTATCCCTATTCTTTTGATATAAATAATATCTTTAAAAAAAATAAAAAGTTGACCCGATCGTTGTTCCTATGTCAGCTATCTATGTATATGTCAGTATGTACAAACATATAACTATATATGTACATAGTTTTTCGATCGGAAAATTTTTAAGACTTTCCGACTTTTTAAAATTTTATCAACTCCTCATGTATGTATGTATGTAGAGTATGTATGTACTTTTACCTCGGGGATGATTCCTTCAATGCATTAACAATCATATCAACAAAATAAATATAAAATGAAACAACGAAACTAATACAAAAACAAATTCCTTGCACGTTTTATAATTTATAAGCTTTTATAAGATTTTGGAATATGTTAATATACCATTTTTAAGAATACAAAAAGCTAAATTTGGCTTGAAAAAATTTCACGGTATGGTTCCTCCCTGGCTAAGCATCCCTGTTCGAGTTTGTTTGGAATCATCGCGTTGCTAACCAACACTGGCCCAACAGCTGTTTCTGGAGGGAGGGGGCGGCGGCTGGGGCTGGTTTGTAGTGGCCCCCCTTTCTGTTTTCAGTTCAATTGCGAGAGTGGAGCTGTTTACTTGGCTCAAATAACTAAAGTGAGGTGCTGCTTCAATTAGCGTAAGTGAGTCGCAGTACGTGAGGTTTTGCGCCTGCTCCAACTAGCCAAATAGAGTTGCATGCAAGGGAATTCGGTCGAAACTGCAAGCTGTTATTATTGTGGACGTTTTTTCAAAGTGGAGCGCCATCGGGTGAAAACGATTAGGATTGTGCAATTAACAAAAGTGTGCCGTGCTGCTGCTTTTTTGTGCCCATCAAATCGCCCAGTGGGTCCCCACGCACACATGCACACAAATTTATGCTGCCTTTATGCTTGCAGTCCCCCGTACATATAATTTCATCGAGTGCAAGTGACCGACCAAAGAGCAACGCTCGGAGCCCCAACAAAGGCTTCCAACTTCCACTTGTCCGGCGACTTTCCCTGGAGACGAGACTCCGCGGCGACGCAGGAATCGTTTTGAACAAAAAATAAAAGCCCCACCTCACCCACAAGGGACTCGGAGAGCGGGAGTCATGCGGTTGGCGAGACAATAAAGGCTCATAAACTGGGATAAAGAAAGAAAGAGCTTCTTTGTGCATCTCGGGAATCATTTTCATTCGAAGTTTGCGGGGACCAACATCGCGGTGAGTAATACCTTACATTACCATTAGTGATTATTGTCCCATGTACTCCGAGAAACCTACAAGTTGTTTTCGGGGGAAAAGTGCAAATAGGAAACAAGAGTCTACCATCAAGAGATAAGGACAAAAATTGCTTTCTTTTATCTAAGGTGACGTACCCCACAAGGCAAATACTGGTGATAAAAAACACAGTCATTGAAACTCCAAGACCCCCCTTGTTACTCGACCTTGCCTTGCCAGCCGAAAATGGCCTATAGTTTTCTATGAAAATGGCATCCACTTGTTTTTGGCCGAACACACTTGAAGTGCGGCAGTGGGGCTTCCTTTTAAATCGAATCGAACAGTAGCCGCCGCAAACAAAATAAAACAATTCCCATAAACAAACAAAACTGGTCGGTGCCAGCAACAAGTGAGCGTATAAATTTAATTTACTCTTAATGCGTCATTATTACCATTTTGTGACACGCTCGGGCTGTTTGTAGATTCGCTGATTTTTCGAATCGCCAGCGAATTTTTCGCACAGCTGGCGATCGGTATCATAAGGTAATACATAAAGTGTGTAACTTAATTATTTTATATACATAAAACGCTTATCAGCAGAATGGTGAAATATAAGTGAAATTTCATGAAAACGACAAGTCTATTTAATTTTTTCATTGGTTAATAGAGTCACTGACTTAATTCTTAGTATTAAAGTACTTATGACTAGAATCATTATGACTAAAGCTCGTATAAGTGAAGCGTAATTTTTTTTGTTTTTTTTTATAAAAATTAGGATTTAAATAATTTAAAAAATGTGAATTAGGCAAAAACCGAACTACTAATCAAACCAAAACACGCTTTCGAAAACTTGCATAATTTTTGAGAAATATTTAGGCACTTCCGCTTAATAACCCGGCTGCCCGATAATACATATTTCTCTTTAATTTTGATTTTTTTATTCAAAATCTTGGAAATTTTTGTAATCATCAAAGGAGAACGAACCCAATATGGGCTATGTTACTCTATGTTAATATTTAGGCACTTCCGCTTAATAACCCGGCTGCCCGATAATACATATTTCTCTTTAATTTTGATTTTTTTATTTAAAATCTGGGAAATTTTTGTAATCACCGACCCAAATATGGGCTATGATACTCAGGCCATGTTTAAAAATAAAACCCATTAGTTAATTATGATAAGAAAACAATTCAAAGAAATTATCGCGATATTATTGCTGAAAATTAATTTTAAACTACGCTGACCCTCAACCTCCCAATCGCATGCCGCTGGGGGTTGCCCATCCACCGCCGTCCCCCAACCTAGACGTTTATGTGTCTCTGGGTGGTGCCATTTTTAAAACAATGACGCATCTACGGAAATAAATTACAATGGACTGTGTCTGCCCAGACTCATTACGAGGAAGATAGCTCATCGATAGCGATATATGCTTTCATTTATATAACGATCGATTTCTGATTGCCGCTTTCAGTAACCAGCCATGACTGAGGACGAGGAGCTGATGAACAAGTACGGCAAGCCGCTCCGCTACGACCGGAATTTCCAGGGACCCCGTCAGAAGAACCGGAGCTGCACGGACGTGCCCTGTCTTTTGCTATTCGTCCTCTTTCTGGCAGGCTGGGGCTTTATTGCCCACTACGCCATCAAGAATGGGGATCTCAACCAGATAATGTCACCCACGGACTCGTTCAACAGGAAGTGCGGGCTCGACTCCGGAGTGCTGGGCAAAGATAACTTGTTTTTCTTTGACCTGGGAAAGTGCATCAACCCGAGCGTACCTCTCACCGGATGTCCAACACCACAGGTAAGTGGATACCATTTATTTCCCAAAACGAACTTATCAATCATACGCTCCATCCCACAGGTGTGCGTCGAAAGCTGTCCCACCGAGGACTTCATGTGGGATGATATGAAGAACAAACTTAACTTCGGGGACCTTCATAGGCGCCTCATCTGTCAGTCGGAGGAGCTTAAGTCGGGATTACGGGACAAGGCGCAAATCGAGGATGCAATCAGAAACAATTTATGTGCGCGGTCCTACATGAAGAGCGAATCCTTCTTCAAACGCTGCCTTTCCGGGTTCCCGTCACCGGGTTGCATCCCGCGCAAGTTCGGCCGGTTGCCCCGCGAGGTCGGTATTATGCCGGGAAATGCCAGTGCCCTGGTAGGGGATCTCCAGCAGGAGGAGTGCCGCAAGCCGGAAGATGTCATTAAGGAGAAGATGAGCCAGGCGAACGATCTACTGGCGCAGTTGGTGGGTAATTTCATGTCCAACTTCTACAACGACACGCAAGATGCCCAGCGCATGGGCGAGGAGATTGGCGAGGACTTGATCAACTCCATGAACGTTATACTGTGGGCCTGCGTCTGCACCCTGATCGCCTCCCTCATTTTCATTGCACTGATGCGGTGGCTCTCTGGTCCGATCATGTGGTTCTCCATATTTGGCGTGCTAATCGGCCTTCTGGTTGGACTCTATTACAGCGTGAAGGAGTACATGTTTTGGCAGAAGGCGGCCACTGGCACCATACACGGGCCGAATCTGTATGCTACGGTTCAAAGCATTAGGCAAAACCCGAAGACATGGCTGTACCTTTCGATATTCGTTGGAGTGTGTTTCGTGGTGATCCTGCTGCTGGTGATTGTGCTGAGGAAGCGAATCCGAATAGCCATTGCGCTGACGAAAGAAGGCAGTAAAGCGGTGAGCAGCGTATACAGCACTGTCTTCTTCCCTATTTTCTCCTGGGTGCTCTTCATCGCCACCATTGTCTTCGCCGTGGGAGTGGGCCTGTACTTGGGCTCCATTGGTGATCCGACCTTCCGCATGGTGCGTCAGCTGACAGACAAAGGTGAAGCGACCAACGAGCCTTGCAAATGTGAAGGACCAGCTTTCAACTACACGGTGGGAGAAGCCTGCATCCCGCGAATCTTCGAACAGCACTGCAACAACTATGGAAGGCCCTGCACACAAACCACATGCAGTTTTGTGAGCATTAATAACCCGGCGAAAATAGAATGGGCCATCGCCTATGACGTTTTTGGCTTCCTGTGGCTGAGCTTCTTCATCTCGGGCTTCAGCTACATGGTGTTGGCCTCCACATTTGCACGCTGGTACTGGACGTTCAAGAAACGGGACGTCCCGTTCTTCACCCTCACTGGAGCCTTTTGTCAGACGGCCTTTTACCACCTGGGCACCGTGGCCTTCGGCTCCCTCATTCTGGCCATTTGTCGGATGATCCGCATAGTCCTCGAATACATCGACCAAAAGCTGAAGAAATACGACAACGCCGTCACCAAAGCTATCCTCTGCTGCATGCGCTGCTTCTTCTGGCTGCTGGAGACCTTCCTGAAGTTCCTTAACCGGAACGCTTACATCATGTGCGCCATTCACGGCAACAACTTCTGCAGCAGCGCCAAGGACGCGTTTAACTTGATTATGCGTAATTTCCTGCGCGTCATCACGCTGGACAAGGTCACAGATTTTCTGTTCTTTTTGTCCAAACTGCTGATTACCGCCGGAGCGGGGGTATCGACCTTCTATTTCCTCGTCCACTATCCGCCACAGATTCCGCTGCATTACAACGCGGTGCCGACCACGGTTGTCGTAATTGCCTCCTTCCTCATCACGAGCGTGTTCTTCAGTGTCTACTCGACGGCGGTGGACACATTGTTCCTCTGCTTCCTGGAGGACTGCGAGCGGAACGATGGCTCACAAGAGAAGCCGTACTTTATGTCCAAGCAGCTGATGAAGATTCTTGGTAAGAAAAACAAATTTCCGCCCCGTCAGCAGCGCGGAAAGTAGAATATTCCAACACGAAACTGCAGTGCAAATTTAAAATTAATACGATTTGAAAAGGATACACCTATAACATGTATAAAATTATGTATATTTTATGTATCCCGATATAGAACGGGTTGTGAGCCGTTGCTCAAGCCACAGGCTGCAATAGGGTTTGCATGAAATGTGAACCATTTTGCCAATACTCTTAATCTCTAATGTTAATGCTATTGTATATAATACGCCAAGATCCATTCATATATGACAGTGTATATGCATGTGAACGATTTATTTGCGGCTAGACGTGCAAATGGAGATGTGATAGGCGCCGACCAAAAAGACCAGAAGCAATACAATACAAAAACGATTTATGTATGCAGGAACACATAGTACATATCTCACATTCATACTCCTTAGTTTACGAATTAACTCGATCACGTTACTTTCAGTTACATTATTATTTTCGAATTTAATAAAAATGAATTCCACGAACATCATCCTTCTCCAATATGGTTTTTTATTTTCTGAAAATTCACCATATCCCCGCTTCTCCATTTCAATCAGAAAACGCTCAAATCATTCATTTATGAAAGGCTGATTTTGTAAACGGGTAAAGAACGAGTGGCCGTGACAACTAACTTTTTGTAGCATTCAGTTGTAAAGAATTCTAAGAATGTACACAAAATAAATAATACTGCCCACATGTGGTTGCGCGTATCCTTTCTTTCTTCCCACTACATGATAATGTCCTTAAGAATACTATCGCTGATATTCAGCAGATCGTCGTCGTCTCCGTTCTTACTAAAGTCGAACAGCGACAGATTCGGGACATTGACATTGTTTTCCTTATTTGAGTCCGTCTTAAACGCTTGGGATTCCTGAAACACGACGTTGTTAAACAAACAACTTTATAGGAAAGTTGGAAAAGAATCGTACCAAAATGGTGACATCGTTGACTTGAAGTCGTGGGGTCAACTCCAGCGGGAACTCAGATTGCGGTCCAGCTACCAAGGCATCTAGCCTACCCGACGGAGATGTGCTGAGATTCTGGAAACTTTGGGAGGCATCCTTGAGGACCTTCATAACCGCAGCGCTTTTGGCCATCAGGGAGTTGGCCGTTTCAGTGACAACGCGCTCCACACGTGTGCAGTCACTGCCACTGAGAGGGGTGAAAGGATCACAGGAATCCGCTGAGGACTTCTGGGGAGAGGTCGCTGCTGGAGCTGACGCCTCATCGAATCCAAATGAAGCTTGCATCTGTTTCCATTTGCTTCCCAACGAAGAGATATTGGCTTGCGGGGCGTTCCTAGGCTTGTTTGTGTTTTTATGAATGGTGCGCAGCAATTCCATGGGATCGTTGATCTTGGACCGGTTCATTGTCCCATTAAGATCCACAGACGTCGACTGGTCGAGGCCCTTGGGCTTGCGCGCGGACCGAGGAGGAGCGGGCGCTGCAAAAGAAAATATTAACAATATTTCATGACACGTTTCGGATTGTTACCTAATAAGCTATTGCTAAATGCGTCGAACTGCTTGGCATGGTAGTCATCCTGGAGGGCCAGGCGTACTGGAGCACTGCTTCCACTGGCACCCGCCAAGTCGATCCTAATCGGCGGGGTGGACACAAATTTTGAGGCAATGTCCTGAAAGCGGCTTTCCAAACGGGGCGTAGTTGGTAGTTGAAGTTGAGTCGAAGCCAGAGCACCCATTCTTTTTTCTTTTTCCTCCGCCTCCTTTCGTTCCCTGATCTGGTGCAGTTGCGTATTAAGGTCTTTCTGGACGTTGGTAAGTTGGCTCTCAATCTGGGCCACCTCTACGCGCAGCGCCTGAAGATCTGTGGTGACAAACTCGTTGGACTCGTTGTAGTGATCGTTGGCATCCAGTTGCTCGGCCACCGTGCTGCTCACTTGGTTGAAAGCCTTCACCAGGGCTTCAATTTTAGATCCAATTAGAGGATTATCAAAATCTGAAATTAAAGGGTTAGAGTAGGTTTTCTTGTGGAACGTTATGGCTTACCTTCTTCTGTGAATGTTTCGGAACCGAAAATCCCACGGAACCCATTTAGGACACTATCCACCGCTTCCTTTCGTCGATTGTGCTCAGACTGCTTGGCTTGGAACTTTTCAATGTCCTCCTTGAGACCACACAGAGATTCTTCAAGTTTGAAATCCTTCTCCGCCGGTTGAGATATTTTTCGTTCTAAAGCCCTTCGATTGCTGGCCTCGAACTCCTCCAGAAAGTTTTCGTCCAAAAGCAGCTCCTCGGGTATACCAGCTTCCTTTGCCAGATCTTCTATTGTTCGCCTGATCTTCTGGGTATTGTGCTTCAAAAGAGCCATATTCTCCTCCAGGTTCGCCACATAGTCTGAGGCGTAGTCCTTCATGACGGCGTTTTGGCGGGCCATCGCCTTAACGTCTGCATTCTGCACATCGGAATCTGCCAGCGACTTTTCCCGCTGCTTTATGAGCTCCCTGATCACGAATCCCACAAATTCTAGTAGGAAGTTAATGAACCTCATGCCTCCGGGCATCACCACCAGATATGATTTGATGTTGGTCCACTGGAGTTGGTGTTTCTCATTCAGATGCTTCAGATACTCCACCGTGCTGGACCGAAAGTTGGCCTCAGACTTTTTATCCGTGATGGGCCAGAAAAAGCGGCGCTTGAATTCCGCAGGATCCAGCAGGCGGAAGAGATAGTACATGACGTGGAAGAAGGCAGCCTGGTTGGGCTTCAGGAACATGTCCCAATTCAGGAGTTTCTTCATCTCATCGGGCATCGGGTGGACCAGGGCCAGACCCTGCAACTTTCTGTAGAGTCTTTCACTCTGCTCCTTCTCTTCCGCCTTCCAGGGCGCGATGACCGTGCGATCCATTTTTATAGCCTTTCTATTAAATTATAATCCAAAATATGGCGGTTTCGTTTGAAGTTTCGGCTTTGTCACTTAATTCACAGTGTGGCCAAACTTGAAGACCCGCTTAATGCCAACCTTTGTATCTTACAAGTTTTCCAAATTTAAATTAAAACTATTTTTTATACTTTAAATGTAATTTATATTTATCTAAAAAGTAGTTATTAAATAAAATAAAGTATTTTTATGTCGTCTTTAATTGTAAATATTTTTATTTAAAATTTGGCTTTAAAACAGCTAAATGACCAAATTCTTGCTCCATACTGCTTTGGCATTTTCCAACACTTTTGTTTTCATAGTTTTCTGGGGTCGATTCAGTTGCTGGAATTTTGAAGAAGAATTTATTTATATTATTTAAGTAACAGGTAATTAATTAATTTTCATTAACAAACCTAAATGCGTAGTAACTGCAAAAGTGCATGCTTTGGTTCTAAAGAAGTCTTAGTTGATGACACATCAGGGGGCGTAATCTCGACATCCGGGTCCAACGTAGCACTTTCTTTTTGACTGCGCGGAGAAAAATCAATATGTGTATGGGTATACAAATCGAATCGAGTGCGGCACATAGTATAGATTGCAGATATCGCGCGACTCACCAACGTTAATCAGCGGAAATATACTCAATTTGTGCAAAACAGTAGAGATTTCAGTTTTAAATATTTTTCTCATCAACTGTCTCGAATATATTTCCAGATATCAGTGACGACAGGCGGCCACCATGGGTTCCCTGTTCCGAAGCGAGGAAATGGCACTGTGCCAACTGTTCCTGCAGAGTGAGGCTGCCTATGCCTGTGTCTCGGAATTGGGTGAGCTGGGACTGGTCCAGTTCCGTGATGTAAGTAGTTTTTTTATTGATTAAAAATATGGACATGAGGTGTAATCGTGTTATAAACCCTCAGCTCAACCCCGATGTGAACGCTTTTCAACGCAAGTTCGTCAATGAGGTGCGTCGCTGCGATGAAATGGAGCGCAAGCTGCGCTACCTGGAGAAGGAGATCAAGAAGGATGGCATTCCTATGCTAGATACGGGCGAGAGTCCTGAAGCCCCCCAGCCCCGCGAGATGATCGATCTGGAGGTGAAGCCCTAAAAATTACTCTCTCTACCTGGGAATCGATCATTAACTTGTATGGTTTCCTTGCCCTTCTTTGCCACTTAGGCCACGTTTGAGAAGCTGGAGAACGAGCTGAGGGAGGTGAACCAGAATGCCGAGGCCCTGAAACGCAACTTCCTTGAGCTGACCGAGCTGAAGCACATTCTGCGCAAAACCCAAGTCTTTTTCGATGAGGTAAGCACAAGGCCATAGTGGATATCACCTAACAAACGAGGCCTGGTTTTGTACTAATATCGAAACCGAAGTGAGCTGGGTAAACTATTTCCATATAACATATGGCGGGGCAGAATGAGCCCCCCACTAACCAACTTATCTAAGCAATAACCAAAAATCCCGACCAACAACACAAGTGTGGCAGCCACGGCATAAAGTTACAAACGTTATCTCCCCCTAGAACCACACAAAGAACAAATAGTACTTTCCCCTGCATGACAATCCACCTCCTCTTTCTCCGTTTCCAATGGCAAACAATGTGTGCTTTACCACCAAATTTCATTTTGTATATATTTCTTACTTTCGATATCAGTTAGTGGTTATTGTTTTGTGTCAGATGTTGTTCCAGGCGCTCAAATATGAATTGTGGGTGTTGCTGAATGGCAGTAAAAAATGAATCCATGACTCGGAAACCTCCACAATTTGAATTTGAGCTTCTTCCACATATTTATGAATAAGCGTGTATATCCCAACTCTATGCTTTATTTCCCCCACAATATATTTTATTGTTTAGTATTAATCATTTGATATTTTCGGTTATTTTATTATGCGTTTTTTACATTTTATTTTCCATATCAATCAATTTACAATCAATCAATCAATCAACCCACCCCGACCAAAATAAAATCAAAAACAAACCAAAAACACAAAAACAAAAACACTAAACAATGCACGCACCACACAACCACTAAAACAACGAAACAATACCAATGAATCACCACCCACCACCCTGCCTGGTTGTGTTGTGGTTGGAAGTCGGTGCCGACGGTGTACAAGTCAAGTAGCGCATACTCATCCGCCAAATATCGGCGCTATCTGCAGATGGCCGACAACCAGAACGAGGACGAGCAGGCACAGCTGCTGGGCGAGGAGGGTGTCCGTGCCAGCCAGCCGGGCCAAAATTTGAAGCTTGGGTAAATATTGAAGTGGACCTGGACGGACCACGGACTGGACACGAGATCGGGGGAAAACTAAACTCAGGCTAAGACCCGCTCGCTCTCGCTCTCCTGCTCCTCTCATATACTCGCTGTTTTCTATCCATGTGCAGTCGATGAGTGTCCAGTGTGTCATTGTTTCTGTTGATAGGCTTTCAAGTTGTTCCTCCAAACATAAAGCACATATTCTATCAGTTTGCTCTGGTGTCGGTTTCCATGCTATACTCCCACTCCCACCTCCTTATACCTTCCATTCCCTTCCACAACTTGAATCACGATTCGGCGACGGTTCTACTAACGTTCACTTAAGTGTTAACCCAAAAGCTAACCCCAAGTAACTCGAGTCGAAATGAACTTTGCCAACAATTTCTAGCAAGAAGGCGGCGTGAACCAAACCACCGAGTCGATGACCCGCGCCTTGATCACGGATGAGGCGAGGTCCGCTGGCGCCTCCATGGGTCCCGTGCAGCTCGGGTATGTATCAAGCAGTCGGCTGATGGCATCCAAGATTGGGCAGGCGCACATTCGGCTGTGGACACTGTCCATGTGTGTTAAAAGCTCTGTTGAGAAGGAAATATTTGTTGAAAAGGACGTGATCTGGTCAAAAATACACATGCCTGCCCAATAGAGCTTTCACTGTAAATAGAAGTAACCTTTTTTAGCTCTTAACCGAAGAATAATCACACAAAATTATTGCTTTCTGCCGCCAATGCTAATCAAAAACTGCGCCACAAAACGAAAAAGAAATCCAAACTGCCAGCTTGGAGTCTTTGGGACTTTCGAGCAATAATTTTCTGTGCAAGTCTCCAAATAACAAATGGTACAAACAATGCCTCCAAATTAAACCCGATTCTTTTATGTTCCTTTCTTCTTTCCAAACACTAAAATGTCCAACCACAAAATTGTCGAAAATATTTAGTTACATGGAGAAATCGAACGAACGGGAGGATTATCTTCCATGGTTGGTACCCTGACCCTTCAGTCAATCAAATTACTACACAGACTAGGCCAAACCAATCAATCAGAACTCGAATCCATTAGCCAACGAAAATCGCCCATCAATCGTCAAGTATCGATCGATGTATATATCAGCTGTATATATTTAGAGACATGTCATTAGCTTCGCTCGCTTTCCCGCATCCCGCTCCAACTCGTTCGTTATTCACTTCAGCGTGCTATCGTGCCACCCATCCCACCCCCCACCCACATGAGTCCCGAATCGCATTTGTGGGTCCCCCAAAATCCCCGATCCTGCTCCCGCCTCGCGCGTCCATTGGTAACTTGTGCTTGAGAGTTTAGTTTTCCTTGTTTGTCGTAAATAACTCTGTTCGGAATGACTGTATAGCTCTGTTTTCCGAGATTATGTCACTAATCGCTTGTATCTTCAGCTTTGTGGCTGGCGTTATTCTCCGGGAGCGTCTGCCGGCCTTCGAGCGGATGTTGTGGCGCGCTTGCAGGGGCAATGTTTTTCTCCGACAAGCTATGATCGAGACGCCCTTGGAGGATCCGACTAATGTGAGTAAAGCCCTTAAAAACGATAACCATAAATCTTTACAAAATATATTTATTTCCAGGGCGACCAAGTGCACAAATCGGTGTTCATCATCTTCTTCCAGGGTGACCAGCTGAAGACGCGAGTCAAGAAGATCTGCGAGGGCTTCCGCGCCACCCTGTACCCTTGCCCCGAGGCGCCGGCTGATCGCCGTGAGATGGCCATGGGCGTGATGACGCGCATCGAGGATCTGAACACTGTTCTCGGCCAGACGCAGGACCACCGACATCGTGTCCTTGTCGCAGCCGCAAAGAACCTCAAGAACTGGTTCGTTAAAGTGCGCAAGATCAAGGCTATCTACCACACTCTGAATCTCTTCAACTTGGACGTGACCCAGAAGTGTCTGATCGCCGAGTGTTGGGTTCCGCTGTTGGACATTGAGACCATTCAGTTGGCCCTGCGCCGGGGCACTGAAAAATCGGGCTCATCGGTCCCGCCCATTCTCAACAGGATGCAGACGTTCGAGAATCCCCCGACTTACAATCGCACTAACAAGTTCACCAAAGCCTTCCAAGCCCTGATCGACGCCTATGGAGTGGCCAGTTACCGAGAAATGAACCCAGCACCTTATACCATCATTACGTTTCCCTTCCTGTTTGCCGTGATGTTCGGTGATCTGGGACACGGTGCTATCATGGCGCTCTTTGGACTCTGGATGATTCGAAAGGAAAAGGGACTGGCAGCTCAGAAGACGGATAATGAGATTTGGAACATATTCTTCGGCGGCCGCTACATCATATTCCTGATGGGCGTTTTCTCGATGTACACTGGCCTAATTTACAACGATATATTCTCAAAGTCGCTGAACATCTTCGGGTCCCACTGGCACATGTCGTACAACAAGTCGACGGTGCTGGAGAACAAGTACCTCCAACTGAACCCCAACGGGGACTACGAGGGTGATCCCTACCCGTTCGGCATGGATCCTATTTGGCAAGTGGCTGGCGCAAACAAGATCATTTTCCACAACGCCTACAAGATGAAGATCTCCATTATTTTCGGCGTTATCCACATGGTGTTCGGAGTTGTGATGAGCTGGCATAACCACACCTACTTCCGCAACAGGATCTCTATGCTGTACGAGTTCATTCCCCAACTGGTCTTCCTGCTGCTGCTTTTCTTCTACATGGTTCTCTTGATGTTCATTAAGTGGATCAAGTTCGCAGCTACCAATGCTAGTGAGAATCATATGTAAAGCTAGAAACCATTCAGAGGAAAGACTAACCCTTGTCATTTTAGAGCCCTATTCGGAAGCATGTGCTCCTTCCATCCTGATTACTTTTATCGACATGGTTTTGTTCAACACGCCCAAGAGTCCCCCTGAGCATTGCGAAACGTACATGTTCTTTGGCCAGCACTTCATACAGGTGCTGTTTGTGCTCGTCGCTGTTGGCTGTATTCCCGTGATGCTCCTCGCCAAGCCATTGCTGATTATGCAGGCTCGTAAACAGGCGAATGTAAGTAACATCTCGTCTGATAATGATAGTCAGCCAGTCATCTCTCATGAAAACAACCTCGCACTCGCCTCACAACAAAACGTATATCGGCACAACCTTATCGCCACAATATACTAACTGCTTTTTGTTTATTTTTGCCCCCCGCCCCCACTAACCAAAATTATAACCGAAACCCCAAATCAAATCCACACCACTAAACTAAACACCCGAATCCACCACTCCAGGAAGAGGTTAGTTGTGTCGTTTATTTCACTTTAACTTGAACTTTTTCACCTTAAAACAATACTCTTACTCAACAGTTATAATTCTAGGTTGATATATTTGTTTTAAGGTTCAAAAGTTCATATGTAGTGCCCCTGGCCATGACGACATAATCCCACTTCTAATGTACATACTCTTTCAGGTTCAGCCCATTGCCGGAGCCACATCGGATGCCGAGACTGGTGGCGTTTCCAATGGCGGCTCCCACGGCGGTGGTGGCGGTCCACACGAAGAGGAAGAGGAGCTCTCGGAGATATTCATTCATCAGAGCATTCACACCATCGAGTACGTGTTGGGTTCGGTCTCCCACACCGCCTCCTACCTTCGATTGTGGGCTCTATCTCTTGCCCATGCCCGTGAGTTTAACGAGTTCTCCATATCCTGAAGTACTTTTCATTAAAAAGATCTGTCTTGCAGAGCTGGCCGAGGTGCTGTGGACCATGGTCCTGTCCATTGGCTTGAAACAGGAGGGTTGGCTTGGAGGCGTCATTTTAACCTGTGTGTTTGCCTTCTGGGCCATTCTGACTGTTGGCATTTTGGTGCTTATGGAGGGTCTGTCTGCCTTCCTGCACACCTTACGTTTGCACTGGTAGGTTTGATGAGTATTTGTGGAATCAAGTATCTGGTTTACGATTCTTAATTTCTAGGGTCGAGTTCCAGAGCAAGTTCTACAAGGGCCAGGGCTACGCCTTCCAGCCCTTCTCGTTCGACGCTATCATTGAGAATGGAGCTGCTTCCGCCGAGGCCGAGTAAATGGAGCAGACTGGCGTTCAGCAGAAGCCATGGAGCCAAACCAAAGCATGTTGAGAGTCTCATTGCGTTATGCAGCTACATATGAAATTAACTATCCAAATAGACACATCTAAATATTTAAATGGAATTTTAAAGTTTAAAAGTAACAAAGTAAAATATGTACGCTTTAGTGTTGAATTATCGTGAATTTATCCATCTCATATAGTCCCCCATGTAATTAATGTTCTGCGTAAATGTTTATCGTGTTTATTAACTATACTCGTATACTCTTAAATAAATATTTAAAAAAAACCAACCCCATAGGGGCTGGTGCTAAAAACAATATCGAAATTTTCTTATCGGGGATGCTTCGACGCAGAGCTCGTTAACAGCGGCAACAAACCAATCAATGTTCGTGGCCTGGGCTTCGTAAGGTGTCAGAGCACTAAAGTCCAAACTGGTCAGCTGCTCATCCAAATCGGTGACTTTGGTGTAATACAGATAATTTTCGCTAGCCAGTTGCCGGGCCAGTTCCCATTGGTGATTGTCCATTAACTGGTCGTTGATCACAATTAAACCATGCTTGTTGTTGTTCAGTATATCCATACAGGTTCCAGCTCCTGCATGGCCGATGATCAAATTCGCCTTTCTAATATCTTCCTTGTTTGGACGGAACTTATATTGTTCGATTTGGATTCCGTACCTGCGGGTTATCCGTTGAACTGCTTCAGGGGTCAGAGGAAGCGAATTTCCATGTTGAATGATAAGTTTTTTGCATTTCCGATCCTTCAAGGCCCTGATCCCGGCTTCCGAGGATATGGCTGCTATAAGGGCGTCAAATTTGGTGGTTCCCACGGTAACATAAACTGTTTTTAAACTCATTTCCAAAGTATATTTGTCAATTAATACGAAAACGACAACACGTCAATGTCAGCTGTTGAAAGCTCTGCTTCCTCTTTCAAAGCCATTCACTGCAGCATTTATGCTTTTTGAAAGTTTCTTCTTCAAAGATCCGTTACAATTACAAAAGAAAGAATCAGTAAACGATAAAAATATTTAATTTAAATTTTTGTATTAATAATATTATTAATATTTGTTTAAAATTTAAAGTAATACAAGGCATTATTTTTAATCGACAAACAAGGTACAAGGTGAGTACCATCATGAAAATTAATTAAAACTAAGATTATTAATTTAAATATTTTTACAGCAAATAAAAAGAATTTTTCTTCAAATCCAAACTAAAGATTACAATTGTATTATTCAAAAACAAAGAAATGAAAGAAGTTTATTTTTGATAAATATTACGTATACGACATGATTTTTGACGTAATTTTAAATATTATATTAAACACTTTTAAAAATTGCATAAAATAGCATATTTTATATAATATACGTATCATTTAGATTAATAATAGTTCTTAAAAGTTTGTAAAAAATGGCCAGAAAAGGCAATTTGTCTTTCATTTATTTATTTTGATTTTTAAAACAAAAAGAGAATAATCTCTAATATAATACACTGATTTTTCAAACAAAAAGAGAAAAGAGAATAATCTGCAATACTATATAGTGGGTGCCCACCCTAACGCACAGCAATTGATATATTCCGCCGTGCGATCTCTCCCTCGCCTTTCTCATTATGCTCCCGCCGAGGCTTCCATCTGGCTTTCAGTTTATTCCGTTCTGAGCCGTTACGCGGAGCGGTTGTGCTTTCTGTTTCGGGCAAACAAGGAGCCAGAGCAACTATTTTATTTAGTGACTGTCTGTGGGACAAATTGGATTTTGATTAGCCAGTGATTTGTTTACATTTTGCCTAGTAGGAAGCGTGTGCCTGCAAGGGTCACACAGCACACGACATACAGACGTTCGTGTAACCGCAGCTGTAATTGCGTTAGTGTTTTAGTTCAGTGTATGTACGTGGGTGGGTAACCGCAACCTGCATTTGTGTCGCGCCAGCATAACCGTAAAGGTGTAAACGAGCAGAGGAGGATCCAGGACGGAGTGAAACGGTAAATTAAATCATTTCCATGTTTTCCAGTACTGGGTGTTCTTTACAGTTTTTACAAAAAATATATATTTTTTATTCAAATTTAAAAATTAGTATTTATTACTTAAACGTTTTAAATTGTTGTATATTTTATTATTCACTTAGTAGTGTTTACAATGCCTGTAGATCCCTTTCATTATTAATCATATTTGGGAAAAAATTACAAATTTGTAACTAAAAAACACTTTTGAATTTTTTTAATGTGTAGATGCCGGTTGCTGTTTGCACGTCGGAGGGTAATTGACTAATCAACACTTCGTTTAATTGGGTTTTTATTTCTGCACGCTGCCTGTACCATTTTGTTTATTTTGCAAACAGTTTTTCAAGTTTGCTCGGCATCTGGGATCGATTAATGGAAACAAACAGTTTTTCTGAAATGAGTTTAGAACTAGAAAAATAAAAAAATCGCATACATTATTAATTTATGGAACTCTCACGCAAAAACCATAAATGTGACCATTAAGTTAGGGAGATCTCTAGTAGTATTGACTGCCCGAATTTGTGGAAATCAACTGGGCAGTGGCCGAAATTCAATTAGAGCTCCCGTGCAAATTGTTTGGCCGCCCAGCTACCGATCGGCTCTTTATTTCCGATCCCCACCCCCTCACTAGCCAACACACACACACACACCCACACCCATCAGTCGACGGCCCATAAATTTCCTCTCGCGGATTTTTTATCCGAGTCCGTTGGATGGCAGGAGAGTGCGAGAGCGAGCGATTAAAATTTAATGTCTTAATCGTGGGTGTGCGAATAGCCAATATTTACAGGTCTTCTGCCGGCCTATCACCCAGCCCAGCACAGCCCAGCCCCGCATGATTTGTCAATGTTCGCCTTTCCGCCCGCAGACATCCATGTCCTTGTATTAATTAATTGACTACACTGCAGAAAATTAATTCACAATTTGGTTTTGTATAGCCTTTAAAATAGAAAACATCTTTAAATACAAAAAGTTTATTATATAAATATTTTGTAAAAACTTTTATTTTTTGTTTGACGATCTTCTTCCGTAAAAATAGAAAGGACAAACTTGTTAACAATGTCCTTTCAAGTCCCTTGAAAGCCCTAGTTTAATACTCAAAAAAATATTAGAATAATCATTATTTTCCTTTTTAAAGATCTTACCTCCTTAAGGAAATAAAATGGTATGGCATAACATATCATGTTCACAAAACAAAAATGCTCTTTAAAATCCTGTGTTCATAAAGGTCCCTAAAAATCACTACTCTGCATAAATGTTGTCTATATAAAACACATTTTTAAATATAAATCATATAGAATAATAATTAATTACATTTTCAAAAAAATCTCTTGGCTAAAAATAACGAAGGAGAGACATAAAAGATCATGTATATTAACCCTACATATCCTTTAAAATTCCTTTATTGTATTTTACACTAAAAATAAACTTTTTGGTGCAATTGTTTATTTTTTTAGATGTTTTTTAATAAATAATCATCTTTACATTCAAAGGACTACTAGGATAAAATTATATCCACATGATTTCATTATCGTAAAGATCATTTATTGCAGCATGACCATTTTTACTAAACATAAATGTCCTTTAAACAAAATTACTTGTAAAGTGTTGTTCTCATATCATCTTTATCGCAAAAAGGCAATTGGAAGACCTGTTAGATCTTTTCCAACAAACCCAAATTTCCTTCAAAATACCTTATAGCTTCTCGGAGTGTAAAAACTTTAACCATCGCCATATGCTGACACACTGCCATCGGCTTACACGCAGTTTATCAATGAAATATGGCTATAAATTGGATCCCCGATGAGTGGGGACCCAGGCGCCCACCGGGAGGCGGGTCAGGCGGGGGCCTGACATCGTATCGTTTGCAGCCTTATTTTAATGAAGGTCATCGTGTCAGCATCTGGGATGATGTTCAACTTCTGCTCGTAGTTGTCGTCGTTTAATTGCAATAATTTGCAAAAACAAAAAACAGTAGTGGCAGCAGAAGAACAATATGAACAGCGGCAGCAGATCAAATTAATGCCGTAACTCAATTAGCCGGCGGACGTATTTGCATGAATGTGAGTTGATGATTTACGAGGCTGTTGTTGCCCCGCTCAATTCGTGCTTAAACTTTTGCCAATTGATAATAGCACTGGGAGTCTCTCCTCGGTTCTCGGTTCGGGGATTCTCGGAGGAAACGACCACATAGTCTAGAGCACCCCGAAGAATATGGTTCAAGGGGCGTTGACATTTCGATAACCCAATAACAGCTTGGCTTAGTATATGATTCCTATTGTGGAACCACACTATCTCTGAATAACCACCCCAAGTGCGTAAGATCAGTTCAGATACAGTCACCTGAGTGTATGGGAAATATCAAGCATTTAAATATATTAACTTTGCAGTCTGGCGATTGGGGAAACACCCCTGTCCGTTTAATACCCATCCAACCAGGTGCATGAGTATCTGCAACAAAAAACCCGCCCGGTGACATAAGTCTGCCTAACAAAAGCCAGTTATTAGTCTATTTCGTTCAGTTGTTATATCGGATAACTCCATAAAATACATCTGCGAATACCCGTTCGTAATACTCTTAGAAACTTGAAGTTTCGGTGTAACTTTTATTGCAATTCGCTGGCAAAAAAACGGCCAGTAACTAGATGTTTGGGAAGATTGTTCTTTTTTTTATATTCGCCCCCAAGGGAGCGTTTCAATTTACAAAAGATGAGTTAATAACTCAGTTACGTTCTCGACGACCCTCAGAGAAGTAACTAAACGATGGCACTGCCAAGGAACCCCTTTCTGTGGCTTCCCGTGTCAGCCGCAAGGACATGCCACATGCACAATTTAATCGGAACCCCCGGCGACGACACAGGACGCCAAAGGGGTTGGCCTCGGGGCCAGGGAAACCACTTAAGTGGAACCCTGATTGCTAAATGGGCAACCTGCAGTTGGCTATCACGTTACGGAACGGATTTGTATTGTGTGCCAGAGCGGAAGTGGAAGTGGTGGGCTCGACCTCAAGATCCTCCACACGACGATAACTTCTTCCTGTTTTCAAGGATCGTACTTGTCTAGGGTTTACTTTCATTATTTTGTGATTAAATAATTGACAGATATGTATATTGGACTGTCTTTGCAGCCACCATGGTCGTCAAGGAGATTCCGCTTCACGAGAATCTCAGCATGGAGAACCGATCCACCAACGCTGCCACGCCCACCACCACCACCACCTTCTCGCGGTCGGGGCGGCACTACAGCCTCTCGCTGACCACGGCCGTCCTGCTGGTGTCCTTCTTCATCTGCACTCTCCTGGCGGTGGGCTTCATAGTCTACAACTTTGCCACGTGTGCCCAGCTCCAGGCGGAGGCTGGCGAGGAGATCGTCTGCACGAGTGTCCATCCGCGCAACAAGGCCAAGTCCGGCCAGGACGACAGTGGCCCCAAGTACGACCGGGACGTACGCCTGCCGCGCTCCATTCGCCCCCTGAAGTACAACATCACCCTGGAGCCGCATCTCAGCGGCAACTTCAGCTTCACCGGCAGTGTCCAGATCCGAATCCGAGTCCTGGAGGACTGCTACAATATAACCATGCACGCCGAGGAGCTGAATATCTCTCGCAGTGATGCCGCAGTCCACCGCGTACTTCCGGGAGGAGAGCTGGACACTGACAGTCTGAGGATCCACAAGCAGTACCTGGTCGGAGCCAAGCAGTTTTTCGTCATCGAGTTGTACGACAAGCTGCTCAGGGGGATGGAGTATGTGGTCCACCTACGATTCGGGGGAATCATTCAGGACTACCTGCAGGGCTTCTACCGCAGCTCCTATGAGGTTCACAACGAAACCAGGTGAGTCCGGCATCTTCGAAAGGAAGACAGGGATCTTATGTGCATCCTCTTGCAGATGGGTGGCTTCCACACAGTTCCAGGCCACTGATGCCCGGCGGGCCTTTCCCTGCTTTGACGAGCCCGCCCTGAAAGCCAACTTCACCCTGCACATTGCCAGGCCCAGGAACATGACCACCGTGTCCAATATGCCCATTGTTTCCACCCATGACCAGTAGGTATTGATGTCAGTATTCTTGCCAAGATGCTTATTTTTGTTCCCTTGCAGTCCCACCATACCCAGCTATGTTTGGGACCACTTTGCCGAATCCCTGCCAATGTCCACCTACTTGGTGGCCTACGCCATTTCCGATTTCACGCACATTTCCTCCGGCAACTTCTCCGTTTGGGCGCGGGCAGATGCCATCAAGTCGGCAGAGTATGCCCTGTCTGTGGGCCCCACGATCTTGACCTTCCTCCAGGACTTCTTCAACACGACTTTCCCGCTGCCGAAGATCGACATGATTGCGTTGCCCGAGTTTCAGGCCGGAGCCATGGAAAATTGGGGTCTGATTACCTTCCGGGAGACGGCCATGCTCTACGATCCTGGAGTGGCCACCGCGAACAACAAGCAGCGCGTAGTCTCCGTAGTTGGGCATGAACTGGCCCATCAGTGGTTCGGCAACCTGGTGACTCCCAGTTGGTGGTCGGATATCTGGTTAAACGAAGGATTCGCTAGTTACATGGAGTACCTCACAGCAGACGCAGTGGCTCCGGAATGGAAGCAGCTCGACCAGTTTGTGGTGAATGAGCTGCAAACTGTTTTCCAGTTGGACGCCCTTTCCACGTCTCACCAGATCTCCCACGAGGTCTTCAATCCCCAGGAGATATCCGAGATATTCGATAAGATTTCGTACGCCAAGGGTTCCACCATTATTCGAATGATGGCTCATTTCCTGACCAACCCAGTGTTCAGGCGGGGACTCAGCAAGTATCTAAAGGAAATGTAAGTGTAGATATCAATACCCCACGGAGTTACCAACCTATAACCTTATTCTTTAGGGCTTACAACTCGGCCACCCAAGACGATCTGTGGCATTTCCTCACAAACGAGGCCAAGTCTTCTGGATTGCTGGACCGCAGTAGAAGTGTGAAGGAAATAATGGACACGTGGACACTCCAAACGGGCTATCCAGTGGTCAAGGTGTCGCGGCATCCCAACTCGAATGTAATACGCCTGGAGCAGGTCCGGTTCGTGTACACCAACACCACCAGAGAGGACGAGAGTCTCCTGTGGTGGATACCCATAACCTTCACCACAGCCTCAGAACTGAACTTTGATAACACCCGACCCACGACATGGATGCCTCGCACGAAGCTGTACGAGCTGGAGAACAGAAACCTTTCCACTGCCAAGTGGTTTATATTCAACATCCAGCAGACTGGCTACTACCGCGTGAACTACGACGCGGATAACTGGCGGGCCATCACCACCCATCTGATGGATGAAAAGCACTTTGAGGAGATTGCTCCGGCCAATCGGGCCCAGCTCCTCGATGATGTGATGAACCTGGCCCGAGGATCCTACATATCCTACGAAACTGCCATGAATCTAACCCGTTACCTGGGCCATGAGCTGGGTCATGTGCCTTGGAAAGCGGCCAGCAGTAATTTTATTTTCATCGACTCGATGTTCGTCAATTCGGGCGACTATGATTTGCTTAAGGTGGGTTTCCAAATCCTTGTGGTTTCCAAGTTATTATATAATCATTTTTAAATGCAGAACTACCTGTTGAAGAAGCTTGAGAAGGTCTACAACGAGGTGGGATTCCACGACTCTCAGGAAGATTCAGAGGACATTTTACTTCAACTGAAGCGCGCCGATATCTTGGCTGTGGCCTGCCACTTGGGCCACCAGGAGTGCATATCCGAGGCCAGCAGGCACTTCCAGAATTGGGTCCAGACCCCCAATCCAGATGCCAGCAATCCGTAAGTATACATGCCAAAGACCTCATTATATTGCAATGATTCCTTGACAGAATCTCCCCCAACCTCCGAGGAGTGGTCTACTGTGCGGCTATACAGTACGGAAGCGAGTATGAGTGGGACTTTGCCTTCGATCGTTACTTGAAGACGAATGTGCCCGGCGAGAAAGATCTGCTTCTGAGTGCTCTTGGTTGCTCCAAGGAGCCCTGGCTGCTGTACCGCTATCTACGCCGCAGCGTCGCTGGCCAGCACATTCGCAAACAGGATCTTTTCCGGGTGTTCGCCGCCGTCTCCAGTACTGTGGTTGGCCAGCAGATTGCCTTTGACTTTCTGCGCAATAACTGGCAGGAAATCTATGCTTAGTAAGTCCCCAGAGTCCTTTGATGGAAAGACAGTGTAGCATTCTTGAAATTCTTGCAGCATGGGCTCACAGATGTCGCACATTCATGTGCTCTTCAAGTTCGCCACCAAACGGTTCAACTCAAAGTTCCAGCTGAGTGAGTTCGAGAACTTCGTGAAAGATGCCCACTGGGACTATGGCAGGCCAGTCCAGCAAATAGTGGAGCAGATAGAGACCAGTGTGGACTGGATGAACCGCAACTACAAGTCCATCGTCAAGTGGCTGCAGAACGAGGATCGGGCGTAAGACCCGAGGATCCTTGCGGCTTGGCTGGGTCAGGACTGCAGCAGTATTAGGTGTCGCAGCTGCAACTGCATTTATGTCTAGTGTTTACGTCGATTGTTTTACCATTTCAGTTTCGCCAAAGAATACGGGATACTTTGGCAGATCGTCCAGAGCTAAACTCCTAATCTTTTCATAACAATTATGAGAGTCTTGTATTTTAATTTCGTTTCTACTTGTACTTGTACTTAAATGTAAATGTATATGCAATTATATTATTATTTGTCACAAAACCACATGGAATGGAAGCCTTTATTGCTTAAAAATACTGTATATCTATACCTTCAGTCCTTAATATCCATTTTTACAAAGGTTTATGTATTACTTTTTAAAAATTTCTTAAAAACGTTTAAAAAAGTTCCCAGTCTAGTCTATTCCTGTTTGTCGTCCTTTCTTACCCTTTGGGGTAATCTAATCACATTCGCAAACATAAGCGTTCCTATAAAAACCAAAAAGGTGCCGAGCCAGTGGTACAAGGTAAAGGGATTTCTGAAGTAAACTATGGAAAACACCAGCGAGATGAACTTCCGAAGGGTCAGAATGAGGGTGACCGTGAGGGAAGTGCACTCGGTGGTCAGTGTGTACACGGAGCTGATGCACAAGTGCTGGGCCAGAACGTTCCCCACTAAAAATACTATGATGAGGGGCACAGCGAGATCCAATACAGGCAATCGAAAAGATTCCTTCTCGAAAGCCAGGAGCCAGTGCGTCCGAATATTCTCGTGCATCAGCAAAAAGGCAGGAAGCGGCAGCAGATGGGTGTAGTACAAAGCCTCCCTGGCACACTTCCCATGCTTCCGGTATAGCAGCTCCTGGGTGATGCCCATGTAAGAGGAAATGAATAGGGCAACGACCAAGAGAACCACACCCACTAGCCACCAAAATAAGTCCGCCTCCGTTGCATGCTCCCTCTTCCCAGCCACATCCCGGCTTGAGAAGTAGGTGCAGATGAAAATTCCAACGCTGATCATGACCACTGCTATGTACTGGCTGATCCTGTAGCTCCGCTTCAGAATCAGCGTTCCCAGGCACATGTTAGATATCAGGGAGCCTCCCCGAATAATCATATGCAGCGTCATGGGAACGTTGAACTCAAAAACGTAATTGTTGCACACACTTGTAATGAAGAACATCAGCACCAACAGTCCATAGTCCTTCAAGCTGATGACTCGCTTGGCCAAACCGAATTTCGAGGTAAATACAAAGCCCTCCAGGGCAATAAAAGCAAACTGGGCCGCGGTTACCAGGTTTCCAGCACCGGGATCCAGCTTTACCAGCATTTCCAGGAAGACGACGCCACTGCAGCATCCCAGAAAAACCCCTCCTATGGCCAAAATTGCTCGGACACTCAGATTCATGGTTTCAACTGCGGTTATCTACTAATCTGGGCCATGACGAGCTTTTAAGCCAACTTTCTATTTGGCCAGAACGAAAACAAGTAAACAAAGGGCGACAGGTGGTTATCGATATCGAGGTTCGGTGCCATCCCTAGAATAAAATAGTTTTGGACAGCTGACTTGGGAATTGGACGTAACAGCTGTTCCATAAAATATACAATAATAAGGTATTGTAGGCTAAAAACTAGATTGGTAATATAAAAATATGGTGTTTACTGTTTTTATATCAAATACATATTATTAGGCGTATGAATAAGTTACAAATTTACCGGCAATTGTCTTTTATCGTCAAAGTAATGTATGGCAAACAAAAACAAAAAAAAAACTTGTAAAAATGACCCATATTGGGAAATTAAAAATTTTAGTTTAATCACAATCAAACCAGGCACACACCCACAGTCTTGACAACATTTAAAATTACAATGAAATGTAGTTGAAGGACAAAAAAAATATGTCGAGAGTTTGTTTCGGTTTGGAAGTTCACCTCTGCTTTTTGTCAAGCAGGGAAAGGATTCTGTCGAGTTTTTGGGTTTGCTTGGCCTCGAAGTCGTTCAGCCTTTTGGTAATTAACTGGTTGAGCTGAAGAAATCTTTTATCAATGAGATCCTTAATAACTGAGAGGTCGGTTGCTGGCTCGGCATCCTTTGACTCCAGCTTCTCTGATTTTTTCTCCTCCTTGGCAATACTACTTCCTGCCTTTTGCAATATGTCCTGGACGTTTTGAATCTCCACAGGCCTGGGCAATTGTGTGGTTATCCCGTTGGGGTTGGGACCAATGTGCAACATGGCTCCGTAAACGCAGATTTCGTTGGCGCTCGTCAGCATTTTTAGATTCAAAAGGGCGATGCCAGATCGATCTATTTCCATGTCGTACCGGTAGGGACGCACGGGCACATCCGCGTCCTCGTCCTCCACACATACCCCATATACGGTTTCAAGGTACTCTTGCGAGGGTCCAATAAATAGCTCCAGCTTGGGAGCACTGCAGACAAGGGTTAAAGCGGCGATTTTGAAACGGGCGTTGATCTGGAAGCGCAGTTCGCAGGGTGGCGGCGGATTCTCGCTACTTGCAAACAACACGGCGCGCTCCTCATTAATTACATCGTCCAACTCGGGCCTAGGCACAAAGGAATTGGGAAATTAGTAACCAGAAACCAGTTTTGGGGGCGTGTAATCCTTTGTCTCACTTCACGAACACATCGTCGTCCACCAGACGGGTGACCACCAAATGGGTCAGTTGGTTCCCAGCAGTTTGGAGCCAATTACATCGGGCCGTGACCTTCTCGCACATGGTTTAACACAACAAATCCACGGTAAACGGGTGAAAAGTAATATTTAAAAAAAAATCGTTTTTCTGCAAAAGCGCAAATCAAAACACAAGAATCAGAGATGGTCCCTATCCGATAGAAATCGATGTGGGGACCGGGCTGCCAACCCGCTGCAAAACCACCCCCAACTTATCGATAGGCACCCCGTGACAACTTCGACCTTGGAGGGCCGCTGTAGGTCAAATTTCAGCAGATTTTCAATTGGAAATCGCAGAGCAAAGCCAATAGGCGGCTGATTAAGAGTCCACAATTTTCCGCAGATTAATCCAAACTACTAATAATATGGGTGGCAAGTACAAGATCGTGATGGTCCGCCACGGCGAGTCCGAGTGGAACCAAAAGAATCAGTTTTGCGGATGGTTCGACGCTAATCTCAGCGAGAAGGGTGAGTAAGATTACATCAACTACAGTTGGAATTCCTTAAACCGAACTCTCCTATTTTGAAAATGCTTTAAAATGTCAAAAATCAACGGTCGATGATGGTAAAACATTGTTTTTTTTTTGCACAAAGTGGCAGTTATTTCTTCTTAAGTTCATTTCTTTAAAAAAAATAACCATCTGGTAATAAAAAGTATTTAAAATCTAAAGAAAATCGAATGTAAAAAGCTGAAATTCAAACGAAATAGTCACCCCAAACATTTTTCCAAGGTCAAAACATTTATTAAATTCAAGAACTTTTACTTTCTAAAGAATTTTTTTAAATTTTCATAAAGTATACAAATAATACACTGCTATAACTTTCTAACTTTAATTTTGGAAAATTTAATCTTTCCAAATGTACTTTAGACTCAAATTAAAACCAAAATTCGACAGTTGATAACGATCACTGAATTCAAAATCAGCTGTCAAAAGTCAAGGCCTCGAAGATTAAAAAAATGTATTTCGAAATAAACAAGTGTGACTGTAGTTATCCAATGTGACCTTTATTTAAAAAAATCCTTCTAACAGGCAAAGAGGAGGCTCTAGCCGCCGGCAAGGCTGTCAAGGAGGCCGGTCTGGAATTCGATGTGGCCCACACCTCGGTGCTGACCCGCGCCCAGGTGACCCTCGCCAGCATCCTGCAGGCCAGCGGTCACAAGGAGATCCCCATCCAGAAGACCTGGCGTCTGAACGAGCGCCACTACGGTGGACTCACTGGCCTGAACAAGGCCGAGACGGCCGCCAAGTACGGCGAGGCTCAGGTGCAGATCTGGCGCCGCAGCTTCGACACCCCACCACCACCAATGGAGCCCGGACATCCCTACTACGAGAACATCGTCAAGGATCCGCGTTACGCCGACGGACCCAAGCCCGAGGAGTTCCCCCAGTTTGAGTCCCTCAAGCTGACCATCGAGCGCACACTGCCCTACTGGAACGACGTGATCATTCCCCAGATGAAGGAGGGCAAGCGCATCCTGATCGCCGCCCACGGAAACAGCTTGCGCGGTATCGTGAAGCATTTAGACAGTGAGTACTAATTTAAATAACTATTTAAAAAAAAATGTTTAAATAATTTGTTTATTTCAGACCTCTCTGAGGACGCCATCATGGCCCTCAACCTGCCCACGGGCATTCCGTTCGTTTACGAGCTGGACGAGAACTTCAAGCCAGTGGTGTCGATGCAGTTCCTCGGCGACGAGGAGACCGTCAAGAAGGCTATTGAGGCCGTCGCCGCCCAGGGCAAGGCCAAGTAAGCTAGAGGCTATACCAATGGAATCTATCATCCACCTCCGGCACAAATCGAACCCAGGTCCGATTATCGCTTTTGTTCAAGATAGCCAACCGTAATCGTTGTTGTTGTTCTTTACGTAGGAGTAATTGGTTCATCCCCACTACAATTAATAAATAATTTATTATTACACACACCCACAATTTGAAAAGGACCATTATTATCGTTTATTATCCGGTTTATTTTCGCTTCTTCTTGCCGTCCTTGGCCAGCTCCAGGCCGAGAATGCACTTGGGCGGCACCTTGTACGTTTCGGTCAGCAGTGTGTGTACAAACCGCACCTGGTTGCCTTGGATCTGGAGCTGTTCGTGCTTTTGGTGGGGCAGCTTGACCACACTGGTGCTGGCGGCGGCCCCCTGCTTGCACAGCTTGATGAACTCGGCCAGGATGATGCCGTACGCCTCGATGTTGCTTACCAGGGTCACCTTTTTGTTGCCAGATCTCGTGGCCAGCGACATTTGGATGAGGGGCTTGCCACTTGTGTCCTTTCCACTGCACATTTGGTACGAGTGCTCCATTTTGCTGGTTATCAGCGAGCACATCTCGCTCAGCGACGCCTCTCGGTTGCCGTAGAGGGAGGTGAGAGTCTCATCCGGCTGGACTAGCTTCGTCAGCGGATTAAGAAGACTGTGTTTGCTCACATACTCCCTCACGATCTTCTTGATCTGGCCGGCCGGAATTCCTTCGCCACGTTTGAAATTCAGCTTCGTGAAAAATGCCGCCGTGGCGTCGGTGACAACGTACATTTCCTTCAGCTCGGAGTGGAACAGGGGGGTCTCGGACGCAGCCCCATTCGCCTCGTTTGCCTTCACGTCGGTAATGAAGTTCACCACTTCAGGGTGCTCCAAGTCCACAGAGATGATCTTGTCCACTCCCTTGCTCTCCTCTCGGACAACAATGAATCCCTGGTCCACCATTTCGGCAAGGAAATTGGAAAGCTTTTTGAACCGCGTCTTTTTGAGGTCTATGGGCTCTGAAGCCTCCGTAACCACATAGAGTCGGTAGAAATTACTGGTCAGCAGTGGCAAGGGCAGCTTCTTTCCATTGTTCTTCAGCGCAGAGAGGAAGGCATTTTTAAGGATCGCTTCGGGTGAAATATCCGCGTCGGGCTCTTCTTCCGACGCCTCCTGGGATTGCTGGTCTTCTAACGACAGTGCGGCCGTGTTCGTTTCCAGCTCTTCTGTCTGAGCCACCGAGGAGAAGGTTACCGGAGCACCTGGAGCAGGAGCTGCGACCTTTTTTCTTTCCGCTTCCGCGCCCAAAGCCGGGAAATCGTCTATGGATAAGGCTTTCGTCTTGACCATCGGAATTTGTTGCACCAAGCTTGGCTCGTGGGACCAGAGCTTGTCTCCGAACAGATGAAGCATCTTAATGGCCACCCCGTGACCTCCACACATGTATAGCTCGTCGCTGGAGCGCGCCAACTGGCCCACGCCCACGGCGGAATTGTTGTTTGTTAGGTTGACGGCCACTGAAAACAGTCATAGAATGAAAATCATTCTTAAAGGAAGGAAAACATACAACACTTACTTAGCTGCCCCTTCTTGTAGTGCCCGTACATGCTCAGCCCAACGCCCAGAGGCACTACTCCGGGCAGCATGAGATCTGCTCCGTTGGAGAGTTTCGGCAGCACACCCTCGTGTGTGGTGAAATAGGGCAGGATGTCCGGAACGGCCCACATTGTGTAGAGGGTGGGCACCAGCTGACCCCCATCGAGCTCGAAAAACATTGGCTGCTTCTCCACGCAGTAGACCACGCTCTGGACGCCGCCATGGGTCAGGATCTTCAGTTGGGTGACTGCCGCCTTGGCAGGCACCAGCTGATCAACCGACACATGGGGGTAAGCCGCTTCCAGGCGCTGGCGAAACTTCTTGCTCTCGGATCCCTTCAGAGCAGCACTGCTCTTTGGTCTATAGGGCTTGAGGAACATCGGTTGGCAATAGTTTCCCTCCGGTTAGGTCCAATAAATCAAAAATAGATTCAATACAAAATAAATATGGCCGCATTACCCGCCTGGCAGGTGATAAGCTTTATCACGGAACAAGGTATTTTTTTCCTGCTACAATGCTGCCGCACTTTCTTGAAACTTTCATTTCAAAAATTTATTTTTAATATTACTGTGTTATTCTATTATAATCAACCAGCATAAAATAATCTAACTACAATAATAAATGGATTCCTCTTTGGGTATGTTGTCTAGTTTTTATGGAGCTCAGATTTCTGATTCATTCCCATTTTGCACAATAGGAATTGCATGCCACATGTTGCAAAGGTCGAAGTCACATCTGGCCGGGATTAAATATAAGATTATATTACACACTCGGGGGCAACTGCTCCATACCCAACATTGGAAAACATTTCAAAAAAATATCAAAATATTGTTATTTCGATAATTAGGAAACATCTAAACGACGATACTTTGTTTTTATTTTAAGTATATCGATAGCTTGATATTTGACATCAACAACCCTACCCTAATGCGGTCGCACTAATATCAAGATGGCGTTGTGATTTTTCTTCTTCGAAATTGCCAAGCAAATTGATAAATAAGAGCGCCTCCGTTGATGAAAAAGTAAGTGGTCACTGAGTCTGTGTAGAACTGTCCCGCGCGCGTCCAGGAAAGCCGCGACTTCCCCGACCTGGAAAAGATTCGTCCTTCCTGAAGCAGCTGCAACTTTGTCTTATTCGCATACGTGTACGTGTGTCCCTGCGTGAGTGCACTGGTGTTGGTGTGAAAATGCTGAAACAGTCAGGCTAGCAACGTGCTCACAGCAAAAACAACGAGAGCGCGAGCGAGACGAATATTGTTCGCCAGCAGCGAAAAAAAACGACTCATAAGTTTTTTTGTGTCGTGAAGTTCCGTTTGGACGTTTATTTTCTTAACAATTGAGTGCGCCTTAATTGTGTTTTCTTCGGTTTATTTGCAACGCAAACGTTGTTTTTGCGCCATGCCCAGAGAGACGAGACGATAACAGAGTCGCCATATAGCTAAATCGAAAATTGAAAAAAAAAAGATATGTAGCTTCATGAAGAAAGTTGAAACTAAACAAAAATATCTTTTGTTCCAAAATTGTTAAGCATAATGCAAAAATGTATTATTCGTATTGCCAGTATTGCGTAAAATGCGCTTGCGTGTGGCCCCAAAAGTGAGTCTGTGTGTGTGTGAGTGTGTGCTTGTGAGCCCAGTGGGATGGTGTTGGTGTAGATGGGGCCTAATACAACAAAAACAAGTCTTGGCTAAAACAAAGAAAATTGAAAATTCGCCGCCGTTTTTCCTTGCGTTCAATCCAATTAAACGATTCGCACGTCTCGATTTCAGTCGAATTGAAAGGCAAGAAGGGTAAAGTGAAGTGAGAGCAGAGCAGTGCAGCGCAGCGCAGCGACGCCAGCAGAGCCGCAGCAGCGACGCCAGCAGATCAGGAGTGGAAGCCGAAACCCTCGAAAGGTAAAAATCCGTTTTGTGCCACTGTATTTCTCCCCTTTATGTTGTTTTTTTTTTTGTGTTATCTGCTCCCTCTTATCACTGCCGTTATTCGCTGCAGTGCATCTGGAAGAGCCCCGTTACATTACAGCCGAGGCCATTGACGTTGCGAAAATTAATTGCAAACATAGAATTGTTATATTAGCCAGTTGGTTAGGCCGAGGAATGGATTTTGATGGCGCCCGCTTCAACTGAACAACTGTTTCGTGCTCGGCTCGTCGCCCCTCCTCCCCGTCGCTTCTTTGTTCTTTGTTTGTGGGGGTGCTCGCTCGCTTGCGGAAGCTTTTCGGCACCCGCCAACGCAACGTGCAGCTGTTTTGCAATTGTAATCAGTTGGGTTTTCCGCTCTGCCGTCGCCACTGGGAAATACTCTAGAAAATAATTTCGGTTTTGGCTTCAATCTTCATAAATAAACATTTAAATCAGCTGAGAATGCATGTATGTATGTAGGTATGTATGGGTGTTGAAGAAACTAGAACATGCTTCAGAAAAAAACGGTACATTTCGGTAAACGAGGTGTTAAATAAATCAAAGTCAAAAGCAGAAAGAGAAACAACAACAACGCATCCCAGACAGACAAGTTTTGAGGTTAGAACCGGAGAGAGTATAGAAAAAGAGAGTGACAGATCGAAATGCGTGAGCGCCCAAAAGAAAGTGCGCAGAGAAAGGAGAGAGAGCGCGAGCGAGAGAGAGAGTACAAAACAACAATTAAACTTAATTTTTGTCATTTATACCCGGCAAGTGAAAACTTTCTGCTTGTTGCTTCTTTTCTGCTTCCTCCGCCTCTGGTTCCAGTCATTTATTTCACCTACTGAGTGCCTTCGGTGCGTTTATCTAGTGTTTGTGCTTTCCACCACTGAAAGTGTCGCTCAAGTGGCACTTTTGCAGTCGTCGCTACGTTGTATTTGATTTATTTTGTCGGCAATTGTTTACTCCTCACACATTTCTTTTATCTGCTGCCTCCCCGTTGTTGTTAGTTGTTGTTGTTTTATATTGGAGCTGAATCATGGGGCAGCGTTTAGTTGATGTCGTCATGTCGACTGAGCCCCCCAGAAGTGCTGTATTTCACCATATGTTTTGTGAGCGAGGCAAATTAATTCAGCATCTTGCGTTTCTGCCCATTCGTAATCAATAAAGCCCACATGCAGGCAGGCTCACCTACACACTTGTAGAACTTTGCGCGAGGTTCGGGTTCTTATCTTGTTTTCTCTTCTGTGTGCTTTGTTGTTGCATTTCCATCGCCTCTGCCTCTGCTGCCTTTTCCAACGTGAGCGGGGCTTAATTTTCACTCTCTCTCCCGCCTTCCCCCGCGCTGCTCTTATCTAACTGTCTTCTTCGATAAGCGGCATATGTGTGGCGATTGTTGTTTTTGTTTTTCCGCAACTTGTTGTTTTCCGTTAAAAAAATAAATTGTTATCAACGGCAAAAATTAAAAAATACGCGGCTTTCAAAATAGCTTACGATGCACCTTTGAAGACAAGAGTGGCTTCCAGTTGGGGCTTCTGATCACGTAGGCCAATGCAAATAAGTGAACCAGAGAGAGGAGGTCCCCCCTCAACTACCGCTACGGAAAAAGGAAACGACAAACACTAACACAGTCTTCTCTTATTGCAGAGTATACAACAGCCTGGAGTGTCTGTTCTGAGAAATACTAAAGGAACAAGAACCTAGACGAAAGGACAGCGCCAGGTGAGAATCTGAGAGGGCGGATCTGAGATGTCTTATTGGGCACTTCAGAATTTTCCCACCGCGCCATACCTAATTTAACAAATTTTTTAATTTTTCCATTCGCATTCCCAGGCTCAACCCAACCCCGACGCTCACTAAACGAAGAAACTTCGATACCACACACAAAAATCCATCATGGAGCTTCGCGTAGGCAACAAGTATCGCCTGGGCCGCAAGATCGGCTCGGGGTCGTTCGGTGACATCTACCTGGGCACAACGATCAACACCGGCGAGGAAGTGGCCATCAAATTGGAGTGCATCCGCACGAAACACCCGCAGCTGCACATCGAATCCAAGTTCTACAAGACGATGCAAGGCGGCATTGGAATACCGCGGATCATCTGGTGCGGCAGCGAAGGCGACTACAACGTGATGGTAATGGAGCTGCTTGGGCCCTCGTTGGAGGACCTCTTCAATTTTTGCTCGCGCCGCTTCTCTCTGAAAACGGTGCTGTTGCTGGCAGACCAGATGATTTCTCGCATCGACTATATACATTCGAGGGACTTCATCCACCGCGACATTAAGCCCGACAACTTTCTAATGGGCCTGGGCAAGAAGGGCAACCTGGTGTACATTATCGATTTTGGGCTGGCCAAAAAGTTCCGTGATGCACGTTCACTGAAGCACATTCCCTATCGGGAAAACAAGAACCTCACCGGCACAGCTCGCTACGCCTCGATTAACACACATCTCGGTATCGAGCAGTCGCGACGCGACGACTTGGAGTCGCTAGGCTACGTTCTGATGTACTTCAACCTGGGAGCTTTGCCCTGGCAGGGCCTGAAAGCCGCCAACAAGCGACAGAAGTACGAGCGCATCTCCGAGAAAAAGCTCTCCACCTCTATCGTGGTGCTGTGCAAGGGCTTCCCCAGCGAATTCGTCAACTATTTGAACTTCTGCCGCCAAATGCATTTCGACCAGCGGCCAGATTACTGCCACCTGCGTAAGCTATTCCGGAATCTGTTCCATCGTCTGGGATTCACTTACGACTATGTGTTTGACTGGAACCTGCTGAAGTTCGGTGGTCCCCGCAACCCCCAGGCCATTCAGCAGGCACAAGACGGGACCGACGGTCAGGCGGGACACGATGCCGTGGCTGCGGCAGCGGCGGTGGCCGCGGCGGCCGTTGCCTCCTCGCACCAACAACAGCAGCACAAGATGAATGCGGCGCTCGGCGGTGGAGGCAGTGGTGCCCAGCAACAGGTTCAGGGTGGCCAGAGCCTAGCGATGTTGGGTGGCGTGGGTGGAAACGGCGGCGGAAACGGAAGCCAGCTCATCGGAGGAAACGGACTCAACATGGACGACTCGATGGCGGCCACCAATTCGTCGAGACCCCCGTACGATACACCCGAAAGACGTCCTTCGATACGGATGCGCCAAGGGGGCGCTGGGGGAGGCGGAGGAGGTGGAGTCGGCGTGGGTGGAATGCAGGGCGGCGGCGTGGGGAACGCCAAATAATATTTTATCGTTTAGATGCGACGCTGGACACGACACAGTAGACAAACAAACAAAACTCAGCAACTATACATGTAGAATATATAGTTATATATATACCTAATATATATAATACTTGCTTTATATATGCGGTAAACATGTTGAATGTATCCGAATCCGAATCGGCAGGAGGACCAGGTCCCTGTCAGCCAGGAGAAATCAGAAGAGCAAGGGGATAGGAGGAGCAGAAGATGGGGGAGCAGATCCGAGAGCAAAGCGCAGCGCTTTCCTTTTTGTACATTTACGTTTTGTTTTTTGACATTTAGTTTCTGCTCCGCAATGTTGAAAGGGCGCGTTTATTATTAATTATGTAGCCTATGATTAACTTAATTTATACATTTAGTACATAAACGATTGCAACTTGGCTGCAAGAAACGGCAACAAACCTGTTCAATTGATTTGAGAAATAGCAACCCCTTGGAGCGTACGGAAGGAGAAAGATATACAGGGTTGGGAGCCAGGATACGCAAGCATTTATTCTGTTTTGCATTTGATAACTTCGATTCTGCCACCTAAATTCGGGCTAAAGTCAAGGTTATTGATTCGAATCCCCTCCCAACTGAGCAGAGCAAGCAGATTTACGCAAAATACATACCTATGTTGAATTATTCGTAACAAGATCGTCAACAAACACACACACACACACATATTATATATACATAATTAATTGATTCTAAGTGTAATAATTGTGTAAAAGAAACAAAGGACACCCTGGTCGGCAAGTGTCCCTAACCCTAGGCTAGGTATTAGCGTTAGCAAAACCAATTCATACAAGAATCATAAGCAAACAACAAACAACCACATGTATCTTAAGCTGAAGCTGATTTCGGGGCGCAATCGAACGAAACTGAAGTGCAGGTGGAGATGTCGTTCTTTAGCTTTAAGCAACGCTCCGAGTTTTAAGACCCCCCCTATGTTACTTTGTACATCATAATGCAGCACACGCGATCCCCCAATCTTTGTACTATACATACTTTCGTGGTCTGCTTAATTCGCTTAATGTGTTCATATATAATTTCCTTCATATTTAAAAAACTTTCTGTATCTGCGCGCATTTCTCGAGCGGAAGGGAGAACCCCGGAAGAGAGGCCCTTTTGTTTATGCAACAAAACCATGTAACTAAGATAGAGAGCGTATAAATAGCGTTTAGACATAAACAACAAATTTGCATTAACGTTTCGATTTAATACAAAGAAGCACCCACAACAGTCGATGTTAGGCGCTAAAATTACATAACGCTAGCTAATAAATTATAGCTATAATATGAAATTTGTCTATAAGTAATACCAAACCGTAAAAAATAAAAACAAAAAATGCAAAAAAAAAGAACAAACACATCTAAATTCTAAATGCGCCAAGAAAAGAAATGGGTTAAAACGATAAATATATATAAATATACGAACTATATCTTATGAGAACACGTAAAATGTAAAACCCCACAGTGCTCGGCTGGCAGTCCAACAACTAATAAATTAATCAAACACAAAACCGGATCACTGAGAGCTGAAGCCACTTAAAACTTAAAATAAAATGAATTACGTGATATTTCTTACAAATTGTTTTGTTGATTTTCCCTTAAACTCGATTTCGCTCAACCAACATACTATATTTTCTTGTGTTATTTTTGTGAGCAAAACTACATGTTTCCAAGTGCACGCCTTGTAACTCGACCAACTTTGTATACACGACTGTATTTCAGCCAGCGATCGGGGATCCCCACTTAGATAGCCCTTCCTCCCAAGTCCTACCAATCCTCCCAATGAAGTAAAACGTTAATGAAACACCGAGTTAGTAACCAAATAATAAGTGTACATATGAAGTATCCGAATTAAACTAACACGTAAACAAATTTAAATATATGTGTGATTTTCCTCCTAGCATACGAGAGATCTAAATAATTAGCATTTTATCGAGAAAAAAAAAACAAATTCGAACACAAATCCAGAAGAGCAAAACACTAACAATTGATTCATAATAATTATGAGCCACTAAAAATGGAAACCTATCGATCGAGTACGAAAAGTCCATTCAGCATAAGCGAAAATAGAGAAACTAACAAATTAACGGGAAGCGTACTTTTGAAGGTTTTGTATAATTAACTGTATATGTATATTGAGAATAGAATTTTTGAACTAAATACTTATGGTCGAACTTGAATCCGAAAATGGAGTGTCATGAGCGTTATGAGGGAAGAATCATTAACAAACCACCAACAGTGATATGGAATACAAAAAGAATTAACCGATAAAACAAGTGACGAATTCAAGATATCTGAAAAACGTATGATAAAACGGAAATCGAAAGATGTAATGAATAAGTGCACGCCACATTTATGTAATTAGCATGTATTTCGAATTAAAAACAAAAAAAAAAAAAAAGAAACCTAACATGATTATGTATGTGTGAACAAATAAAAGCCACTAAATAAGCAACACCACTCACAATAATAATAACAATTACAAACTGAGGCATTAAAAAGCTTAAACAATAATAATGGATTACATCGGAAATGATTTTTTTCGATTTGGGAATGGGGAAGGGGACTTGTGGCTTAATTTTTTTTAGGGTGATTACTACCTTGAGCCTAAATATTAGCAAAAACAATTTTTATTTTAAAAATAAAAGTTAACAGCCATTTTAAAAAGACATTTTTGAAATTGTGTCCATATCCGGTCGAGAATTAATCGATAACAATTCATTTGTCTGGCAACACCGCAATCAGCTGACTTCTTCATGTAGTTTACGGTATTTTTGGAATGTTTTTCTAAGGTCACTCTGAGCACGTCGTATTTGTTGGGCCCGTAGTTTTTCACCGAAAAGGTTAATTAAAAAGCCGAAACAAACAAATCACAGTGATTTATACGTTATAAAAGGGCAGCTTTAATCTGAAAAACTATTTGCCTTCCAGGGTTTTGAGCTTCAGCTACCTGAAAGAGCCTTAAAAGAGAAGCCAGAAATGGGAGCCCGACAGTCTCAATCCCGCGAACCTCGATCCGTTTCGATGGAAAATCCAACTCCGGCCGGTGTCATTGATATATCCGACGATGTGGTCAAGCGTCTAAAGGCAGGCATCTCCCAGCAGGGTGAGCCACACTCAATATTTATAAACAATCAACCGGAATTTGGCAGATCGAAGTGCCCATTGTTATGCAACAATTGTCAAAACGGGCCATTGTTTATGCCAAAATAACACTGAATTTCGCAGTTAGTTACAAATACATTTCCATATTTTAGCTCGGGAACATGCAGCTGCCACGGAGGATACAAAGCCAGCAGCTAAGGCGGCGGCACCAAAGGCACCCGCTAAGTCTGTCACATCCTCGCCAGCAGCTCCTGCACCCGCTTCCAAGGCTGTTTACCCTGCTGCTACGCCCATTTACGTCCAAGGAGGCGGACACACCATCAGTGCGGCGGATGTTCAGCGCCAGATGAACCAGGAGCTGATCAAGAACGACGAGCTGTGGAAGGAGCGCATGGTGAAGCTGGAGGAAAACCTTAAAAAGACCAATACCATTCTGGAAAAGGAATACGCCAACGCAGTGGAGAATGTACACAAGCGATTCGTAAGCACTGCAGCGGCGCACAAGGTGCCTCCCTGCCAGGATCTGAAGTCGCAACTGCTGGCCTGCTATCGGGCTCATCCCGGCGAGACTTTGAAATGCATTGAGGAAGTGACTCAATTCCGGCAGTGTGTGGATGCGCATCGTGTGAAGAAGTTGGATGAACCAGAGGCTGCTCCGGCTGCTGCGACACCTGCTGGAAAGACCGCTGTACCTGCCGCCAAGGCGGGCTAATAGCTTTTGCATTCAGACGACTATATTATCCTTGTCCTAAGTTGTTTGATTTGTTCTTGGAGGCCTTGTACAGGTTATGTATAAAAACGATAAAAAAAAACAAGCGCGAAAGAGTCATTGCGAGCAATAGTAAACTAATTTAAATGAATCAATTCATTTTTTACTTGTGGTTGGTTGTGGATGAAAACAAGACGAGGTGTGTAAATTTTTAGTGAGTGTATTTGGTAAATTTCAACAAATCTCTTCTTCAACTACATAAGCCGTAAAACTAATTAAAACCCATATTTACAACAGATGCCCGATAATAACAGCAACCAAACTGGGAATCAGGGTGACTTGTACAACAGTGGCGCTGCTTTTAGCTGCACTAGCTTCCCGCTTGTCTTCGGTATCCTTGTGATTTTTACACGTTTCATCGAAATCCTTGGCAGGGCCAAGGCAGCCAGTATAGCTCATCACATAGGCAAGATAATTCTGTTCGAAAACTCCACGGATTAAGCTCGAGCCTGGACCATAGGCGAACACAGCAACATCCTCGCCGCCATGAGTTTCGTCCTTGCGGGGAACAGCAGCCAAATGGCGGTAGGTGGGAGCAGCGCGCTCCTCTTCCGTGAAAAGCTTCAGAGGCATCCACATATTGGAACTATTCTGGGGCCTCGAGTCATTGGCCAGGTGGTCATAATAGCCAGGACCATTGGCATAGGATATGGTTTCGTACATCATAGGATCGTTTTTCTCATGAGAATTGGCTGCTCCCAGGATGTCATGACCGCGGAGGGCATAGCCATTGAATGTGACCGCGTGTGAGTGGTCGGCAGTAACCAGAATGAGGGTCTCGTCTGGATCGGTGGCATTCACGGCCGCCTGGATGGCCAGATCAAATTCGTAGAGTTCGTGGAGAGCAGCCCGGGCATAGTTCATGTGATGGCCCTGATCTATGCGGCCTCCTTCTACCAGGAGCACATATCCATTAGAGTCTTCACCCCTTTCGAGGACTTTCAAGGCCACCTCTGTCATTTCTTGCAGGGAAGGTTCTCCCACTTCCCTGGCCACGGAGTAAGTGATGTGATTGTTACGGAAGAGACCCATCAGATGGTCCACCTTTTTGGCATCCACGTTCAATAAGTCCCGTCGGTTGTGAACCAATGCCGGGGGAACGGAATCGTTGGCGTGATGGGCCAACCACTCTTGTGGTAGTCTCCTTCCGTCCGCACGTCGGCAAATTGTTTCCGTGGGTCCCTCGAAAACTGTCGTTTTCACTTCGGATGCATTAAGGATGCCCATCGGAGACATTCCACCACCCAGGATCACGTTGAAGCGATTGCCTGGCTCGTTCTCCACCAGTTGTCGGGCAATATCCACATGAATGCCCACGGACTCGGCGGGAACCTCTGTGTCGCACTCCCAATCCCGATCGTAGATGTGGGCGTAGGTTGCAGCTGGCGTGGCATGGGTAATTCGAGTGGTGGTAACTATTCCAGTTCGCTTTTTCTCCTTTTGGGCCCACTCCATAACGCTCTCGACACGTCCTTGCTGACCATTCTTCTTGGAGCGCGTGGCATCCATTCCGATGGCACCGTAATGGGTCTTGGATCCAGAGAAAATAGCTGTGGCGGTTCCTGCTGAATCCGGTACTTGCTTGTCCACATTGTAGGTCTGTAAGGTTATCAAGGGTTTTAATTGAGTTTAAGATTTAACATAGATGGTAGTATTCCAATAGTTGTAGGAGGATAGTATTCCAATAGTTTTAGGAGGATACTCTACCTTTGCCATTCCAGTGTTGGGGAAATGGTCAAACACCAAGGTCTCCTCCTCGCCCATTCCATGCTTCAGGTACTGGCCCTTGTAAATGCGACCAGCACTGATGGTGGATATACCCATGCCATCTCCGATGAAGATTATGATGTTGCGGGCCTTTTTCTGGTAGGAGTTCTCCTTCACTCGCTGGGCCTGCTTGATCGTCTTCTCCAGCTGCTTGAGACCCACTTTATGCCAGAATTCCGCATCTGAAATTGAAATGGAAATTAGAATAACCATTAAAATTAAGTCAGAATGGAAATGGCTGGGTAAGTAACCGGTGGGCATGTCACGTATCAATTACCCATCTCCAGTTAAATCCAGTTGCCACTTAAAACGTTTCTAGTTCGACACTTGAAATAGCCTACTAGTTATGTACTAGTTACCTTTTTTTTTATTGTTCCTACGATAACTGCTTTTTTTAATGGATGCACCGACATTGTATTTGAAACTAGGCACTAATTTTTAATAAAATCAATGGGCAGGTTTTAATATAAAGTTTTGCTTATGCAAATTGACATTTTTTAAATGAATTCCTAAAATTAAAATTAATTTTATTTATGCCAAGCTATTTACATTTTTTCTAATTGGGTTTTCAGATTTAACTCCACAATCTTAAGTCAAGATAATACATATCAATTAGTTGCGGGCCCAATATGGCTTTTGCATTTCCTTTCCCCAACTCGGAACGTGCATTAACTGATTCAGTTGCGATGATGTTTATCATTCTGTGATGTGTAATTAATATTCAATCGAGGTAGCTTAAGTATGAGCCGGGTAGTGCCACCCACCGCCACCCGCTTTTAAATGGCCTCGACACTGAGACAGGTTACAGTTAAGCTTCATTGCCTGACTACCAATTTTGGCTTCGCAACGAAATTAAAAGTCTATGATTAATCACAAATATCTACTGGTCACCCATTATTTATTTTCTGAGTGATTTTCAATGATTTGAAGATTCTATTATTCGATCTAATTAATCAGAATAAACCCAGTTCATTCTGGTCATTACTTGAAATTAAACAATTGCGGTTTTTGTTTATAAAAACCTGAACTTCTTACCGGAGTTTTGGATAAAATTAGTATTACAATTACATATTTTTTACCTGAACTAAGTTAAAGTGCTCAAAAACCTTGATAGAACTAGTTATCTAAGTACACATTACATAATTGAACTCAGAGTACCGTTCAAGTTCAACTAATTTAAATTATTTCACGTACTAAGTGGCATTGCTTTAGTTAGGGTTTTGCACGTTTTATGGCCGTTAAATGCGTTGTTTCTTTAGCCTGAGCCTTACCTTCTGGTTCCTTGGGTTTGTCGCTGTCCTGATTTAATTTAAACTGAGGTCCTATGTCTCCGCCGGCACTGAGGGTTCGAATCAATGGCGGAGGTTGGGTGGTGGCCGCCCAGCTGACAGCCATCAGGCCACACCACAAAAGTCCGACTATTGCCAAGGAATGCATTTTTTTGCTCCGCAACACAGGCGTAATAAGACGTACTACTTTTGGGTTTGTATAATTTTTTTGTCTTGCAATTCCTATTTATATCACAGCTGAGCTTGAGGCGCAGATTCTTTCAGCAGGCCATCGAAATTGATTCGGAATGCGCGGAACGATCTCGTCTCTGGGATGCTCTCGAAGTTCTGGACCCGCTCTTGGTGTCCCGGGTGGATCTCAATTAGCGACTAACACCGAACTGGGCCCTCAAGCGCCGTTATATGGTGTACGATCCGTCTGAACCGATCGGTTAAACCCGAAGTCCGCACACCCACACAGACGCACAATGATCACTTCGTCTGTTTGGGCTATACCTAGTATTTGGTGGGCTACGAGTGGGTAGTGGGTGTTTAAGACACGAAAATAAGCGTTCCTAAATAATTATATTATTTTAAAAATTCAATTTCCTTACCTTTACATTTAAATACGAAATCCAAATTAAAGTTAAATGAAAAAACTAAGCAGAATTTTGTTTGGGATTTTGTTTCTGTTTTTTATTAAAATTAAAATATTCATTTTTAAAAAATTTTTAAGAAAATTGCAGTTATAATATAGTAACATATAGAAATATGATGTTAAAAGTGAATAATAAGGGAAAACCCTTGAGAAGAAAAATTATTCAATAATAATATCAGACATTTAAAAAAATAATTTTTTCAAGGTAGAGGTAACTTTTCTGCCTATAAGATTTTTTTCAAACTAATTAAAATCATTGCTGTCACTTGCAAAACGTTTGTCTCAATTAAAATTACGGCTCTGGCGAGATAAATCCATAAAAACGTGCAAAGCCTTTGGGACCCTTGGCTTGGGCCGTAGCACCATAAACACCTGAACCATCACCGGAGTCTCTCCGGGAAAAATTCGTGTCGATGCGCTGATTTACGGCGGAATTTGCACGTGAAGCGCCTGCTGTGGTCGGCTGTTTGTCGGGTGATTTCGGCGAGGGGTTTATCTTGATCCATATGTCTGCAGTTGAACTGGCGGTGCCGTTGTTTGCCTTCTCCGAAATTGATAAAGTCAGTGGGACAACGTTGCGTATGCGTGCTATTTACTATTGGGCTGCCATTGGGCAGAATTTTAAAAAGAGTTTATTTTCCGGCTGACAGTGTCTGCTCTGCGACCTCTCAATGCCGTTTAAATCTCACTTAATATGATCTTTTTATAGCGCCTGCTAGGTCTTGTCTAATATACATAAAAGCTACGATCTGTGAGCATCGCAATAAAAATCTAGTCATCGCATTGACAGACGACAGTCTGGAAATAGGGGCTATTGTCGGAGATTGTTGGATGTGTTGGGTGTACTAGTTATAGATACTATAACATGCATATGGCAGATTCAGATATTAAAGTTATTTTCATTGAGAATTTTTGGCCTCTGCTATTTAAAATGTTAAACTATTACAGATATTTTCAAACCTTTCTCCACAAATTACGTGATTATGCAAAGTTTGCTTACTTCAATGATTGTATACCTTGGAACGATAGCTAAGAACAAAGTCAATATTAATCTTGACAGTATATGCTATTATGGGCTACCTAGTTTTATGGAGTAGCATCCAGTTTGGTGATGATAGATTGTAGACCCTTTGCCTTAGCTTGTAGTAAATCTTTGTTTGCCCCTTCCTGATTATCTTGTCTCTGTGCGCACGTTTTAGACAACATTGCGATACAGATAAATCGAAAAAACCCACGAAAATACTTAAAATACAAGGAAACTTCCACTGCAAGTGACGCTTTAGTTTGGGCTCGTTTATAGTTCTAGTGTTTACATTTGGTTAATTGTTATTGCATCGACTCGTGTTGATCTGTCACGCTTGACTGGATAGCAGCAGCACTTGGTAATGAATTAGTTTGTGAAAACAGTGATGGAAGCTAATACAGATTTTTTGTTAGAATATTAAGTTAGTTTATATACTAAAAAAAAGGGCTTCAATAATCATTTGCTGATTAAGCTTTAAAATAGTTGCAGGATAAGAACAGCTTTTATTAGTTTTTTTAAAACAGAAAATATTTTTTAATCTTGAAGAAATCTTTCATTTAAATATATATTTAAAACTGTTCACATCTCTAAGGAGAGTATTTTTTTTAATTCATAACCTAGAACCAAACACACGAAAACTGTAATTTTTTGAGCTATTTTTTCCCAATAAGTATTGTTTGTTCGTTATTAGGCCACTTATTAATTTTAAAATAAAAACAAACAAGCCATTAGTTTGTGGAACTATTTTTCGCCACTTTTATTGAACTTTTTTTATGTCACGTATTAATTTTCGCTAATATTGAGGGTGAATATGGGTGTTTTGCCATCTGAGGGATTTCTATGAAATAATCCTAAAATTGTAGGCACTTGTTTTTGACTAGCATAGGAGAAGGTTTTTGGTATAAAATTTTAACTAACAAAAAGTACAACTAAATGGGCAACAGAAGATCGTAACAAAAATTATAATCAATAGTTTGGAGCAGCTCTATGAGAACTTCTTCGAGGTGAATCCTGCCCGGACATTACTGGTGGTGGCCGACTTCACAGTCGTCCTGCTCGTCTTGGTTACGGTTGTGGTGTCATTACTGCTACTGCTAGTGTTGTTGCTGTTCTTTGTCGTTGTGTCGTTATTATTATTGTTGTTGTTGCTGTTGGTGTTATTGGAGCTGTTGCTGCTGGTGGTCCTGGTCACCGTGGTAATGCTGCTGCTACTGGCACTCATCAGCAGCGGACGACGCGGCGGCATCCGTTCATTGACCGCATCCAGTCCTTTGGCCTCCGCAAAGGAGTGAATGTGCGAGGCTGCGGTGAGTCCTTGCAGAGCTGCGAAACAGACGGAAACGGTTTTAATTAATCAACATCAATACCAGACCTTTAGTATCTAAGTTTTGAGTTTGAGGTTTATTTCAATCAGCGCGGGCATACAATTACAAAAAAAGGTTAAGAGTATGTCAAGAGTTTCTTTAAAGTTTAAAAACTTTTATATTTGTCAGATCATATATATCAATATAATTCAGAACATATATCAGAATCAAAATATAACCATTATCAAAACGGAAATGTCTGCGTTCTTATGTCTTTTCGAGGCACAAATTCAGCATTTAGTTTTTTGCGTCACAAAAATGCAAATATTTTCAAGCGGAAATGTCTGTTGATTCGTTTTCTTGCAAATTTTGTATCTAAGGCTTAAAGTTTACATTCGCATGCAACTTCTCCTCAAGATTTGAATTTATTCCCACCGACTGCACATTTTACCATTACAAATTGGCGTTCGATTAAAAATTCAACCATCTAAAGATAGCGAATTGGAGCTAAAAATAACTTTCCCAAAAGTAAAATAATATGAAACACCTGTGGCTAAAAATGTATGGCGCTTGAACCTTCTTTTATTTGCACCAAAATATTAGTTTTTCTAATGGTATATTAATAGCTTTAGATTAGATGAATTTAAAGTCAATTATTGTTGGTAAACGGGAAGCACAATTTATACGACGGTTTCGATACATCAGATGGAAAATAAAAATGGCCACTAAGGTGAGACGCTTATTTTACTTATAAAGTTTAAAACTAATAGTTTTGTTTCGACGCATTCTACTGATATTGAGGCTTTGAAAATCGCTTAATATATTGGCATTGCAGCTAATAAGTTACTCGATTCATACTCGACAAAGTTTTAAGTCGGTTGATCAAATAAATTTACTTTGTTTCGTGCAAAATAATAGAATTTCTATCTGTGTAGGAATGTGATAGGATGAGCTATTTTAAGCTACAGCCTAATTTTGTAATGACATTTTAAAAGCCTAAAATAATATATACCCTGAAGTTCTGATGACCCAAAATCACTCATAATACAAACCAGTATATAAATGTGCACAGAAAGGGTTGATAATATTTTATAACATTTAAAAAATACACCCGGTATCGTCGGAAATAAAATATGCTTAGAAAGTTTTCGGTGTTTTTTGTGGCAATCAGTTTCATCTTTTTCATTGAAAAGGTTATAAATATTGATTTAGATTCTTAAAACTATTTCGAAAATGATAATTTAATTTATTTTAAGGTCTCCACAAAGTTTGAATTCACCAATCTTAACTGCGAGACATTGAATAAATCCTACGCCGAATTTGAATACTGCTATCTCAAGTCCATAAATCGAACTTACAAATATTTGTCAGTTAAAGTAAACTTATTAAAGAAGCCTATTGGAAAAGTAAAGGTAATAAAAGGTAGTAAAGGTTTTTGGGCAATAAATTTTAAATAAAGTTTTTTCTCTTAAAAAATTATTTTAGGTTCGAGCCGCTCTCTTTAAGCGATTTAATGGTTGGAGGCCATTTATGTTCGATATGACAGTAGATGCCTGTAATTTTTTGAAAAATACAAAGTCTAACCCAGCGGCTAGATACTTTCTTGACTTGTTTAAGCCGTATTCAAATATGAATCATTCGTGCCCATTCGATGTTAGTACTTTTCGCGATATGATTCTGAAAATAGTTTGACTGTTTTGATTTTAGCATGACCTTATAGTGGATAAATTAGATGTAGCTCACATAAACAACCAAGCAACTGTTGTTCTACCATTTCCCGAAGGCGATTATTTTTTGGAAACTCATTGGATTGCATACGATATCGACCGAGCTGTGGTTAAGCTATATGGAACACTGTCGTGAATGTAGTTGGCCGATCCGTATTTGAATTGTATTATAAAACCAATGTATTAGAATACAAATTAAATTATCCCAAGGTTCTATCTTCAAAAATACCAAAATTTGTATTTTCCGACCATTTTCGACCGTTAATTTTATGGCAGCCTTAGGACATAGACGGGCAATCCTTATGAAATTTGGTATGTCGTATTAATTTGCCAAAATATAATATATAGAAAATCCCAACTCTCTTACTCTAAAACAACCAAGTTGTGACATTTCCGATCAATAAGTTGTGTCGGGTCAGGTAGCAGCCGTTGTTTTAGTGTTAAGATTTTTTTATTAGGCTTATTTATGTACAAATCACTTGGTTTGTCGCAAGCCGACTATCCTCGGCGGGAGGACTTTAACGGGGCTAAAGAGTTTTAGCTCCGCAATATCTAGGTGGGACCGCCCTCTCTTTTATTGAGAGCTTTAGCTTCGCAATGTGTAGTCTTAATGTACATTACATTAAGTCACTGCATGCACCATAAACTGGTCTATCAATGTTTGATCATCCAGTTTCATTTGCTTGTAGAATAAACATTTTAAGAGCGTTTAAATAAATTAATTCGTCTATGTATTTTGGTGCGGATTAATTTCGTTGAAAAATCTCAATGACCAAAACAGTTTTATAGTCGGCAGATCCCGGCCGTTCCGACTTAAATACTGAGTACAAGGGGAAGAAGGGTGTATGCAAAGTTTTAAGTCGATATCTTTAAAACTGAGAGAGTAGTTCGCGTAGAAAAAGGCAGAAGGACAGACGGACTTGCTTATATCAACTCAGGAGGAGAGATGATCCTGATCGAGAATATAAATACTTTATAGGGTCGGAGATGTCTCCATCGTTGCGTTGCGCACTTTTGACAAAAATAAAAATACCCTCTGCAAGGGTTGTAGTTATAAATCCCAATCCCAGTTATTTTGGTTCGAAAGTTAAAAGTTTTCATAAAAATAATCTTATTTAACCAATACCTTTCGATTGGTTTGTCACTTACATAGTTAGATCTGACAAAAACAGAAGTATGTTTATTTTTCAGCAACAAATTTCAGATATAACCGCGTTCGGTTCGCACTGTCATCCTCATCCTCAAATTATTGTACATTTGAAACTTTGTTACTTTTTCAAAGACTAATAGTGTTTAAAATATGTATATAGAAATCTCATATACTGATCTAAACTTTTATAATGATTTCATTAAAACTGTTCAATTGTGCCAATCGAATCTCTATTAAAATATATCTGGATACCAATTAAATTTTCCCGAATAGTTGGTTTACATATAAACAGCCCACATGCACATATTTAGAGATAAAACCGAACGAAGTTTGAATAGACTTTTATTTCTGGTCAAAGATGAGTATGAAACTGGTGTTATTCTGGTTGTCACTGTTGATTCTAAAAGTAATTGCAAAAATTTCCTACGTGGTCCAAATGAATTGAATAATTTTTTGGTAGATTTCATGCAAATTTGAATACACGAATGTTAAGTGCACATCCTTGGATGAAAAATTCGTTGGCTTTGAGTATTGCTATATAAAGTCAGTGAATCGGAGCTATAAATACCTCTTCATAAAAGCGAACTTATTCAAAACGCCCATTACTAAGATTAAAGTATGTATAGTACAGTGTTCGCGGACATTTTATGAAAGTTTCTTTTAATTTTGACATATTTTCTCAGGTCACTGGAATAGTATTTAAAAAGTTTAATGGTTACCGGCCCTTCATGTACAATATTACTGTGGATTTTTGCAGACTTTTGAGTGGTGCTCAAATAAATCCTTTTGCTGTTTACGCGTATAATTTGATTAAGACACATTCTAATATTAATCATACGTGTCCGTTTGATGTAAGTAAGAACGGTAAACTTGCTTAAATAAGTATTAGATATATATACACATATATTTTTAGCACGATTTTTTAGTAGAAAAGCTTGATGCCAACTTTGTTAATCATCATGTTACAAAAGTTCTACCTGTTCCAGAGGGCGATTACCTAATTGAAAGTCGTTGGAACATTAATGATATAAATCGAGCTATTGTAAAAGCGTATGGAACTATAACATAAAAAATTATTTTAGATTTGAAAAATAATAGATAAAATATAAATCAATTTTCAAATGGTGGCGGAAAATAAGAAAAATAAATTAGATTGAATGTAACAAGTGAACGTTCTTCATCAAAGCAAATACCGCAACTTGGAATTCCACCTAAATATTGTGTTACTGATTAAAAGCCTTTTTTAGTGTACACATTTGCTTTATTTAAAAAACTTATGAAGTTCCCAATAAACATTGAACAAAGAAGCTCCACGTTTTCTGGTCTTTGGATCCCTCGTGGCTTAAAGCGGTCTGATTTTTTTTACCCCATATTGTCTACGATATTGATCTGGCATATGGTACGTTTTAAAATTTTTTATAAAATAACTCTTTTCTATCTATTTAGATTCAACATATTGGATGGTAAAATGTCGAAGGGTGCCAATCAAACGTGTATTAAAGTAATGTCGGTGTACCAATTAAGTATGTTTTTAATAAAAAAGTGATTATAAAAATGTGGCTGTCATTATTATGATATAAAGTATTTAGACTATAATTTTTATATTTATAAAAAATTGCAGCGGATTCTTTCATTTGAAATTGAGTTTGAAAGATTTGAAAGATGAGTGTGAAACTTGTGCTGTTTTTCCTGCTGCTTTTAGTTTTAAAGGTTGTTAATAAAAGGTTTCACGTTATACAGATGAATTAAATAATTTTGTTGGTAGATTTCCTCCAAATATGAATTCACCAATATCAAGTGCACATCTTTGGATGAAACATTTGTTGGCTTTGAGTATTGTTATTTAAAGTCTGTGAATCGGAGCTATAAGTACCTCTCCGTCAAAGCGAACTTATTAAAAACTCCCGTAACCAAGGTGAAAGTAAGTGCATGTATTAGTTACATAATGATTAATATTAAAATTATTAAATGTTAATATTATTAAAATTATTATGTGTTATGTTATTTTAATATTATAATTATTTTAAAATTTTTAACATTTGTGTTCATTTTTACATATTCTTTCAGGTCTCTTTTATAGTTTTTAAAAAGCATAATGGCTATAGGCCCTTCATGTTCAATATCACGATAGATGGCTGTAGATTTATGGGTGGAGCTACTACACATTCCCTTGCTAATTACTTGTATGGTTTTATTAGGCCATATACCAATATAAATCATAGGTGTCCTTATGATGTAAGTACAAAAAATAACACATTTTTAACAATTTTCTGACAAATATTTATGAATTCAGCACGATATTATGGTAGAAAAGCTTGATACCGACTTTATGAATTACCAAGTTACAAAGATACTACCTGTTCCAGAGGGCGACTACTATATAGAAAGTCGTTGGAACTCTTATGATGTTGTACGGGAAGTTATAAAAGTTTATGGAACTATTTCATAAAAAATTTTTTAAACTTATTATAAACTATACACAAATAAATAAAAACTGTTAATTACTTTTTGATTGGAGCTAACTTTGAAAGGAGCCGAAGTTGATATACCCTTCGGGTATATATCGGGTATAGTTGGCCGATCCCTATGAGAATTTCATAATATAACCAATTTGTTGGAATATAAAATATTCGAATATAAATTGGAATATAAATAATTGGAATATTCTATCTTCAAAATTACCCAAGTTAAGCCAAATCACTTACAGATTCTATTTAGTCAAAAATATAATCTGAACAAAGTTCCAACCTTCTGTCTTAAAAAACATGAAAGTTATGGCATTTCCGATCAACCAGTTATATAGCAGCTGTAGGATATAGTAGGCCAATACCGGCCGTTTCGACTTCTATACCGCGTGCAAAGAAAATAAGGGTGTGTACAAAGTTTCAAGTCGATAGCTTAAAAACTGAGAGACTTGTTCGCGTAGAAACAGATAGACAGACGGCCATGCCTATATCAACCCAGGAGGTGGGATCTAATTCGGATCTAAAATATACATACATATGTACATACATGCTTTATAGGTTCGGAGGTGTCTCCTTCAGTGCGCTGCACACTTTTGACCAAAATTGGCCAAAATCTATTTATTGGAAGAAATTTGCGTAAATGTGAAATGAATTTTGATTCACAAAATTTGGCCTAGTGTGGATATCTGAGTTTCTATACAATATGTTTCTCTGATGACCTTCTAATTTTACATAGAATAAAATTTTACAATTTTATTCAAGATTCAAGATTTTAGATATTAATATCTGAAAAAATTTTTAGATATTAGTTTCTACAATTTTCTACAACAGATAGATATGTAGATAGTTCTATCTGGTATAGTCCAAGATCCACGGTTAAAATTTTAACGCGTTAGTATGGGAATTAATTCATAAATGTCTATATCTTCTCAAAAAATGGGTCAATTTGTCTGAATTTAGCAAGTGCAAAAAAAAACTAAATAAAGCACAGTCACATGACGTGTAAGATTGGTGTATAATGTGTAGTTTCATTGTGTATTGCGTTTTTTCGTCACAAAAATGTATACCACATATTTGGTGGCTCTTGGGGTGGGTTCGTCATTGGAATTTTACCTCGTCAAGAGGCTTTTTTATTCCATATTTCAAATATTTCACTTTATTTCATGCATTGCATATGGTTTTGTGATCTATTTTCCATTAAACCTAATACCTAATGGCATAATAATAGCTTGAAAAAGCTTGAGATACTATTTACCCAAAGTGACTAATTAAACCAGTATATAAATGTTCACAGAAGGCCTTCTTCTGTTCTTCTTCTGCTTTTCTTGTTGAGTTCCCTCTAGTTGAGAAGGTGTTACGTGTTTTTATACCCTTGCAGCGGGTATTATAATTTTTTCCAAAAGTGTGCAACGCAGTGAAGGAGACATCTCCGACCCTACAAAGTATATACATATATATGTATATTCGTGGTCAGAAACACCCCGAGTTGATATGAGCATGTCCATCTGTCTACGCAAACTAATCTCTCAGTTTTAAAGCTATCGACTTGAAACATTCCACACTCCCTTCTTTCCTTTGCACGCAGTATAGTTGGAATGGCCGGGATCGGCCGACTATATCTCCTCATATAGCTCCCATATAACTGATTGATTGGAAATGGTGTAACTTTGGTGTTTTTAGAGCTAGAGAGAAAGAGAGGTTTAGAGCAAGAATTTTATATGAGAGCTATTTTTGGAAAAATCATTCGAGCCACCAAATTTTATAAGGATCGGCCGACTAAATCCTATAGCTGCCATATAATTGAACGATCGGAAATGACCCAACTTTCGTATTTTTGAAGTAAAAGCTATTTTATTATTATTTTTATTTACAGGTTCTATTTTTGGTTGGATTAACGACCTATCAAATTTGATAACGATCGGCCGACTATATCTTATAGCTCCCATATAACTGACCAATCGGAAATATGATTTGGTAGAAATACCAACTTTGGTATTTTTGAAGATAGAAGTTTGGGATTTGTTTTAGATTTTTTATTGTAATTAATTGGTTTTATTATGTTATTCTCATAAGCATCGGCCAACTATATGCGATGTTAGCAATATATATCCGATTTCAACTGCAAAGGTGTATTAACTTCGGCTCCGCCCGAGGTTAGCTTTTCTTTCTTGTTTTAATTTATCTTTATTCTCTCAGGTATCGTTAATACTTTTTTTAAAGTATAATGGTTTCAGGCCCTTTATGTTTAATGTTACAGCGGATTTCTGTAGACTTTTAAGTGGAGCCAATACAGACTCTTTCGCTAAGTACGCGTTCGGCTTTATGGGGCCCTGTTACAAAAGTTCTACCTGTTCCAGAGGGCGATTATCTACTGGAAAGTCGTTGGAACTTTAATGATATAAATCGAGCAATTGTAAAAACGTGTGGAACTATAACATAAAATTTTTTTTATATTTGAACAAAAAAGTAAGATTAAAAGTAACAAGTGACCGTTCTTCATCAACGCTATTACCGCAACTTGGAAGTCCACCTTAATATTGTGTTATTGATTAAAAGCGTCTTTTAGTGTACACATTTGCTTTATTTATAAAACTTATGAAGTTCCCAATAAACATTGAGCAAAGAAGCTCCTCGTGGTTTAGAGCGGTCTGATTTTTTTTACCCCATATTGTCTACGATATTGATCTGGCTATATGGTACGTTACAAAATGAATTTTCTGAATTTTAATCAGGCAGTTTTACGGACAATGGGTCAAATAATTATAAAATAACTTTACCTATCTATTTAGATTGAACATATTGGATGGTAAAATGTCGAAGGGTGCCAATCAAATGTGTATTAAAGTAATGTCGGTGTACCAATTAAGTATGTTTTTACTAAAAAAGTGATTATAAAAATGTGGCTGTCATTATTATGATACATAGCATTTATACATTAAAATGTACAAAAATTGGAGCGGATTCTTTCATTTGAAATCGAAGATGAGTGTGAAACTAGTGCTGTTTTTCGTGCTGCTTTTAGTTTTAAAGTTTGTCAATAAAAGTTTGTTGGTATCAATCAATTTATTTATCAATAAATAATTTTGTTGGTAGATTTCCTCCAAATATGAATTTACCAATATCAAGTGCACATCTTTGGATGAAACATTTGTTGGCTTTGAGTATTGTTATTTAAAGTCTGTGAATCGGAGCTATAAGTACCTCTCCGTCAAAGCGAACTTATTAAAAACTCCCGTAACCAAGGTGAAAGTGAGTACATGTATTAATTACATGCTGATTAATACTAACATCATTAAATGTTAACATTATTAAATAGTATAAAACTATTGTTGCACGTTATTAAAATATTTTAATTGTATTACAATCTGTAAAATTGATGTACATTTTGACATATTCTTTCAGGTCTCTTTTATAGTTTTTAAAAAGTATAATGGCTATAGGCCCTTCATGTTCAATATCACGATAGATGGCTGTAGATTTATGGATGGAGCGACTACACATCCTTTTGCTAATTACGTGTATGGTTTTATTAGTCCCTATACCAATATAAATCATACGTGTCCTTATAATGTAAGTACAAAAACAACACTTTTTAAACAATTTGCTGACAAAATTTTATGAATGCAGCATGATCTTATGGTTGAAAAGCTTGATACCAACTTTATGAATTACCAAGTTACAAAGATACTACCTGTTCCAGAGGGCGATTACTACGTAGAAAGTCGTTGGAACTTTTATGATGTAGATCGCGCAGTTGTAAAGGTTTATTGTAGCATATCATAAAAATGAATATAAACTATACACTAATAAATAAAAACTGTAAATTACTTTTTGATTAGAGGTGGCAAATAAGAAAAACAGAATATTATTTTATTATTAAAAAATTAACAAGACGGATAGGATATAGCCTTGGAGTTAAGATCGAAAATATTATATATCGTAAATAGTTGTCCGATTCATTATTCAACTAATTTTTGAATACCAAATAAAAGGTGTTATTCTTTTATCTCTAAAAATAGTAAAGTTGGGTGATTTCCGCTCTTTCAGTTATGTATATAACACCTATAGGATGTAGTCGGCCGATCCTGGCCTTTCCGATTTATATACTGCATGCAAAGAAGGTCGATAGCTTTAAATCTTTGTCATTAGTTCGCATATAAAAAGTAACGCTAACGTCAGACAGACAGACGAACATACTTAACATCGACTCAGGAGGTAATCCTTTTAAAGAATACATATATATACTTTATAGGGTCGGAGGGCACTGCGATGCAAAAAATTATTGACCAAAATTATAATACCGTCTGCAAGGGAATTATAGAACGAAGTAAAATATTGAATACCTAGATAGGCGTCTCCCTTGGAGGAAGCACATAGAAGACATGTTCAAAAAAGTAAAAACACAAGTTCAGGCGACTAAATTTTCTAATAAATTGCCAGTTATGCTCTACAGCATATGTCATAAAGTCTGTTTGGAAATATGGCTGTGAACTATGAAGCAATAGCAATATATATCCAATACAAAATGGACCAGATATTTCACATAAGGACCAATCTTATGAATCCCTACGTAAAAGAAGATATTATCCACTACAATGAACACACCAAAGATGAAATTAGTCAAACTATCAAAAAAATAAACATAGAATTGGTCGAACATAAAAAATTATTTTATATGAACCAGGGATTGGCATGTGGCTTTGTGATCATTTTTCAATTATAGCTTTTTTTTTAATGACATAATAATAGCTCGAAAAACCTTGAAATTTTAATTACCCAAAGACCCTCTTTAAACCAGTGTATAAGTTTGCACAGAAGGTTGTACTTCGTTTTGAAGGTAGAAGGCGATTGATTTAGTCGAAAATTAAAGATGCTCAGAAAGTTGCTATCTGAAATCTATAAATCGTACCTGCAAATATTTGTCACTTAAAGTAAACTTATTCGGCTTGCTGAAAAACTGAACAATCAAGATACAAAAAATCAAGGTATGTGGTTAACAAATGTTAAATTAGGCGTTTCTTAAGATTTCTTAAATTAGGCGAAAGAGTGACAATTTTTAAACGATTTAAAAGTTGGAGGCTTTTCATGTTTGATAGGATACGAGATGCCTGCAATTTCTTAAAAATTATAAAATCGAATTTAGCAGCTAAATACTTTTACGACGCATTCAAACCATATTCAAATATGAATCATTCTTGGCCCTTTTTATGTAAGTATTATTCAATATTTAATTTCCCAAATATTTTAATTTTTTTAAGTTTATCTTGTTGAGTTTATCTTGTCCACAATCTTGTTGTGGATAAATTGGATATAGCCCATTTAAACCAGTACATCACTCTCGGTCTACCGTTTCCTGTAGGATCTTATTTTTTGAAAAATCATTGGCTTGCCTATGATATCGAAATCGCGGTGGTGAAATTATACGGCACACTTTCACAATTGTTTCAAAAAAATTTACCATTTGCTTTAGCAATATAGAAACCTTTCTTTAAACCATGCCAAAAATGTAAAAAAATATTTTATTATAAAATTTAATAATATTAGGTGTATATTTTGAGCTCGATTTATAAAGTTAATTCCGAATAAATTGTTCAATTAGGTGTTCGTGATCGATTCCCATCTGTTTAAAATTATACATAAAAATATGTCTTTTATTTTAAAATATATACTTGTATTTTGGCTAAATAAGATATTCTAAATGTGGTGCTGTTATTATATGGAACTATATATTATTGTATACCGCATGAAAAAATTTAAAAGTAAAACTAAACAAAGTTGGATAAGAGTCATCCATTTATAGTAGAAAATTATGGTGAAAATTGTGTTATTGTGGATGTCGCTGTTGATTCTAAAGGTATTTGCAAAAATTGCCTACGTTTTCCAGATGAATTTAATCATTTTTTTGGTAGATTTCAAGCAAATTTTAATACACAAATGTTAAGTGCACATCTTTGGATGAAACATTTGCTGGCTTTGAGTATTGTTTCTTAAAGTCTGTGAATCGGAGCTATAAATACCTCTCCCTTAAAGCAAACTTATTTAAAATACCCATTACTAAGATTAAAGTATGTACCATTTTACTAAATTTTATTTTAATTTTGACATATTTTCTCTGGTCACTGGAATAGTATTTAAAAGGTTTAATGGTTACCGGCCCTTCATGTACAATGTTACTGTGGATTTTTGCAGGCTTTTGAGTGGTGCTCAAATAATCATTCTGCTGTTTACGCGTATATTTTGATTAGGACACATTCCAATATTAATTATATTAATCAAATAAACCGGAAACATCGGATATAGTTGGTCGATCGTGGTCGAGAATATCATAACATAACTAATTTATTACAATAAAGCTAAAAAAATGTCGCAAGCCTCTATCTTTAAAAATACCAAACTGGATATTTTTACCAAATACCATTTCCGACCGTTCAGTTTATAATGCGTGCAAAAGGAAGAATGGTGGGTACAAAGTTTCATGTCGATAGCTTTAAAACTGTGAGTCTAGTTTATTTAGAAACAGACAGACGGACAGACCGCCAGACGCACATGCTTTTATGAACTCAGGAGGTGATCCTGACCCTATATACTTAATAGGGTCGTAGATGTCTCTGTTTGGTCATTGAGAGTTTTCAATGCCGGGAAATGAAAGACGAATTTAAAATCAGTACGTTATATTTTATTTATGCTGCAGGCAGATGAAACTGGGATCAACCATTGTGATCATCCAGTTTATGGTGCTAAGCAGTGACTAATAATATGGACAGAGAGTGCGGCTCGACTAGACATACGCGAAGCTAAAGCTCTCGATAGTGGATAGGGCTGCCCGACATAGTGATTGCGAAGCTAAAGCTCTCTTAAAATAGGCCCGTTGAAGTCGAGCGGCCGAGAAAGAGTCGGCTTGCGACCAACTAAGGCAATATATCCATACTTTAGCTTAATAAATGAACTATAACTAATTATAACACTAAACATTACATAAACATTATTTAAACATAAACATTAACCGCCGTGCTGCTGCTTGACCCGACAGTCTCCTTCACTGCGTTTCACACTTTTCACCAAAATTATAATACCGTCTGCAAGGCTATAACACCATAAATTAAATGCTTACGCACCGAAAAGTTACACTTTTCATTATATTTTCAATCGAAAAAACGTTACAGACGCTTAAGCGCAATTTTTTTCATATCATGCTTTAAAAAAAAAAAACAATTTTTGTGAACGTTCTATTTTTATACCCGGTACTAGTAGAACACTGTAGCCCTTAGACTGTTCTCAAAAGGTAATTAAAGAATGTTTGAACAAATTTCAGCCAAATGGGACGATTTTTAGAGAAGTTATAGACTTTTATTTTGCCTTGAAAAAGGAAGTCTTTGGGGGAAGCCAAAGTTAATATCTATACCGTTCATATACCGTTAATTACGTTGATATATTTCCTTGAACCCTTTTCGTTAAGTACAAGGCAGTACAAATTATAAGCCATTATTAAATCCCATATATAGCAAATGTGGGTTATAGCTAAATATAGAATAGAATAGAATAGAAACAGAAATATAGAAAAGTATATTTGCATGCCTTTAGCCTTTATTGTAAGCTTTCAGCGGCGATTACCTGGGGTAAACTCATTAGATCGCTTTCGATATACAATAGATAAATACGTTTATTTATCTGTACACACATTTTTATTGATTATTTTAAACATAAATAGTTAAATATCTATTAATATAAATACCTAAAGTTATATTTATATTTAATAGATTTTATTATATGTATTTTAATATATTTTGATGGTTTAAAAATCATGAGGATGGAAAGCACTTCACTTTGTGAGAAATTACACAAAATGAGTTTATAATTGTTTTACAATGCGTCGTGTTATTAAAATAAAAAATTTAATAGTACAGTTCGGATTCTGTCGTTGGACTTTCAGGATGTGGCTGAAACTGACTCTATTATTGTTATTATGTGTTGTTTCAAAGGTAATTGGAAGAAAGAAAAATGTAAAATTGATTTATTGATAAATTTTTTAGATATCCTGCAAATTTGAGTTCACTAATGTCAAGTGTAACTCTTTGGATGAAAAATTCGCTGGTTTTGAATATTGCTTTTTGAAATCTGTGAATCGGAGCTATAAGTACCTCTCTTTAAGAGCTAATTTGTTCAAAACTCCTGTCACAAAAGTCAAAGTAACTATATTTACTGTCTTTAAAGAAATAAGTGTGTACTTTGAATTCGTTATTTCAGATTAATGTTTCTTTATATAAACGATTTAATGGCTATAGACCTTTTATGTATAATATTACAATAGATGGTTGCAACTTTTTAAAAAACCCTAAATCGAATGCTGCAATGAATTACTTGTTTGGGTTTTTCAAAAATAATTCAAATGTAAATCATCCCTGCCCGTTTGACGTAAGTAAATCTAAAGAAATTTATTGATCGAATTTATTGATATTATTCTAATATACATGTTGCAGCATGATATCATAGTAGACAAGGTAGATACAAACTTGGCTAATTACCAAGTCACCAAAGTTCTCCCTGTTCCAGAGGGCGACTACCTCGTAGAAACTCATTGGATGGCCTACGATATAGATCGAGCGATTGTAAAAATTTATTGTTCTGTATCCTAGATAGGTAATAAATTGTTGCACTATTACTCTGGCTCGGGTTTTCACTTTCAAACTTACATTTTCAGAATCACCAAAGTTATAACACTTTCGAAAGATTAATCATTAATGAGACACGATTGATATGTGGCAAAAATGACACATTTTTTGTAAGTTGTACCGAAAAATGGCGTCAAAGTCCGGAAAACACGAACAACAATAAAAAAAAATCTGTTTAAAAATCTGTAAATCTGTTTAAAATTACTCGTTTAGGAATTTTTAAGCGCAAAAAAGTGCCGAAAAACGGTTTTTTCTAAATAAGTCTAAATTTTGAGGGTGTTACAAATGTTTCAAACACGGTTTTGTGCTATATTCGACCTGATAAACAATTCCCACTAAAAGATCTCCACTTTTTTTTTTTGTTGCACTGTGTTAGAGCGTTAGTGTTAGAATAAAATAGAGCTCTTTTCCATCAAATTTTTTAAACCATCTTAAGAAAAGTGAGAACTTTTCTAAATTGAAGTATATAATGAGAGATCTGTAAAATGTAACAATAACTACGAAGTTATGCCAATAAAAATGTTTTAATGCTAAAACCGGAGCTTGTCTAGTGAGTGAGTGCATACCAACAGTATACTCATAAGTAATGTTAGTTTTCGAAATTTTCCGATCCAGAAATAAAGAAAAAAAAAATTGGGTAATGTTATTTATTTATTTAGTTATTTTAGAAAATTAGATTATTCCTAATAAGCCCCTGGCAAAGTGCATTGCAATTACGGAATCATCATTAGCGAAAACAAAACATTTTGCTTTTATTGGAATTTCGGCCAAATAAAGCTGTTGAAAGTATACAAATTCCCACTAACTCTTCATGAACAATTATAAAAATGTATTTATAATTGGAATTATATAATTAGAATGCGACCTTTGCAACTCCTAATACTATTTATATTGACTGGAAAAGTTAGTTCTGGTTGTGTAGCTGGAAATCGAGGATGAGGGTAAAACTGGCTCTGGTTTGGTTTTTTTGCCTTTTTTTGAAGGTTGTAGAAAAAACCTTAATAGGAGAAAAAGACTTAAATATTTTTTTTCTTAGATTTACTGCAAATTTGAGTTCACTAATGTTAAGTGTAACTCTTTGGATAAAAGCTTTGATGACTTCGAGTATTGTTATTTAAAATCTGTTAATCGAAGTTATAAATACTTCTCCGTAAAGGTTAACTTGTTTAAAACGCCCGTTACCAAGGTTAAGGTAAGTAAAAGGGCAGATTTTTAAAATGGGTTTGAAGGCTTGAAGTATTTATTTTTCAAGGTTACTGGAACACTTTTTAAAAGATATAATGGATACAGGCCATTCATGTTTAATGTAACTATAGATGCCTGTAGACTTTTGAGTGGAGCCAAAACAAATCCCTTTGCGGACTACGTGTATGGTTTTTTTAAGAATTATACCAATATGAATCACACCTGTCCCTTTGAAGTAAGTACGAAAAGTAATATTCGTTGAACCATTTTCTTTAAGTATTTTTTATGAACGCAGCATGATCTTATGATAGAAAAGCTTGATACCAACTTTATGAACTATCAGGTAACTAAGATTCTCCCTGTTCCAGAGGGCGATTACCTTCTGGAATTGCATTGGTTGGCTTATGAAATAGATCGAGCTGTTGTAAAGGTTTATGGTAATATATCATGAAAAATGTGTATAATTTTTTGATGATTTGGAGCTAGTAAATAATGACGGAACAAATACAAATTACTTTTTAATGGGAAGCTATAAATAGGAAACGCAAATCGATATTTAATTAAAAGTAAATAGATAATAAATAAGTATTTTTTTATTCTTTCTATTCTAAATACGATATGGGCATAATTAATTTTTTATTAATAAAACTAAAACTGTAATGAATTTTTTTTACACCATGTCCCTATAAACTTATAACTAAAATGGACCTATAATAGTTTTTAGAATTAGTTGAAATGTGTAGTGCTGATTTTGTCGTTAAAAACTAAAGATGTGGTTCAAACTAGCTGCGATTTGGCTAACTTTTTTGGTTCTCAAGGTTGTGGAATAAAAACCTATTACGTTGACGATATTTATTAGTCAAGTTTTAGATTTCTTGCAAGTTTGAGTTTACTAATGTCAAGTGCACTTCGCTGGATAAGGATTTCAGTGATTTTGAGTATTGCTATCTGAAGTCTGTGAATCGGAGCTATAAATTCATATCAATAAAAGCGAATTTATTTCAAACGCCTATCACAAAGATAAAAGTATGTACAGGTACATTATATTTAAATTTCTTACGAAGCTTTGACGTGTTTTTAGGTCACTGCAACTGTTTACAAACGCTATAATGGCTACAGGCCTTTTATGGTTAATATAACAGTGGATGGGTGCAGGTTTTTGAAAGGCGCCAAAGCTGCTCCAGTCGCGGAATACATGTATGGTTTTTTTAGGACGTATTCAAATGTAAACCATACGTGTCCTTTCGACGTAAGTGAGTGAAATTAATTTTTCTAAATATAATCCAATGTTTTATGACCACCAGCATGATATCATATTAGAGAAGCTTGACGCCAACTTTATGAATTACCAAGTTACTAAAGTTCTGCCAGTTCCAGAGGGCGATTACCTTCTGGAAACTCATTGGATTCCTTATGAAAAAGATAGAGCGGTTATAAAAGTTTATGGTACTATATCTTAAAAAATGGAAGTTGAAATTGCGAAGTAAAATTCCTAATCCAACAAAAATAAATTTATCATTCTGTAAAAATTGTCATTTGTGTCCTGGTTACTGAAAAAAGTACATAGACCTTTACTTGTTAGCTATTATCCACTTACCTTCTTTGAGAGAGTCCTTTCCGCCGGACAAAGCGCCCACTGGCAAGGCGCCTGTGGGCGTGAGACCCTTCAGCTGGAGCACGCTTTCTGACTCCTCCCTGTGGGATTTAAAAATTTTCCAAATTAAATTTATCAACAATTTGAAAACAGAGGAGATATGCACCTGAGAATAGAGAAGACGCGCGACATCTTGCCAATGGCCCGAATCTTATTCCGTATAATCTCTTTGCGCAGCGCCGACATGGAAGCTGCGAATTGAGGGCTCAATTAGATAGAGACTCTTTGGATCTCGTGGGGGAATGTTTTTATAATGGAAATCAGCTGGAAGTATTGCTATAAAGCCGATCGAAGCTGGGCTAAGCTCTAATTAATTTTTTTTATTATTCAGCGGCTGTGGCAGCAAAGTTGGCTCAGGCATTTTTGGCAGTGGCATTGGCAGTGGCGTTGGCTTTGAATTTGAACTTGGTTTTGGCCTGCGCTTAACTCGTGGCTTACCTGGCTTACTGGGCGTATTATTGTTATTGTTATTATTCACGTTCGCCGGCACGAGTACTATTTTTTTGCGGAGCTCTTTATTTCGTTTCATATTTGGGTTGTTTTTGTTTTGTTGTTGGAGTGGTGGAGTTGGTTTTATTTTTATATATAGATATATATATTTTTTTGGAAATAGTGAAAAGTTGGTTTGTGTTGGTACGTATATTATTATGGGTAATAGTAGCAGTAGATTGCAGTTGTTGTATTTTTCGGAAAATATTTTTAATAGAAGATTAGTTTTTAATTCAAGTGTCACCTTACTTGCCCACAACAACCAAAGCACTACGACATTTAGACATGGTCTGTTACAACAACATCTGATCTCCGAAGCCCCAAACTTACCTTCCTCTAGTTCATCATCGGGTCCTGCCACAAGCTCATCGTCCGAGCAAATATTTAGGATGTTCACTAGCATCTCGGTTACCTGATATAATAATAATTACACAGAGTTAATTTCGGAATCACAGAACAATTTTACAATAACAAACATGTTAAATTAGGAAAAAAATATATTTACAATAGTTTATTTTAACAAGCCATATTTAATAACACCCCCGAAAACAGCATTATAAATTAAATAGGTCATAAGCCCCGTTGTCAAAATTAAGGAGAAAATAGCCGTACTTTATTTAACATTTAACATTTTTTTCCTGTTACTCTAAGTTTAACACGAATAAATTACTCTTTTATGTACAAGCCCGTTTTCAAGAAAATTCTTATAAAACTTTCCAAAAACTAATTATAAAATATATTACTCAAAGCGTTTGAGTACTTTTATTTGATGACATGACAAAATTATGACATTTTTAAAAAATACTTGTATTTTTTTTCAATAGCAACATTACTTTTGTTTTTTTTTAGTAAGTCATAATATACCTGTTTTAGGTATAGTTATACTTTCTTATCCTGATTGAAATACTGTTCATACAACCTCGGATCTGCACAACCCCTAATCATCTAAAATATTACTCATACGCCTGGTATTCATTTTTAAAAAATACTCGAATTTCCTTGAATTTCGGCATTACTTTCCTTTTTTTTTAGTATATAAAATTATTCAGTATTCAATACTTTTTCAGTATTGATGATACTTTCTTATCTTGACCTGAACACTGATCATGGAAAATATTACTCATACGCCTTGCTGGCATTTTTAAAACATACTTTAAATCTTCTTTCTTCCCACTCACCTTTTCGCCCACAAAGGGCAGCGACCATGTGAAGACATCCATGAAGTTGGGCAGCCAATAGGGATGCGGCGAGCAGTTGAACTGGCGGATGTTCATCACGTTGTTCTCGTACTTGAGCACAGCTGCCTTTTGTCAAATGGGTTCGAGGGGTTGACATAGAAGAGCGCGAGTGGACACACAGAGATCGCCCGAGAAATAGATTGAAGAGACAGAGAGATAGAGAGAAAGGGGAAAGAGGGGTGGGCCGAACGCAGTGCGAATTAAACTCAGACCCTCTCACAGTGCAGCCAAAAAAGTTTTCATTATTTAAAAATAGAAAAGGAAAAAACAACAACAGCAAAATAAATAAACAATTTGGACAGAGATGGGTTATCGCGGAGACTAAAAGTGTGCAAGCGGGACAGGGAGAGAGATCATACCTTGTTGTTGTAAACATCCAAGTAGTTGGGGGCGGAGAAGATGGTGATCAGGGAGGGAAAGCCAGTAACCTGGTTCTTCCGGTACATGCGATAACTAAAAATAAGAAAATAAATAAAAGGATAAAAGTTAAGAAATAAAGGTTTTTAAGATTATTTAATTAAGGTTATTAGTACTCCAATTTTTTCTTTAATATTGAAATAAGTGTTTTGTAAGGAAAAATAATATTTTTAGTTCTATAAAAAAACTTTATATAAAAGTATCTTTTAGATAGATTTTATACTGTCAGTTAGGTTTAGCGAAGTTTTAAATGTTTTGCGTTGGAATTACAATATTTTGTACTTAATTTTAAACAAGATATTCTTAATATTATAAATTATACCGAATAAGATATTATTTAAAAAATACTTACCCTGCATCCTGGGCCTCGTGGGCTCGGACTATCGATAACAGGTTGTTTTTCTGCAGGAACTCACAGCATGCCGAGTAGCTGAAGAAATAGGAACAGCCACGGACAGAGTTGTGGGAGAAGAACTCGTTGGTCTTCTCGTTGCCAAAGTCCTCCAAGGGATCGGACCAGAGGAGATCGCACATGGGTCCGTATGCTGGCGGTTCCCTGAAACGATTCAGCTGAATGCCGCAATGTGAATGCAATATTATTACAAAACGTAAAAATTTCAGCAGAGCGTTCTCTGGTGCGAATTTATTACCGTCTTGATGTCGTCGAGTGTGAAAATCTCGGGCGACAGACCGCCGTGGATGCAGAGGAACTGCTGGTTGAGCAGGGCGGCGAGGGGCAGGCAGTCAAACGCCTCCATGCAGGCGTCGTAAATACTTTCCGAATATTTGATGATGCCTTCAACGGAATAACGATGGAATTAATGAATGAAGGGAGACCCATTCGAAAGATTTACAGCAAAATGTCGCTTTTAAAAACCCATTAAATGCTTTCGACAACGCCAATAAAACCAAAGATGCGGTACGCTTTTAATATTTTGCCATTTTTCGATCAAGAGGTTGCAAAATCATTTTTATGGGTTATCTATCTTGCAAGCCAAATAGATTGTAATAAAGTTTTAATTTGAAATTTATGGAGAAGAGATTAATTGTTTTTAAATTATACATCCAATAAAATAAACTTACATTCTTGTTTAAAGGTAAAGTACTCTGTCAGGTGCCTGCACTCATGATTTCCTCTGAGCAGCGAGAGTGTGGTGGGGTAGGTAATTTTCAAGGACCACAGATATAGAACACACTGTTAAAATATAATATATTGTAAGTTGTAAGTTGATTTAAAAAGAACCCTTACCTCTATGCTGAAGTAGCCCCTGTCCACGTAGTCGCCCAGAAAGAGGTACCTGGTGGTGGCTGGAGGACCTCCCACCTCAAACAGCTTGACCAGGTCAAAGAACTGACCATGGATATCGCCACACACGGTGATGGGGGCCTCCACATCGATCATGTTCTTCTCTTCGCGCAGGAGGGCGGCACCTTCGGTGATGATTCTTAGGGCTACAGCCTCCTCGACTCTGCCCTCCAGGAGGAAGTGCTGACGCAGGATATCAAAGTTTGGTTTTTCTCTTTTCGGATCGTCGTACACCTCCGACATGGTCAGTTTGTGGGCGGGCGGCAGGGGTACGTCTACGGAGAGAGGGAGATGATATCGTGGGGCATTGATAGTTTTATAATAAACATCTCGAACTGAGACAGGCGATGTGGGTTAACGAGCTGCTGCATCTTAGCGCCAATATTTGGTTTTTGGCCGCTTTTCTTGGCCCGCCAATAAAGAGAAAACCGAAAATCCACCAGATGCATCCACATGATCACCGTATGCTAATTACAAAATTTGACTGAGTGAATATAAAAGTCGAAAATTGATTGGCACACACAAAAACAAACAAAAACGCACACACCCAGCCAGCAGCCAGCGCCATTTTTAATTGTCATAATTTTGGTGAATTTAGAAATTATGATGCTACGGCCTATGGCCCAATAAAATGTCAATATGTTGCAGTTTTTCTCTGTTATGGGTGCTCCCAGATAATTAAATTTGAATTTAATAACCCCATAAACACAAAGAAAAGTGAAATAATAATAAGAAATTGAAGTCTTTCCGGAAACAGTTTTAATTTAATGGTTATTTAAAACTAAAATTTAGGGTTTTTCTGATTTTTCATTACTTTCTTATGGTTATAGGAAAGTTCAAAGAAATAATATATAAAAGTCTTTATTTTGACATTAATGAATGCAGTCAGTGCCTCAGAATTCCATTGAAGCATGATCGCATGTCATGAAAGATACAATCCGGGGAGGAGCTCGGGTATGGGCTAATGCACGATTTCAAAAATTCTATAATTCTAAAATAATTTACCATCGACCATGCGCTCCTTGGTTTTTGTGTACTGCATTTTCTGTTTGCTTCCACTGCTGGGGGTGGACGAGGTTTTGGATGAACCCGTTGAGGATTTTGTGGATTTGTCGGAGCTGGTGCTTTTGGAAAGCGACGATTTTCTCGTCACCGAACTTCGCGTTGATGTGGACATGTTTCTGGATTATTTATTCGAGCTTTGTTTGGTTTCCGTTGCCTTTTGTTTTAAATTTAATGTGCTCTCACACTGCCTGTTGATGCTGTTAAAATTTTGTTGATTTTTTTGCGATTCCTTCGGCTTGATATGTATATTTTTATGGGTAGATTTTTTGCTGGTGCTGAAAGTGTTACTAGAAGAAGAATTTAGAAATTATATGATTTTTCCTAGCGTCTTTATGGACGACAACACACAAGTATTCACAGACACACACACTCTCGGCCTCTGCGGGACACATGAAAATATACGAATATATTTAGGCAATAAATAAAATTTGTTGTTAGATTGTAGAGATGTGGACTTTCTTGTATTTTTAGCCAGGCAGTGCCAATAGAGAGATAGAGAAACTTTTATTTATTATTTTCCTTTTTCTTTAATTATATTTTTGTCAGGCACAGCCATCAGGCACACAAAATAAATGTTGAACAATTAATATTTCAATTTGGTGCAATTATTCAAAGATGTATTAACTTTTCGTTAAGTCAACACATTGTTTGGCAAATATCTTGGCAAAGGGCAGCACTTCAATTGAGTCGGAAAATTGCTCGACACTTTGTGCTAATTACCCACAAAACAAACGCGAACCGAAATAGCAATTGTGATAGAAATAGAATCGCAAGAAATCGTCGCAGTGGACACACAGATCACTTTGGTCACACTTTGTTGTTATAATTATTCCTTATTTTATTTTTATTCATTTATTTTTACTGGTAAATACACTTTAATCCTTGCGGGCTTTTGGGGTTTCAGTGTCGATATTGATGATTTTCTTGGGACACGAGACAAAGCATTTCCCAAGTTGGCGCCTCGCGATTTTCCTCGAAACTGAGCAAAATTCGTTCGCCAAACGATCCGTTCCGATCCGTAGCGTTTGGCATTCAAGACCCAAATCGAAAGTCCGAAGAAAGATCGTCGGCTATCGGCGGATCTCTCGGTACTTGGATCTTGGATCTCGAGTCTCGGAGGCTTCTTCGCCCTTGACTCCCACTCTCCGTTAGAAAATATAAATAAACCCTGTTGTATCTCTCATAGGGTTCGCGTCTCTGTTCGGTCTATTTATTTATTTTATTGGGTTAATGTGACACACGCACTTTTCAATGTTTTCGGCTCTCTTGTCGTAGCTTCTTGTTATTATTTTTATGTATTTTATGGTCGCCCTTCTGTGATCGCTGTTTTGCGTTTTAACGACCTTCATAGAAATTTTTACACATCTGCGATATGTCTCCCCCGATTCCCCCTACTATATATCCCGTTCCGAACACATCCACATCCCCATCCACATCCGCTCTCAATGCTTTTCAACTTGACCGTGAGACGCATCGTTGTCCGCTTGTCCGTGATATTGACTGTCCGTGTGTGCGTTTTTAGGCTGGTGTGTGTGTATGGTGTATCTGTGCGAGATTGCCAGAAATTGGGCGCCAATAGGTGGGTGTCGCTATAATTATAGTCTTGACTTTGTGCGCGCCTCGTGCAAAAATATATGCGTACTACAATCAATCGGGTATATGAGTGATGCTGCAAAGTAAAAGTAATTTTAAACATAGAATTTGGGGAATTAATTTTGTAAGGTAATTGATCTGTACTTCTAGTATCTGTATTTAAAGTATAGTAATTGAATTTAAAAAATGTTTTTTGCTCACAAAGTAAATCAAAAATGTTTAAAATACGAGGTTCGTCACCTGGACTGCCTGGACCTGGCAAGCGATGGAGTGCCCTCCCAAGTGGTATACATGAAGAGTCCTTCTCCACCACTTAGTATCTCCAAATCTATTTATATTATTTTATAGAGTATTTCCCCATCTGTAGGTTCTTTTCTTCTCTGATTTCCTCCGATGGAACCAATTTCATGCAACTTTTATGCGAAGCGTGGCAATATTTTAGCAACAATCGGTGTGTGTGCTCGCACACATCCACACCCACAGCCATTAACCGAGCATGTTTGTCTTGTCAATGTTGTTTGTCGCGATGGTCAATTGATATGTATGGCGAACAAAATGCTATATCGCTGTGATAGTTCCATAATATACATGTATTCATGTAGGAAAACGCTGTGCTGGGGGAAGGATAACAATCGGCAATTTTCACTTTGAAATCATTGCAATGCATGAGCAATGCCAATGCACTCGCAGTTGCCCGAAATGCGCATCGATAGCGCATACAGCCGTATAGTATTTTGGATTTTCGATTTGGCAAAGAGCTGAGACGATTTTACTTAAACGCCCCCGCATCACGAAAATCGCTGAGAGACAAAAGCGAGTCACACGACCGCCGCAGACTAGAAAGAAATACTTTCCGGTGCTAACCAGTGGGTGGGTTTGTTTTGGACGGAGGGGTTGCCAGGTCTCTAAAGTGGTTGCCTTTCAGGGCTGATGTGGGGCTAAGTCTGGGGGAAGACCGATGAGAGCATTGCATTCCCGTCGCAACTTTTTGGCAAATGCGCTGACAGCTCAACCCAGTCCAGCCCCCTGTCCTTCTTCAAGTATTGTATATAGCAAGGGGTATCGCCCTGAAGAAGATTTTACTTATGGGCTTCAATTGTAACAAAGTATTAAATATTTATTAATATTATTGTTAGACTTTCAATTTTTACCAAATAATAAGATTAAAATTCGTATTTATTTAAATAAGAAACAAATAATTTATTTCGAATACTAGGCATCTTTAAGTCATTATATGCCTTCCAAATGTTCACCTTTGCTTATTCTTTGATATGTGTTTTTATACTAACAGACGAAAATATCGTTGGCAACATATTTTAAGCGCAATAAAGAGGCGCAATCCAACAGAAGAGCGATCAAAAATAATCGAGGGAATTGCAGTCACCTGCCTGAGATTAAGTAGACGACACTCGCAATTGATTCGCCACTAAATTACAAACTAACAAGTCATCACACCTTTAACCAAAAGCAGTAGTATTGTAGCTTTCAAAAGTGTGTGTGGTTGTGTGGCATTTTGTTAAGAGATTTTCGTGAATAATTTGCCAGTCAAGTTGAGTCAAGTTTTTCGCATATCAGCGGCTGACACTTTGAACACCCGAGTCGTCATGTTGGCATGTCACAAAGTCTGCGGCCTGATATATTTTTGAAAATAGCAATGTGCCGAAATAGCCGGGCAGTCAAATGGCCAAATGCTGAAATGGCCAAAGAGCACGCGCACTCGTCGAGTATTTTTAAAACAATGTTTTTTATGCTTGTACGCAAACTCAATTGCTTCCTTCTTTTTTTTTGGCCACATAAACAAAACGCCGCTGAAATAAAAAGATAATATTGACACGTAACGCAAACATTTCATTCATTGTTTGAACTTTTTTCTGGCCCTATGCTGTTTGTTGTTGTTTAGTTTCTCTTCTTTTCACGGCTACTGTATAAACAATTCATTTGAATTATGTGACCACAGGGATGTGGCGTATGGGCTCTGGTCATGTGTGAATAATGGTCGATTTGTGGCAGTAAGCTGGATAAAAAACTCACTTCCTCCTGGCCATAACTTAATCAGGTCTATCTCTTTTTTGTCCATTTAATTTGTTCATAATTTTTGCCAAGTGAAGAGAAAGCTATCCGGAAAAGCTTAGCAGATGCAGGCACCAGAGAAAAAGCTTTTGAAAAACCATTTTCTTTTTCCCCATGAGAACCCTTTCCTTTCTGATTGGAGCTGTTCATGTCTGCGGCTGCCATTTTACAAATTGATAAACTTTGCAGTTATCATTGTTTATGTATCTTTCTGGCCCGGGCCATCATCCCCTCTTAACCTTTTGGATCTCGGCCCACTGTCTCATTTTCATCATTGTTTTCTCGACTGCCTGCCAAACATTTCCCAGGCCAAACTTTTTTTGCTCACATTTGTTTGCTTGGGATTTGCCAAAAACAGAAGTGCCCAAAAAACAAAAACAAAAAGAGAGGAACCAAGCAAAAACTTCAAATATAAAAAGGCAGCACAAATTTTTATTCAATTGATTTATTGACTTACTTATTTAGGCGCTCAACGCTCATAGATAAGCGATGTTTTCTGTTGTTGTCGGGAAACCTTTTTCCCAATTTTCTTTGTTTTCTTGCTGTCAGTTGGCAGCAATAACAAGGGCCCAAAATAAATATTTAGTTTTCATTTATACAATTTTCTCCGGGCTTTGTTTTAGGCCCTTTATTGGAGCACTTGTTCTGTTTAACTTTATTGAAGGTTCATGCAAGTCTATAAAAATCTGGTTAATTGAATAGAATATCTGAATTATTGATATGTTTTATTATGTTTTATTCGTCAAGAAATTACTAAAGTAAATAAATTGGATGTAAGATCGATCGATTCTTTCTAACGCTTTGGTGTATGTTTTAAGTTTAAGGTATATTTTTTTATGTTTTGCAGACCATCTGAGTATAAGGTAATTTTCCGGTCGATAGCTTAAATAATAATATAATAACTTTGAAACTATTTCAACTCTTAATTTTGTACCGTTCTTTTGCGTCAATCAAAACTGTATCAAAAATATACCTGTGTATTCATTATGTATTTTTTATAATCGATCAAAAAATGGCTCTGTAATTATTTCTATAGGCAGGAACAAAATTACAAGTAAAACTGAACAAAATTGGAATAGATTCTTTCATTGGCCATCAAAGATGAGTGTGAAACAGGTGTTGTTTTTTATTTTGCTGCTAGTTTTAAAGGTTGTTAATAAAATTAATTTGAAGGATCCGATGCATTTAAAATTTGTTTTTTAGATTTCTGGAAAATTTGAATTCACCAATATCAAGTGTAATTCCGTGGATAAGAGTTTTGATGACTTCGAGTATTGTTACTTGAAGTCTGTGAATCGGAGCTATAAGTACCTCTCCCTAAAAGTGAACTTATTCAAAACGCCTATTACTAAAATTAAAGTATCTACGCGGACATTTAATTAAAGTTTCAATTAATTTTGACATATTTTCTCAGGTCACTGGAATAGTATATAAAAGGTTCAACGGTTACCGGCCTTTTATGTACAATGTTACTGTGGATTTCTGTAGACTTATGAGTGGAGCCAATAAAAATCCAATCGCTATTTATGGGTTTAATTTCATTAAAAACTATTCAAATATTAATCATACCTGTCCTTATGATGTAAGTGGGAGTGAAAAAATTAATTATATTCAAAAGGAAGGATAAGCAATAAATATTATTTCAGCATGATCTTTTAATAGAAAAGCTTGATGCCAACTTTATGAACTACCAAGTTACAAAGGTTCTACCTGTGCCGGAGGGCGATTACCTTTTGGAAGTGCACTGGATTGCTTACGATATAGAAAGGGCGGTTGTAAAATTTTTCGTTACAATTTCTTAATAAATAAGTTATGGTATTGATTTAATATTAATCTATTATAATAAAAAAAAAAAGAAACTGGCTGGAAAATGAATGGACTGGCGTTCACAGAGATAACACAGTTTTTGAAAAAGTCACAACATTTCATCTTCAAAAAACCAAAGTGAAGCTATTTTGGATCAATCACTTATATGGCAGCTATAGGATATAGTTGGAGTGAACGCGAACTATATACCTAATAACATAAGGATTGGCCTACTTTATCTTGTAGCTGCCATATAACTAAACGATCGGAAATAACATAACTTTGGTATTTTAAAACCGATATAAGACCGATAAAAAGATCGGTCAACTATATCCACTAGTACATTGGCCACTAAGTACATTGTAAAATATAGATCGAGCTGTGGAAAAGCTATACGGTATATATGGTAAGAGCTATTTTTCTGGTCAATGGCTTCTAAAATTTAAAAATAACTTATTTAACCATTTAGATTTTAAATTTTATTGTGGAAAACGTTTAAGTGTCTATGTACCAATTATTTATTTATTTCTACGCGATTATAAAAAAAGCACTTTAATTATACTACACAATTAAGATAAAAGCTATACAATATTCGAATCTATTCTTTCATTTGTACCGAAGATGAGGATGAAGCTGGTGTTGTTCTTGATATTTTTCCAATATCTTTCCAATTTTTCCAATTCCGTGGACAAAAGTTTTGATGACTTCGATTATTGTTATTTGAAGTCTGTGAACCGGAGCTATAAGTACTTCTTCATAAAAGTGAACTTATTCAAAACGCCCATTACTAAAATTAAAGTATGCACTAGGACATTCTATTAAAATATGTTTAAATTTTGACATTTTTCTCAGGTTACTGGATTAGTATATAAAAGGTTCAATGGTTACCGCCCCTTCTTTTACAATGTTACTGTGGATTTCTGTAGGCTTCTGAGTGGTGTCAATAAAAATCCAATCGCTAATTATTTGTATAATTTCATTAGCACCTATTCCAATATTAATCATACGTGTCCTTATGATGTAAGTAAGAGTGAAAAACTAATTATATGCAAAAGGAAGAATAAGTAGAATATATTATTTCAGCATGATCTCTTAATAGAAAAGCTTGATGCCAACTTTATGAACTACCAAGTTACAAAAGTTCTTCCTGTTCCGGAGGATGATTATCTTTTGGAAGTGCATTGGATTGCTTATGATATAGAGAGAGCGGTTGTACAATTTTTCGGTACAATTTCATAATAAAAAACGTACCATATTAATTTAATATTCATTTATTTTAATAAAAAAACAAGAAAGGAAAGCTAACTTCGGGCGGAGCCGAAGTTTATATACCCTTGCAGTTAAAACCGGATATATATCGCAAACATCGGATATAGTTGGCCGATCCTTATGGGAATAGGAATATATAATCCAATTTATTACAATACAAAATCTAAAAAAAGTCCCAAACTTCTAGTATCTTCAAAAATACGAAAGTTGATATTTCTACCAAATACCATTTCCGATCGTTCAGTTATATGGCAGCTATGGGATATAGTCGGCCGATTCTAATGAAATTTGATAGGCTGGATCAACTGACCAAAAATAGAATCTGTATTAAATTCCAGCTTTCTATCTTCAAAAACACGAAAGTTGGGTCATTTCCGATCGTTCAGTTATATGGCAGCTATAGGATATAGTCGGCCGATCCTTATGAAATTTGGCATGACGTAATGTTTTGCCAAAAATAGCTCTCGTGTCAAATTTGAAATCTCTAACTCTAAAAACACCGAAGTTATACCATTTCCGATCAATCAGTTATATGGCAGCTATAGGATATAGTCGGCCGATCCGGGCCGTTCCAACTTATATACTGCGTGCAAAGGAAAGAAGGGTGTGTGCAAAGTTTCAAGACGATAGCTTTAAAACTGAGAGACTAGTTCGCGTAGAAACAGGCAACCGGCAACCTTTATCCGATGTTTGCGATATATATCCGGTTTTAACTGCAAGGGTATATCAACTTCGGCTCCGCCCGAAGTTAGCTTTCCTTTCTTGTTTGAACTACTCTATACGTGTTTACTCTATTAACCTATACTCTATTAACCTATATTACCAATATATCAACCAATATATGTAATATAAGATTGTTTTAGGATTTATAATTTTCCATAAAAAAGCTGGATACAGACTTTATAAATAACACAGTTACAAAGGTCCTGCCTGTTCCATAGGGCGATTAACTTGTAGAAACAAATAAGAAACTGCATATGAAGTAAAACATGCGATTGTCCAAATATTTGGAAGAATTTCATGAACTATAAAATAAAACTAAATGTTACTTTTTCAATAGATTTTTTATTACCTTTTCTGATTGGAGAGAATAGAAATAAAAAAACAAGATTTCAAGGATTTGCTCACGAATCCGCTTCTTAAACTTTAATCCGCTACCCAAAAGTGGACGTATTGATCGTACAACTACACCCGAAATTTGTAAATCCTTTTTCATATTCGAAGAAACAAATCAAGAAAATCCGAAGGAATTTTATGAGAAAGAAAAAGAAATTTTAGCGAATATGGCTAGAGCCTCAGAATTCATCCATCGAACCTCAACACGGTAATGGCCATCCGGAAAAGGAAGAACCTCTGTCAGTCGATGATTAAGGATGGAGGCCGGAAACTTTTCCAAAATAATATTATGCTAAAAATAATTTCCACAATTAAACAGTGACTTTAAATTCCGTATCCTAACATACTCACATTAATAGGGCATGAGGTATTCAAGTTCGAGTAGCCCACGTACGATTCATGAATGAAATTTATCTTTGGATTCGATTTTCTATGTTTCAAAAATTTGCAGACGTCGTACGTGCGATTAAAGAGGAAGGGCTGGTAACCATTTGAACGTCGCCAGAGCGATATGTTTATCTTTTTTTTAGAAAATTAATTTTATTTTATTTTATTGATTTTATTATTAAAAGTAATTATTAGAGTTATACTCACCTTCATTACTCTAAGAGGAAGTTGGTATATATTGAACTTCCCGGACACATATTTGTAGCTCCTATTGACGGACTTCAAAATGCAGTACTCGGGCTCGGCATACTTTTTATCAAAAGATTTGCACACCAAGTTGGTAAACTCCAACCTTGATTCTATCTAGCAAGTGGTTTGGGTAAATAATTTATCATTACAATTTATGAAGAATACTACTTGATTGGGTAAAGTCAGCAAAGAAATCAGGTAAAATATGAAAAAAGTTTTTGCGGTCATCGCATCGAATTCGTTGAGTTGTTAAAAGAATACTAACGTATGTAAATTCTTACAAAGTGTAACAATTAAACGAACATTGAATATTCACTATTAAAATGAGAATGCTAAATGATGGGATATTATGATTAATAAATTGAAAACAAAACCGTTTAAGAGCTGAAATGAGCCGGAAAGAGCTAAGTATAGAAAAATGTAATATCCGTTGGACCGTAAACAATTTAGTTTTATTTAACTTTAAAAAACCATTTAAAAAGTATGAAGTATTTAGGAAAGAGTTCCATACACCTTAAAAGATGCCAAGTGTTTTCTAGAGCGCATCCAAATAACTTCAATAAAATAATCACCCTCTGGGAATGGAAGTACTTTTGAAAATCGATAGTCAACAAATTCGGCTGGGAGCTTCTCCAAAATAGCATCAGTCTTAAAAAATATTAGTTAAAAGGGAATTAAATGATTAAATAGGGAAATCTATGATTAAACTTACAGTAATGGGACAAGAGTGGTTAATATTTGAATAACTCATAAACGATTCATACACAAAGTTGGCCACTGGGTTTGATTTTGGGTTATCGATGAATGAACATGCTTCGAATGTTAAATTGTAAAGAAATGGCCTAAATCCATTGAATTTTTTCCAGAGAGCCAAGTTAACCTTTCAGGGAAATAAATATTTTTTGAGGTTCAAGTTTCTAAGCTAAAATCTATTTACCTTTAAATTTGTTATAGGCAGCTTGTAGAGTTTCCATTTCGCAGATATATATTTGTAGGTACGATTCACAGACTTTAAGATACAATATTCAAATTCTCCAAACTTCTTATCATGGGACTTGCAAATAAAATTGGTAAACTCAAACTTGGATTCGGTCTAAAGGTTGTATAAAAATAATTAAAAATTAAGGGGTTGATATAATATTACCAATGTAATTAAAATTATAAATGTTAGCAAAAAGGCAAACAACAACGGGCGGAAATACATCCTGAAAACACGTCTGTTTTACAAAAACTGTTGTTTATTTTATTTGGTAATGGACATATTTAATCTTTTTTTTCATATTCTCTTTTTTTTGACAATTAAAAAGAATTTAATAAATTGTTTTAATGATGGGGAAAGTCTAAATAGTATTGTGTGAGCATTTGCCTATTTTTAATGCATTTTTAGGTGTACAAAGAGTTCTTTAATGAAATGTATTCTCAATATCAGTTAATGTATAGTTTGTATAAAACTAAAATTTAAGTAAAAAATCATTGTTTAACAAACAGAATAAAAGAAAAATTCCCTATCGATTACGTCTAGGCAGCATGCCGCCCGTGGCAATATATTTTCCGGATTTCGGATATCTCGTTATGCTCATCACGTTGGCCGCATTAATTTGCACACATGATAGCCCAGCAAACACCTCGTCCTCTCGCCGCTTCGGGTTGCTGTGGGTACTGCAGCTTGCCGCTAGATTTGCTTTATATGAGCTGCAAATTGGTTGCTCACGTAAATGATTTTCATTTTCCAATCATAACATTACGCGTGCCCGCACTGCCAAATGCTCACCTGCCAGCTCGTCATCCACCAGTATACCTGTGGAAAATAGAATCCGTTGAGGTATGGCTTTCGGGGCAACGATTGGGGAAAAACCCGTAAACAGTGGCAAACATTTGGGGAAGTCACAGCTTGATTGGAAGCGTTTCGCTTTCACCTGCTGCTGATTACAATGAACCCAATTGAATTAACATATTGGCCGGCGGGCGGAATTATGATGGCTCGCTGTGTGGCTTAAATTGTATCCAAATAATTTAACGTGTGGGCGTGGGGGCGGCACTTCAATTATTTATGGCGCTATGCGCGACTTGTTTGCCTTTGTTAATGACGAGGCGAAAGTAAAAAGCACAAAGTGCCGACAATTGGCAGTGGCAAAGGCAGCTGCTAAGACAGGAGCAGGAGCAGGAGCAGGAACGGGAACAGGATCTGTTGCTGAAGCGAAATAGCAAGACCAGCTCGCAAAAAAGTTAATTAAAAGTGCAATCAAGCAGCAGCAAGGACCGCAGCTGGAAAGAGAGGGCTCACGGCTGGTGAAAGAGACGAAGCAGAGCATCAGGTCCTGAACGATGCTGACATTTTGCCTGCAACCTAGACGACAAAAATAGGAGAAGGCAGCGAAAGCAATTCCTAGGAAGAAGATGGATAGCTGAGAGAAAAAATTTTATATGAAATATGAAAAAAAAAATGATATATTGAAAAATGTTTAAAATAGTTTATTTTTGTAGATTCTTTGATTTATATAAGATGAACTTAAACTTTTCATAGAATTGGTTAAGCATTTTCAATGGCAAACCTTTATAAAAACGTAATAATAATATCTAAAAAGCAAATAACATTTAACACAAAATAATATTTTTTGTTGAGAATATAGAAAGTTTATCTCGTACAAAAATAAGTCGCATTTAATAAGCATTTTCATCAGTGTTTCAAGGGCATGTGTAGCATGTTGTATATAAGCCCCAGCTCAAATACAAGCACGTCTGAGTGGGGGCGATGAGTGGGTGTGGCACACCTTGCCCCTTTGCTGCAAATTGCTGCAATTATAGACGCCATAAATTATAACAACTTAAAGCTTTAGGTAAACGAGAAAAAGACAAAAATATATAAAAATGGAGAGATGAAGAAAACCGGAAGCAAAAAATGAGATGAGTCTTTGAAAAATGCATTTAATTGATTTTCCTGCTTCACCTCGGCTTTTCTTGACAGGCAATATAATTTTTATTGCTTCTCAGCCCCACGAAGATGTGTTTTTCTGCCTTTGCAGAGACCTGGGTTTGATTGATTGTGATTTAGGACTTGGCTTTAAAGAAGATTAAAATAAAAAGATTAAAATTCCTCGGACAACACAAAAGCAGGAAATTAAATCGTAGTTCGTTATGCAAAAGCCCTTGGGCTTAATTGAATGGAACCTACATTTAAAGGACACTCGCTTGGGGAGTTCTTGTGGTTTTTAAACTGT